TTCCATGCCGGAACTACACGGCGTCACTTCTTACTTCCTACTAATATAAAATTTCAATTGGACGATATTAAAAAAAAAGACAAAAAGGGTTTTTATGTGTCTGCCTGTCTGCCCTTCTGTCTGACATTTAGACAAAAACTACTGAATCAAATTTAATGCAGTTTTTATTGTTGTGTTCCAAAAGATTTATCTTAAAAACTGGAGTATGCTTTATTTTGGTATGCCATCTAAAACTGGTCTATTCTGTGTCCGATATCTTCGCGTACGAAGTAACGGGCTAAAAGCTAGTCGCAAATAGTCTATAGGCGACGGTTACCACTTTCCATCAGGTGAGCCGCCAGCTTGTTTGCCATTCCAATTTGTATAAAAAAAATAAAAATAAATAAATAAATAATAACCATTAAGTCGCCAAAAGATAAACAAATAAACAAACATCCAATTTTATAATTATAATATTGATCATCATCATCATCATCATTTCATCATCAAAAATTCATTCTAGTTAATCATTTTAAGTTGTTAAATTATTATTATTATTTAAACTGTTAACTGCCCATTTCTAAATATAAGTCTCCCACCTAAACTGCCATAAAGAATAGTCCCGAGTCATCTTCAGCCACTGACTCTGGGCAATGCATTTGAGGTCGTCGTTCCATCTAGCGGGGGGATACGTCCTACACTACGTTCATAATATTAGTAATGATACACTCAGAAAACGAATGAGGCTCCCTCTATCGAAAGTGCTGACCGTTGCCTAGACGCATGGGGGGTATCATGGGCGAAACAGTATACTCTGTTATGTCCATGGTACTATTGCTCATATCTATAGGCGATGGTTACCATTCTCCATCAGGTGGGCCGTCAGCTTGTTTGCCATTCTAAGTTGTATAAAAAAAAGTCCAGTATTATTAACGTCACAGAATACACTGTGACGTCAATAATAAACGTCCGTAAAAATAGCAGAGAAAATATTTGTGGCAAGATGTTCAAATACTATTTGGATAGTAATTCTCTTGTTATAGTTTGTTTAAATATGTCGCCAAGCTAACAATCAAGCATACGGCCCACCTGGTGCTTAGTGGTAAACGTTGTTTTGACTTTTGCAATATCAGGGTTGTCACCTTGCATTTGAGCGTAAATATTTTTTAATCTTTAAGAACCAGTTTTTTATAACATGAATCAGTTATTTTTAAAAATATATATAAAAACTATACTACTGAAGTGGATTAAAATTTCCTATCAGAAAATATAATCTTTTAGATAAAAATAATAATTACAAATCGATTTAGAACTGACGGAGTTATGAGGTAACAAACATATAAGCAACAAACCGAATTGAAAACCTCCTTTTTGATGTCGGTTAAAAACAAAGTTGATTCCTGAAGTCTGTACGTTTAGATTTTTTAAACTATGCAACAGATTTTTAATGTAGTTTTTATCAATAGATAGAATGAATCGAGAGGAAGATTAAAGATATAGTTTAACCCTTTGCACTCCAGCCTAGTAACTAATAGTGGATACCAATAACTTATTATTGGGGGGAAAGGGATTGTTAGTAATGACACAGACAATATAATACTATTGGTAATGGAGACTGAGAACCCCATTGCTAGCAATATACCCAACCAGGTCGACCTCCTCGCGGTTGTCCCTGGAAACTATCATGGTTAACTCCTGATGAATTCATCATGATGGGCTAACTGACCTGTTTTCATTGTCATCTATCACCCTTCACTGGTGCTCCGCAAGCGTATACCGTTAGCGCAGGCGGGGTTACCATACCATTTTCACCCATAAAAAAAAACTAATAACTTATTATAATGTAAACAAAATAAACAGTCAGTAAAACAACCGTGTCGCTGTAGCCGCGACAGTGGATTTAATGTTAGCATTTTAATGTCGCAAATACGACGACAACGGAGTGCAAAGGGTTATATTGCTTTAAGTAAATTTGTTGAAATATAATGATAATTGTTCAAAATATCAGAAGAAATCAATTCGACTAAGAACTTTCATCGAAAACGCTGCCTAATCCGTTTGAGATATAACAAAACAATGTATGTTAGAATTATTTTTGTTTTATAGGTCTACAAAAAAAATCACAAATGCATTTGTCTATCTTTTAATAATAACTTACTATACCCATCTAATTCATACTCATTGCAACAAGTTAATGGAAAAAAATGTACGCATATATGCTTTATTAGCCGTGCGAAGCTAAGACGGTTCACTATTGTATAATAAAAACATTTCACTAGGTACATTGTAATGGAAGATGTTGTCTTAAACAAATAAATACTTTATGTAATAAGTGACCCGTTTCGGGTCCAATCTACATTCACTATTTGACATGTTGGTAGAACAAAAAGGATGGTACGTAATGAAACGAGCGCGTCACTTTACATCGGCCGAGCGGTCCGATTTGAAAAAAGTCGAACCAAAATAAAAATAAGTCCATCATAACTCGCTCCAAGGATTTCATATTTTAAAATAAGCATCTGCTTTGAATAAAACACAAGTGCCAAGTCACGTTCGTCGGCTCCCTTGAAATGTTTTGATCACATTTTTAACGGCCGGGGGCGCTGTTGTGCCTTTGTCTGTACTGTAGATTATTTAGTCTATACTATTGAATCTTAATTATGGCTAGGTGTTCTCTATTTATTGTTATTATTTACTTATTTATAATGTTCAACAGCGGAGAGTTAATAGCTGATATGATGACGATGATGATTCCCTATTTGGAAGTAGGTACATAGATTTTTTTATACCATGAATGTGGCAAATAAGCATACGGCCCGTTAGGCAAATGGTTATTGTAGCTTATAGACGCTTGCAACACTAGGGGTGTCACGTGCACGTTGCCGATCCTGAAAAACTTAATTACCTTAATATATCTACCTTTTTTGAAGAACCCCATTTTCAACTCACAAATCTTTAGGGAAAACTTCGGTAGGGAACTCATTGCACAGCCGAGCGTTCGCGGGAGATCATTCCTCTGAAACCGCACTATACGTGACCATTTAGGTTCAAGTGTGTGAGAATGAATTCCCTGTCGATGGCGAGCGGTGCAATGCTAAAAAGTAGCTGTAGGCATCATTTCAAATAATGCTTCAGCACACAATCCGTTACACAAGCGATAGAATACACATAGGGAGGCAGTCTCGTCTTAGACTTAAGGACTCTATTCCGCGTATGACGTTGAAATCATCGACAATTCTTATAGCTAGTCTTTGAACCGAGTCAAGAGGACCGAGCTGATAACCAGGAGAGAATAATACTACATTAAGTATATTTTTTAATTAAAGAAATCGTATCAATAACTCCGCCTACGCTATTAGATTACGCCGGTGAGGTACAAGTGAGGGATGATAGGTGAGGACGAAGTCAGTTTTTTTTATACAACTTAGGATGGCAAACAAGCTGACGGTCCACCTGATGGAAAGTGGTAACCGCCGCCTATAGACATGAGCAGTACCATGGACATAACAGAGCCTGTTTCACCCATAATACCCCCCATGCGTTGCCATTCCTGAAGACTCAGGTGTTATTCCTCTGTAGCCAGTAAATTCACGCCATATACCACCCTTCAAACCGAAACACAGCCATGCAAATGCACAGCTGCTTCACGGTTGAAACACGAATGGGACAGAGGTACCCAAGCAATCGACTTTTGTACAGTCCTCTGGTAAAAGTCAGGTAAGAGTCAGTTGACTCATCATGACGAATTTATCAAAAATAAATTACGAGTATCCAAGGGGAATCTCGTGGAGGTCGATCTGACAGAGAATATTGAGAGTAATGGAGCTGGAAGAACCTATCACCAACAATCCACTCTTTTTACAGTTTGGTATATTTTATTTGGAGTGGATACTAACTTGGGGTCAGTAATAGAGCAGGTATCACTAAAAGAAAACTGCACGAAAATTGTTTGCATAGTATGTCTGTCCCGTTCTTTGCTATGAGGTTTATTTAGAATCGGCAAGACCCACTTAATGCCCCTGGTATATTACAGACGTTCATAGGCTACGGTAACCGCTTACAATTGTGGGGAAAAGGGATTGTTAGTAATGGAGACTAACGGCTCTATTGCAAGCAATATATCCTATTACCTATATACCTGTTAAAGGTTGACCTCCACGCGAGTCCCCATGGGTACCATCGTGGTAATTCTTTTTAAATTAATTGCGATGGGCTACCTAACCTTTTTTATCCTCATCTAATATTTTTCACTGGTGCCCCGTCAGCATATACCGATAGCGCAAGCGGGGTTACCATTTCATTTTCATCTATTAAAAAAAGTGCTTGACTTTTAAACCACGATTCTAATAATCCCTTTCCCTAAGGATAATGGAGATTAAGTTGCCTCACTGATAATACAATACCAGGTCGACCTACACGAGGCCTCATTAAACCGTCGTGGTTAATTTTTATTGGATTCGTTATGATGAGCCAAATTGTTATGTACATACTGTACATGTAGCGGCCAAGACTTCAGAATAATGTTTCGCGGTATAATTAGTTTTAACAAAAACTTACCTAATAACAAGGTAGGGGGGAAAGGGATTGTTAGTAATGGAGACTGAGAACCTATTGCTAGCAATATACTCAACCAGGTCGACCTCCTCGCGGTTCCCCCTGGAAACTATCATGGTTAATTCCTGATGAATTCATCATAATGGGCTAACTGGCCTGTTTTCATTCTCATCTATCACCCTTCACTGGTGCTTCGCCAGTGTATCCCGTTAGCGCAGGAGCAATCACCAATCAGAAAAAAAATAACAAGGTAATATTAAACAGGTTTAAAAATTTAATGAATTAATCAATTTTTGATATATGAATTGTTATAGGACATCAGCAGGCTGTCTTATGGTCGGGCCGATAAGTTGTATTGACATAAACTATAGACCCATTGTCGTGTAATAATGTATGATTTAATATCATATATAAACATATATAAAGTAATTAAACTTATAAAGATGATTCCGATAAATAAAACAAGATTATTATTATTTTAAGATATACATATTTATTTATAAATTACGCGGTCACATGATATAAATTAATTATGTACAATTAAATAATACAGTTAAATTTATATAAAAATAATATCACGGATTTTGGCCGCGTCTCGCTGATGACCGTTTCCAAGATATTTTGTGGTGGCTTAGAAAATATCATAGAAAGGGTCGGTTCGTTAGTGACTCGGCCGGAATCCATGGCAACATTGATAAATTCAAGCTTATTTTAAAAAGGAAGCTGCAATAAAGACTGTTAGGCCAGGACGATAAATAAAAATTATAAACAAAAGAGAAATTAACAGTGGATAAATTCGACAATAAATAAATTAACATTAAATAGTTAACAGTGACTAGAGAGCAAGGATCCGATCGTCCAAGCGACTTCTCATAGGCATTCGATAGGGTGTAACACTTAAAGATACTTAATAAATTAATAAATAATTTATATATAAAAAAAAAAAAACTCCTTTAACATTTTGACTCCGAATTGTATAAAAATCGTAATCCATACGCAAATATTCATATCATAATCCAGTTTGAGAAAAAAATGTGGGGGTACCACAAGGTAATGACTTGGGTCCCACGTCAGTCCATGAGTATTACACATCAATAACGTTCAAGTAGAAAGCAGCTTGAGAGTCGCCCTTGGAGCCGACAGCGCGGGCCTGGTATTGGCCGTTGTCGTCAATGTTGCATTTGGCGATCTCGAGCCGGTACCGCGAGGTGCCTTCCATTGTGAACCTGTACCTAGAGGACGTCTCGTCGATGGGTTTACCATCCTTCAACCATTGGAGCTGGAGTGGTGGCTGTAGATTAAATACAAATATTAGTAAAACATACGAATAACAATCACAGATTAATTGTAAAGCAAATACTATTTGTAAACCATGATCATATGGCTATAAACCATTGTAACTTTTAGGTATCGAATAAAATGGATGAACGCTGTTCTCTGAGGTACACCTTTTTACTTAGTTCAGACTCAAATGATAACTAGTGATCTAGAGAAATAGAAACAGATATACTCATGATATATCTCATGATATACATATATATTATGTATACATTATGCAGGAATCGAATTCGCTATACCACAAAAGAAAAATTAAGGAGTGAAAATAGACTAATAACTCCGCCTACACTCATGTTACTAATGATAGTTGAGGATGAAGTCAGGTCAGTTGTAACGAATACTCCAGGAATGAATTACGATGTTTTCCAAAGGGACCGGATGGAGATCGTCCTGATAGGACACGGGCATTACTAGCCCCTGCAATCATCTCCACTAAAATCATCATGATGATGAAATCACCTTATCCAGCTCTGTGGTGAAGACGGCTGGCTCCCCAGCGGAGACCGTCGTGGAGGCAGGGAAGGCGGCGTACTGCGGGGCAGTGGGCGTCTCTCCGGGCACCGTCACCACCAGCGTGCAAGATGAGAATGATTCGCCAGCGTCGTTGAACGCTTCGCATGTGTATACACCTGAGCAGCAGAGAATCTTATTACTATTATTACTGTGAGGATGACGCCCTCTGGTATCAAAAGTTTCTAGTTTGGCGTTATACACAAAAGCCTCTGACGTGGCTTACTGGGCAACGGTTTTTCGTACGGTTTCTAAGGACATTAGAATGAAATCCCTGTCGTTTTTATTTAGATTTTTAAGCAGATTGGAATGGCAAACAATCTGACAATCCGAGTGCATAGTGTAAGTTTTAGACAACTTAACATTACTACAGCATTAGAGTTTACTTGAAAATTTAACTCGATATAAAATTATCGATGTCAATGGAAATTACAGAAAATGCTTGACCAACTCACACTTGACATTTTCTTATAGAAAATTGTAACCATCGCCTATCGACATAAATAACAATATAGACGTCACAGAATACACTGTGCTACACCTAATTTGTTGCCGTTATTGCTGAGCACCATAATAATTCCCTCGAGTTCCTTCTGCATCATTATTAAATGAAAAATGGCATTTAACGCCATCTCTTGTAGTAATTACGAACTATTTGTTCTAAATACATACCGGCATCTTCAGGGAATATCTCTGCGATGCTCAGCTTGTGTATATTCGCCTCGCTCGAGTACTGGAAGTCCTTGGATGGCTTGATCTCTTTGTTATTATGTAGCCATACTACGTCGAAACGCTCTGCTCCAGTTATCCTGCAAATAAAAGATATTAGAGCGCCATCTATTGATGAATTTGTATTGTATGTTGTAAAGTCAATAACTGTTGTACTGTTGAGGATGGTATATAGATTAAAAGCCCATATGACAGAAAGTGGTAACCGTTGCTATATTAGCATAGAAGATTTTGTTATCTCTACTGGCAAATAGAGATTGATGTTAAAATAACCTCTATTAAGTATGACAGGTAACATAAAAGAGGTGTCCAAGTGACGTACGTGACGTAAATTAAGTGTAAGGTACCCACTAGATGGAGCGACGATCTCAAATTTCAGGTAATCAGTGAATGTAGGTGACTCAGAACCATTCCTTATAGTAATCTCTATGGGGAAGGCTTGCGTTCAGTGGTGAGTAATTAATAGCGGGAATAATGATGAAGCTTGACAGGGACATCATCAACTGTGTTTACAGCACAGTATCATGTGATGAAAAAGTGATGATGATAAAGATTGACTGTAATGCCATCTACCGTATTATACAGGACAGTATCCAAACCTGCAGGAGAGCGTGACTGCGTCACCGTCGTTGACAATCTGCGACTTGGCGTGATCCACAATCCTGGGTGGCTTATCGCCCAATTTAAGAGAACCGCTCGTCACGTTGTTTTCCATTGCTGCAATAATAAAAAATTACATTTAAATCAGTTTGTTCAAAAAAATTACATTTAAATTAGTTTGTTCATTCGTCGCTGATGTTCGTTTCTAATTTACTAGTTTTAGATTATGTATCCTTTTAAGTGTAAAAGATCCAATAAAGTTAATTCAGTTGTCTATCTGAATATTTTACGGTTTTTTTTCGTTCAGCTAGCTACTATGTCTTAATACAGATGTTACTTGGACTCATTTCGATACAACCAAAATTGTATCTTATGAATTGTGATTAAGATTTAAATTTTAGCGTTTTAAATCCCTTTTTTCAATAATAATATAGCCAGAACATCATATTTAAGAGAGACTTTATCTAGAACTAAATTTAGCGTTCACGATCAAAGTACATAACGAACATAATTGGAAAAGGTTATTGAACAAGAAATTAAGAAAAAAAATGTGGGTAAATAATACACTGTCTTTGACTATTATACCGAGAATGTTTTTGGTGTAATAAAGAGTTAAATAAATAAATATATAATAAAATGCTGCACTTACGTTTAACACTGACTTTACATTTGGTCTCAATCTCGCCTTGGCTGTTGATGGCCTTCAGGGAGTACACGCCTTCATCTTCAGGGAATACCTCGCTGATAGCCAGCGATGCCACGCCATTCTTGTATTTTAGATCCACAACCTGGTTGATGAATTATATAACGTATTTATAATATGATTCTTTGTTTTTTTTAAAGGATTTATGTGTGTAGTTTATTATGAATTCATTTGCCAAAATATTTGACAAAATGTTTTATAATTAAATAAATTAATTTTCGTAAACAAATGAATACAGAATTTAGTGTTATATTATTTTTAACAGTATTTAAAATATTAAAACTTAAAGTATGATATAATTATGATATTAGCATCAAAAGATTAAGGTAGTCTTTAAAAGTTAATTAATGTATGTGACACCTCCTGGCTGCAGTGACCGTTTACCAACAAACGGGCTGTATACTTGTTTGCTACCTTTGTGGTATAAAAAAGGTTTACAGAATTATACTTTATTGTATTTATACAGATATACCTATTAATTTTTTGTGTTTTTATGGTTAAACATAATTAAATTATTTTATTAAAAATATTCATTATTTATATGTAATTTGCGATAAGATGAAAAATTATTTAAATAAAATGGTGGTCATATTTTGTTGATTTTACCATAAAGACTCTCCAAGTAACAAATTCTGAAAACTTTGGAACATTTTTATTAATTAATCGATTTTTTTTATTTATTGGACATCAGCAAATCATTTTATGATCAGGTCATTTAATCATTTGTTTGTATTTTCATTAAGTTTTATTAAAACAGATTATTTATACTATAATCTGTATATGTAATATTAGTAGAGGATTTTGTAATGCGTATTCGTGTAGGTGCGTGTGCGTGCGTGCGTGCGCGTGCGTGTACGTGTGCGTGTACGTGTGCGTGCGTGCGCGTGCGGCGGCTCACCTCGGAGGAGTGCAGTGGCTTGCCGTCCTTGTACCACTGCACGCGCGGGTCGGGGTCGGCCCGCACGGCGCACGACAGCAGCAGGGGCGCCCCGTCGCGGGCCACCGTCGTGTCGGGCAGCGCGCGCGCGAACGTCGGCGCGCTCATCTGGGCGTCCGACGCCGGCACTAACGGACACAACCGTATGTTTTTACTCGTTTACAGATGCATTTATACAGGACATCGCGTCCTTACTATATGATACCAGTGTTACCAGATACTTGTAGTATTGGGCGCATTATGGGGTAGAGTGCAAATTAGGGGCATAGAGCAAGTAAGATGCACGACCTTTGGCTACTACTGAAAAAAGAGAGTCGTCTGCCATCGATTGGGATACCTCAATTTTCTTTCAATCCCTCATTCGAGTTACTATCTAATAATGTAACTAGAATAGTACAAAAAAATCAAGAAAAAACTAACAAAAAATATAAGAATTTATATTGTACAGCGCCCTATATCGTAATTGAAACATTCTGTAAACACTACGAAATAAAAAAAAATAATGACAATTATTATAATATTTTATCAAAGACAGAAATAATTTCAGACTGAATAGGCACACCCACTCTCACTTATCTAATATTTATTTATTTATTCATTAGTACAAATATGTGTACATGGCGGACTTAATGCTAAAAGCATTCTCTCCCAGTCAACCATAGGGAAGTGTCAGAATACTCGAATGCGGTACTACTAATTATTGATATACATACATACTAAAATTACATATATAAACGAATAATAACAAATATACTTACACATATATGATATATACTATATTATACATGAAATTAAGAATAATATAAAGCACTTACTGCTCGGATATCACTTTTTTATGAAAATTTTACTGATTTATGTCTTTCCTATATTAATTATTTATACATTCTATCAATTTTAAGTTTCCCTAATAAAGTAAAATAAATTATAAACAGTACTGTACTTACAGACTAATTCCTTAGTAGCACTACGTGATCTGGACGACGTGTCAGAGTCTAACTTGGCCCCGTATTTCTTCTTGCTAGGGTCCACCGACGTCTGCGGGGAGAACTTGGGTCGGGGGCCAGCTGCATGTGTTTTTGGTGGAGGGTCTATTGTCACCTGTAATTTGAAAACAGTTTAGAAATATATTGTCGATTTTTCAAAACATTTGTACGAATCACAATATAATAGTTAATTTTCTTCCATCAAGTGGACCATCAATTTATCAATCACAAAGAAAAATATCGTGTGGTCCCGGCGTAGAACAGGTCACCCCTTCCTTTCCCGTGGGTATCGTAAGAGGCGACTAAGGGAAGGCGAGGGATGGACAACAGCGTTCCTCTTAAAACATTTTCAAAGCCGTGCGTTTGCCAACCCGTTTGCCAAACATAGCAGCTACTGGCAAAACCCCCAACCGAGTGGGTTATGTTCAGCAGTGGACAGTTAAAGGCTGATATGATGATGATGAAACAAAATCACTTTTCATATGGTACCTTAGCCATACAACTGTAATATATAAGTAACTGTAACATATAAATAAATACTACTGAATATAGCGCCATCTAGTTCCAAACTAAGCACACTCTATACTATGGGAACTATATAGACAGCTGAAATGTATTTTTTTGTATATACGTACCTACTATATATAGAAAACACCCATATCAATACAAACAATCATACTCATGATACAAATACAATACAAATATTTGTATTGTATCCTCGAGGGTACAAAAAATTGTATTTTGGACTTAAGGAAGATATATTATATAAGGCAGTATATTTATTTATTTATATATTAAACCGCTACATTAACATAGTTGCCAAAATATAATAAAAAACATCAAATATCAATTCTAACCTTTGTCTTTGTGATAATGGCGGGCGGTGCCGGTTTGATCGGCTTCTCGATGTACCGCCGGTCGCCAGAGTAGAGGAAGTTGTGCGCAAGCGCAGCCTGCTCTGGAGACACCACCTCGCCTGCGGAGAAGAAACACTCTTATAAATAACATATATAGGCACAAGTAGATAATTTTATCGTCATAATTTAGGCCACATAAATGCAAAATGAGCTTCCTTGGCTCAATTCAAAGACACGCTTTTCGAATTATATAGGACAGTTGGAGGTCTTTAAATATCTCTAATTTTTACAATAACGTTATGTTAGTTTATTCTATTTATTTATTTATTTATTAGTACATGTATGTGTACAAGGCAAAATTAATGCTAAAAGTATTCTCTTCCCATTCAAGATATTGTCTTCCTTAGTTTTTTTTTTATCGCTTGTTACATGGAAGACGATTTGGGAAATTATTTAAAACTATCACTCTATCTCTTTTTCTGTACAAAATATTTTTGGATAAACTGTTGAATGTGATCAGATTTGAACAAGGAGCAATACATTTAGCAGCTTCTATCTTTGACGCACCATATATAATGGAATCTTCCTCACAGAATCTATGCTAAGTATAACTTGGACCTTCAAAAAAGGCCTACTCAAGCCAGAATAATGCGGGCTGCAGGTTAAATGAAATTTTGCATTGGACCTGCGGACTACATAGACTCCAAAAATCACTTACCACCAGGTGACTACGGAGTCAATACAGCAAATGCCAATAAAAAAAAAGATATAATATGTAGTGTATGGCTTCAAACAGCATACCCTCAACGATGACGACGCAGGAGGTCTCGTCGGTGCCGTGGATGTTGGTCGCGACGCAAGTATATTTGCCGCTGTCCTCGGGCCGGCAGTCCACGATCTCCATCGTCACTACACCGTCCGAATGAGTCATCGAGTAGTCATATTTGGACAGCTCCTTCTTATCCTTGTACCTGTGGTGCATTACAATAACCCATTATAGTTTCCTCGCTCGCTATGGACTGGAAATTCATATGCCAGTAGTTGCCACGCTTGGCAAGCGAATTGGCAACCGCAATTAAGCTATGAAGGTGTTTTAAGAGGGACGCTGCCCATCCCTTATCTTCCCTTAGTCGCCTCTTACGACACCCACGGAAAAGAAAACACACGGACCATTTGACAGTTATCGTTTGACAGTGACAGCTACATTATCCAGGGGGGAAGAATTGTTAATAATGCGGACTACTACCAGTCCCATTGCTAGCAATATATCCTGTCAGGTCGACCTCCACGTGGTCCTTCCTGGAAACCATCGTGCTGAATCCCAGGTGTATTCATCGCGATGGGCTAACTGACCTGCCTTTTCATTCTCACCTGTCATCCCTCACTGGTGCCCCGCTAGCATATATCGTTAGCGCAGACGGGATTGCCATTCCATTATCATCAATTAAAAAAAAGCAGGCGTGTGCGGGCGCATGCTGCGACAGCTACCGACTCACCATTTGACTGTGGGCGTGGGTTTCCCGCTGAGGCAGCAGAGCAGCTTGCAGGTGTCCCGCGCCTGCATGACGCGCGGCCGCAGCTGGAACGTGAACACGGGCGCCGTCTCGCTCGACTCCTGCCAGAACGTGTACGGCAACGGCTCGCGGCGGCGCGGGGCTTCGGCCAGGTGCTGGCGCTGCACTTTAGGCACCGCTGGTGGACATACACACACACACACACACACACATTATATATATAACGATATACCTTGCTGATTTAACCCTTCTTTGCATGATTTTTTTTATTAGTGAAATAAATCAAGGTGATATAATTCATGTTCAAAATTAAAGGAAAAATGGTTAAAAAATAAAGTTGACAGCTATGTTTTTTTTCTGCAATGAAAATTAAAAAGGTATCCAGACACGATCAACTTAAAGTGAACTTTTTATTTTATATAATTTTTAGGCATTCAATGTTATGATGGAAATTTCCACCATTATACAAAGAAGGGTTAATGAATTTGTTACAGAAAATGAAGACAATAGATTCTTCTATTTTGACATAAATATACTAGTTGTTTCCCGTGACTTCGTCTGCTTGAATACAGATACAAAAATGTAAAAAATTCAATGTGTTAAGTTAGGATATAATCTACAAGTGTATTTAATTCAAATACAATGAGCCGTTTAAGCGTAATCGAATGACGGATATGCAAACATCTTTACAAATTTTACATTTATAATATTAAAAGGATATCACGATAAGTTAACTCATAACACATGTTAATATTATGTGCATCAGTTCCATATAGAAAAAGCTGAAAGATAAAATTTCCCAAAATGTTCCATATGTATGGAATATGTATACTAAAATATATTATCATATCAGCCATTAACTGTGTACTGCTGAATATAAGCCTCCTCACATATGGGAGGGGGGGGGGGGGGTTGGTTAGACAGAATTTGTCACACTTAGCAGGCGGGTTGGCGATCGCAGTTAGTCTTTTTTTATTACCAGTACACTATTTTTAGTGTCCAAAATATTGAATGTCAACTACTTTACCACATAACACATAAAAAAGCGTTGTCAACGATCACTTAAATAAAGACTTTAATTTACCTCAAATACGGCACAATTTTCTTTACACCTCAACTTTCTAATTCCACGTATTTAATTATGCAATATTAAACTTCATTTAAATGTGGGAAATAAAAACAATATGTATCGGCACTCGAATGCAAATTAACAATGCATCGAATAGATCAGTGCATGCCAACGGACTCACAGCGGTACGAGAATAGAAAACGCATTCGTGACCCAATTGTTAAAGCAATAGCTAACGTGAGGATTATAATACTAATTATCTATATAAATCAAAATTTAATACTGTTCGTTTGTAAGTAATTAAGAACGCTTAGATTTGATTTGGGATTGAGAATGATTCTCGAAAGTCTGATTAAGATTATTAGGTAAAGAATAATTTTTCTGGAAGAAATCCCTTCGTAGAATAAGTCCGCCTACGTATATTTTCGATATAAACTGATGTCTGTATTAAAAGTGAATGTACAAAAGCATATAAATACATAAATAAGACTTTGTTTCACAAAAAAATATGGGCTTCATTTGTGCCAAAACCAGTTATTTTAAATTAAAAACAAAACTACTAAACAAATTTTGATTAAATTTCTAAGGAACTAATATGGAAGTATATCCTATCAGTAAAAAAGAATTTTCCAAATCAGGTTATAAACAACGAACTTACGAGATTACATTTTTTTACTAAATGATAGGTTGTGGTAGATATACCAGAGGAAGACTTTGTACAATACTCGATTGCTTGGATACCTCTGCCCCATTCGTGTTTCTACCGTGAAACAGTTATGTTTGCATGGCTGTGTTTCGGTTTGAAGGGTGGGATATGGCGTGAATTTACAGGGTACAGAGGAATAACACCCGAGTCCTCAGGAATGGCAACGCATGGGGGGTATCATGGGTGAAACAGTATACTCTGTTATATACATGATACAGCTCATGTCTATAGGCGACGGTTACCACTTTCCATCAGGTGGGCCGTCAGCTCGTTTGCCATTCTAAGTTGTATAAAAAAAATCCTCATTTGATGGAAAATTACAACACACAAGATGAAACGAGCTCACTCAGAATATAACTTTAGAATAGAATAATATAATTAGGTATTTGGTCCATTAATTTTTCTTCGTTTATTATATTTTTCAAACTTTTAATACATTGAAATAGAAATAGCAAGTAATCTCCTATAACACATAGAAATTACTTCAAAGATATTATATATCCTAGTTGATTAAAAATTAAGGAATCTACATGGAAAAGAGATCGAATTTTACCGCAATGAACGAGGATGGAGATACAAATAAAAAAAAAACAAACTAAGTATTTAGGAAATGTCCATGACATTTTTTGTATTTGGAAATTGAACTGAATAGGCAATGAATTATGAGAAGCGACAAATTACACAAACTTTTCGAAAAGGAAGGGGGGGAATTACTAATTATGAGATCTAGCAACCCCATTGCTAATATCATACTATGTTTTTTTTTGATGGATGAAAATGGAATGGTAACCCCGCCTGCGCTAACGGGATACGCTGGCGGAGCACCAGTGAAGGGTGATAGATGAGAATGAAAACATACCAGTTAGCCCATCATGATGAATTCATCAGGAATCAATCGTTATAGTTTCCAGGGAGAACCGCGAGGAGGTCGACCTGGTTGGGTATATTGCTAGCAATAGGATTCTCAGTCTCCATTATTAACAATCCCTTTCCCCCCTATCATACTATGTTAAGACCTCTAACTTTGAAACCGACGTGGTTAAATCCTGACGAACGGTGTATCGTTACGATGGGCTAAACTGGCATGATTTCATCCTCATCCATCACTGGCTATCTCTTCATCAGCATATATCGACAGCACAGACGGGTCTCTATTCCATTTTTACTCATCGAAAAACAAAATACAATAAATTCACCGCGGGGAACAAACCTGCGACCTTTCTAAAGCGACCAATGTCTCCTATCACCGCTAGATAATGTCACGTCTGGCTATAATTTAACTTCGTATACTCGTCACATTTGTAATGTTGCACTCAATTTAATTGGTAAAGGTCGCGCTGCAAATTACTTCGTCTGATTTATTAGCCGTCCGCTGCACTAAGGAAATAATTTAGATTGTTCTATAGTAGTTTAGGTACATTATTTTGTGTCTATTTCAATAAGTATCGCATTCGACTTTCACATCAAAGGCTAGTCAACTTTTTAGATAAAGAATGCTACTTGCACTATTATAAACTACGTACAGTCTATATTAATATAAGTAAATAAGAGAGATTTGATTGTCTGTTTGTAAGAATCTCAAACACTATTCTATTTTAAAAATTCTATATATTTTTTTTAATTTTCGTCATATTACTTGGAATGCATAACGAGTTTCAATTTTTAATTAGGTATATATGGGACTTCGCCGTGTAGTCCCGGCATAGAATAGGCCACCCCTTCTTTCCCGTGGGTGTCGTAAAAGACGACTATAGAAGGGCGAGGGGGTGGGCAGCAGCGTCTTTTTTATAACATATTCAAAGTCTAACTGTGATTGCCAATTCGCCTGTCAAGCGTGACAACTATTGGTAAAACCCTCAAAGGGGGAGGCTTATGTTCAGCAGTGGACAGTTAAACGCTGATATGATGATATAATGATATGATGATGATGATATGATGATAATGATGATATAAAGCTACATTATCAGCGAGTAATGGGGGCTATAAATTATTTTCTAAAATTCTATCTAGCCGTAGGAAGTCAGGCATCCCGCCTGACTGATTAGTAATATGTAAAACGGAAGAGTTTATTTGTTTAAACGGGTTAATGAAACGGGTTAATCTTTTTTATGACAGTCGGATTTATAACTTATTTTTTGCATTTGCTAGCTCATATTATAAAACTTTAAAGGATGTATCAAAGTTTCTCTTTACATTTGGTATTCACGGATATTTTTATACTATTATTAATTTCCTAACAGACTGTACTAATTATTATAAAAAAATATCGACAGAGACAAGTAGCACATTTATTCAATTTATCCTGGACTGGACAGGTGAAAAAAAATTCATTCTTAGCCACAGTGGGTAAAGTGTGTAGGGTCAAGTGGAACTGACGGAATGTCCACGAAATATCTTATATTTTATAGAACCTCATATCAAACGATTACAAATCAAAAACACTGTAATTTAAATAAAAACAATAGCTTTTGTTAGAAATATTTTAGAAGTATAACATTTTATAGTTCCCTTTAATTTGTAATGAAATTGTTTCACTATATGAATAATTTCGCAGAACCCTGAATACTTTTTTACGAAACCCCTGGGTTCCGTGGAACCTACTTTAGGAATCACTGGTCTATGATCTAGTAAAAAATGTAACTAGGTTTGGCTATGATTCAGCTCTCTTCTGTTCGACGCTTGATGAAGTTAGTTTGTCTCTCCAATTATATTTCAGTTATTCAGTAAATTATAAAAATGCAATACATTCAGATATTGTGCTTGTAAGTTACAAGAAATAAATCGAAAATGGAATCCAATAATTTTCAGTTTCATTTATCAAACCATCAAAGCCATGTACGCAATATATTTATAGGGGGGAAAGGGATTGCTAATGATGGAGACTGAGAATCCCATTGCTAGCAATATACCCAACCAGGTCGACCTCCTCGCGGTTCCCCCTGGAAACTATCATGGTTAATTCCTGACGAATTCATCATGATGAGCTAACTCGCCTGTTTTCATTCTCATCTATCACCCTTCACTGGTGCTCCGATAGCGCAGGCAGGGTAACCATTCCATTCTCACCCATCAAAAAAAAAAAATATACACATTATACATAGAAATCCCTCAGAATAATACGAACACTCATAATCATTATAAATGTGAAAGTCAGTTGGTTTGTTGCGTCTTATCGCTTTAACGGCGTAACTGATCATTATGCACTCGATTTGGAAAAGGACATTTGGAGAAGGCTCTTTTTTATCCAAGTCACTGAACATATCCCGATCACGCAGACGAAGTCACGGATAAAAGATAGTATTTATATAAATGTTTGTAACGATGTTACAAAAAGGCTGGTACTTACGTTGCACGTTGAGGAAGACCACCTCCTCGCGGAAACCGTAGTGGTTCTCCGCTCTGATGATGTACTCGCCGCGGTCCTCCAGCTTCGCGCGATTTATTATGAAGTAGTAATCGTCGCCAGCATATCTGTACCATGATAAGGCAACAATTAGTTGAAGTTGGCCAGTGGAAGACTAAGATCACGATTTTTTAAGGCCGAGGGAATGTAACTCTCATGAGACATGATTTTTTTAAGGCCGGGGTATGTAATTCTCATGAGACGTGATTTTTAAGACCGGAGGTCTGTAAAAAAAGTTAATAAAAGGTGAAGTCAAATACTCAACCAGTCTTTATTTTAATTTTATATTTAGTTTTTTTTTTTTAATATTTGTTTTATGCTAGTCTTTATCACATTTATTTTCTTTGCATTGGAAGAAGAGAACTATTAGTAATGGGGCCTGGTAACACTATCGCTAGCACCGCACTCTTTCTATGTTTATATTTTTTTTTTATTTAATTATCATACATAAATACATTAAAAAAATTTTATTTTTAGTACCACTTAAACCTCTTGGGCTTGTGTGTGATACTTTACATTCGGTTCTCAAATATCACTAACTATATATATATATATATATATATATATATATATAATATTTTTATATAATATTATATAATAACATAATATATATATATATATATATATATATATATATATATATATATACCTCTTCATGAATTTGACAGACTGCCGGAGCTCGTGGTTGTTCCTCGACCAGGTAACTGTGGGCGCCGCTACAGCGATGATGCGGCAGTACAGCTTCACAGACTGTCCCTCGTAGCAGAACGCAGATTGTGGCTTGATCACGAACCGAGGCGCCGCTTGCCGGCGATCTATAGTTATTAGGTATTAATACAACATGAACATTTATAGCTAATCAGAATTACCTACATATTGATATTATTATATATGCTTTAATACCTATCGATGAATATCTAGTATATGAACGCACCCAAATTTTCTCACATATTTTTGTCGAGAAATTTGGGTGCGTCCACAATGGATGATGAGAAATGATTACACAATTTGTTTAAATGCGCGCTATTTTAAAACAAAAATTTAATTTGTATATTGGATATTTTTGTATATCAATATTTTTAATGCTATTTTGGTCAACTCCTAAACTTTATTCAAGTAACATTTTATATAGGAACTTTGAATAGAATATATAATTTAGGCTTTATTATACCCAATTTAATGTCAAAAATTGATAGATATATAAAGGACATATAGTTTATAGACTATATCTATATTAGGGTGCAAGTAATTATTTGTGTGAACACATCTCAAGTTACAGCGAGAACTCACCGAACTGTCCGTCGTAAATCTTCCATTTCTCGATGAGCAGTTTGCGCAGCGAGCTGTACTCGCTCAGCCTGCCGATCGGCAGCACGAACGATGACCAGTTCTAAATATAGAGCGTAATTATTATTATTTTTTTTTGTGATAGATAACAATAGTTTATGAAAAAAATAACGTTAACAAAAGTCGTCTATACTCTCTATCATACTTACGTTTCTATTATAAAGGAACTGTGCTGATACATGGTTGCATTTTGGTTTGAAGCGTTTGCCTAGCTTGTGTCTTTCTCCATCCCATATAATACGTGTACCCGAAATTTCACAGTGATTGGTTAAGCCGTTAAGGCACTATAAGGTAACAAACAAACTAACAAACACACTCACTTTTACATTTTACATATTAATAAGAATTACAACAATAAAACATTACTGTTGTAAGTAAACTATTGCTCACAATTGATACATGGTTGCATTTTGGTTTGAAGCGTTCGTCTAGCTTAAAGCTTACTTATAACATTGTGTTGTAATTATTGTGAATATATTGTTGGTGTATCTTTTATAAATAAACAAATAACAGAAAAAAACAGAAACAGCAATGTACGTACGTCGTAGCGTCGCCGCAGCCGGTCCCGCATGGCCTCGTAGCGGCGCGCCTCGATGGTGGCGGTGCGGCCGGCCGCCGCGTCGCCCGCCAGCCACTTGTGCATCAGGCACTCGTGCGCTGTCATGCGTTTCCTGCCACAGAACACAAACAACCACACTTTAATACCCATTTTTACTTTTTACTACACCTTGCTGACCCGACAGACATCGTTGTGCCCCCTACCGCCATCTACCGGACCCGTTTCTTATTGTCGGGATAAAAACTATCCTAAGACCACGCCTCACCATCTGGAGAGAGCTTAGATCCAGTGACGCGGGGTAGTTGTCCCCGCAGTTGAAACTGGGGCAAAGGGGTTTGCCCCGAGGCCCCCAACTAATTTCTCCTAGAAGGGTCTAGATAACCCGGATTGATTGAAACTACCTTATCTCTGAAATTGCAACAAACAATACGTATTTAGGTACTGATGTCAATATTAAATTTTTTTATGCAACTTAGAATGGCAAACAAGCTGACAGCCCACCTGATGGAAAGTGGTAACCGTCGCCTATAGACATGAGCAGTACCATGGACATAACAGAGTGTACTGTTTTGCCCATGATACCCCCCATGCGTTGCCATTCCTGAGGATTCAGGTGTTATTCCTCCGACCCAGTAATTTCATGCATTGATTGAAATATTTGTATTTTTTTTTTTTTTTTTTTTTTTTTTTTTATACAACTTAGAATGGCAAACAAGCTGACGGCCCACCTGATGGAAAGTGGTAACCGTCGCCTATAGACATGAGCAGTACCATGGACATAACAGAGTTTACTGTTTCGCCCATGATACCCCCCATGCGCTGCCATTCCTGAGGACTCAGGTGTTATTCCTCTGTACCCAGTAAATTCACGCCAAGTATTGGCAGCTAACACTAGTTTGTATGGGATAAAGAATAAGATATACAAGTTTTTAGGTCTTTCCTGTTTTCTTTTTTCCAAAATTTCTCTTAATTAAAAAATTCCAAGGACTTCTATAAAAAAAATGTAGTTTAGCCATTTTCAAATTTTGCGCTTATCACGTTGAAATGGGGTGAAAGATTTCCTGTTAATTAACAAACTATTACGAAGTTTCATTATTTGTTATTATTTTCATTATTAATGTATCTCTTTCAGAGAAAAGTCCTCCCTTCCTAACAAGTTGTTAAACTAATTGTCGCATGTATTGTTTAAGTACAATAAAGAAAAAATATATATATATATACCTATATTTGTGCAATAAATTAATTGAAATAAATATAATTAATTCGACCGCATATAAATTTAAAATGTATAAAAATAATAATTAAAGCAATATATACTAACTCCTTGTTTTTGACGAGCAGCCTCCTAATGAAGTCTTTCGCATCATCTGACACGTGTTGGAAGGCTTCCTCGTCGAATTCCCAGTCGCATGCTTTCACATTCTTCAGTGTTTCTATGTCGTTATTGCCAGCAAACGGTGACAGTCCTGATAATCTGTTACAACAAAAAACAGTCTATACTAGCTATATTTTATAATTATTAATTGAATAAATCTGCCTTCTGGTCCCGGCATGGAATGAGCTACCCCTTCCTTTTCCGTGAGTGCATAAGAGGCGATTAAGGGAACTTAAAGTTCGTGGGATGGGCAAAACCATCCCTCTTAAAACATCACCAAAGCCTATCTGCAGTTGTCAACATGCCTGCCCAGTGCAGCAACTACTGGTAAAGCAGGAGGCCTATGTTCAGCTGTGGGCATGCACATGCAGTTAATAATAATAATTTTTATTTCGGACTTTATTGGTCCATTAATATATATATATGTGACCTGTAATACAGATATTCTTATACCTATCTCAGGCACCAGTCTCTCACAATTATATTTATAATTTGATTACTTTAATATAAGCATGTCTCATTGTATTTCACTGTGATGAATTGTGAAGAGAAAATAAATCTATTTATTATTTATATATAATAAGTAGATATAATAGTAAAAAATAAAAATGGATATTATGTAATAATAAAATAAAAAAATAGCGGAAAAGACGGAGCATAAAAAGGAATATGTTGAAAGATATATATAGAGACAAGAAACTAAATAAATACTAAATTTAAGAATAATTTAAGATTGTCTTTCAAAATAAAAATTCAATTGCGGCAAAACCGGTTATTTCGATTTAAAAATTGAACTACTGAGCTGATTTTGGTAAAATTTATATAGGATCAATTTAAAAAAATATATCCTTTCAGATATAAAAGAATTTTCTATATCGGTTTTTAACTGACAGAGTTATGAGGTGACAGGTTATTAGTTTTTATTATTCAGCATTGGACAAAGAGGAAGTGGAAGACCGAGGAATTACTACTACATGGGACAGATAAAGGAAACATTAGGTGTCATGTCGTATAGGGAGATCAAAGATATGGCCTGGGATAGAGCTGGCTGGAAGAAGGTGCTTGAATCAGTTGCATCGACAAGAGGAAACTCTTAAATGAAAAGAAAAGAAGATTGGACAATGTATCCATTTTATTGATGAATTTTATTAAAAGGCTTTGAAATTGAATGACTTACAAGACGTAAGCCAGCACACCGACGGCCCACATGTCCGTGTAGAAGCCGACAGGCTCGCGCTCGACGATTTCCGGGGCGGCGAACTCGGCTGTGCCCGTCGATATCTTCACCACCTCGTTCGGGTCCAATTTTGTGGCTAGCCCGAAGTCAATGATCTAAAACATATTTAAAATTATTGTCACATGTTTCTTAGTGATAGACCGATCTTTCCTAGAGATTACAGTATGGGATTCTTAAGGGCGTATTAAGGTTCCGTAAGAGTCTGCAACGCGTGTGTGACATCCCTGCAGTTACAGACGTATAAGCAACAGTAACCGCGATTACCATCAGACGCGTCATATGCTTGTCTGACACAATAGTAGTATAAAAATTCTGTTTCTAGATACTTTGTTTTTATGTAGATATATATAAAGTCCCGGATAATATAATAAATAATTATAACAAATACATATAATAAAATCGTAACTGGTCGCTGTTTGTACATGGAAGATATATAAGAAAAACTATTATAGAGGGGTTTTATGAAAGTAATACAACCTAGATTATTAATTTTTAAAAATTTCGTCGGTTTGTTTATTTGCCTGTATGTCTGTTTGTCTGTACGTACACACTAATCTCAGAAACGAGTTAACCGATTTAAATGCGGTTTTCACTAATGTGTTGCATATTGCTCCACTTAACATGTGATGTTTGTTTTATTGTATGAGCAACACGCAAGTTTCTTGCTCGTTCTTCTTGTGATGAGACAGCTTTCCGAACGAGCGGTAGATTAAAAAAAAATGTAATGACTTTTCAAAAGTGCTTCAATGTAAGTTTATTTGAATAAATGATTTCTATTCTATTCTATTCTATTTCAATCGGTTCATAAATAAAAAAGTTATATCAATCTAAAGAATCACATATGAAATGCTATTAAAATACCCGATCAGTTGAATTAGCCGAAACTTTTTTATTGTATGTATTGATTTTCGAAAATTCTGTCTACTCGTGCGAAGCCGGGTCGGATCGCTAGTATTAAACAAGATAATAAAACACAGCAAAGAAAAAAACATCTGTTTTAAAAACGAAAAAAAACCTTTTATATAATTTTTTTTTTTGTATGTATGTTTTCTATTTTTGTAAATGTATATCTGTATTTGTCTCTATTTGCACCTATGTTGAAGTAACACAAATAGATTATTATCTATCTAAACTACAAACCAAAGCTATAACCCTACCTTGACATCAGTGCCGGTCCTGGTCTGACACATCACGTTCTCCGGCTTGAGGTCGAGGTGGATGATGTTCTGTTCGTGCATATGGCGGACTCCCTCGCAGATCTGGCGCATGTAGTGGGCCGCCTCCGCCTCGCTCATGTTGTAGCCTGGCTCTGTGATGCGCTCGAACAGCTCGCCTCCAGACAAGCTGGCAAGTCGGAGAGTATTGTCAGTTATGCTCTATGACTTTATAGACATTTGAATTTAGAATACGACAAAAAAAAACATTGGCATAAATAAATAAATAAATAAAAATATATTAACAATTTTGAATAGTCTTTTTTTATGAATCTACCTCCCAGTTTGAAATGTAATTTTAGAAGAACTTTTAAATTTTTAATCACATATCACAGAATATATAGCAATAAAATATATAATAAAATATTCGAAGAATTCTATAAAAAAAAAACTATCTACTAATTATAATTCGAATCTTTATATATATATAGAAGCCAAATCAATATTTTGTTAAAATTTTCTCTATCTTTTTATTGTGTATGTTTGTTCCTGCATTGCATAAAAACTGCTGTATCAAATTAGATGCGATTTTCATAGTTGTATGTTTTATAATGATACGTTATCTAGAAGTGGTCTATTTCATTGATTTTCTTATTACTGCTAATGACTACTAAGCTAGTCATTTATTAAAAAAATCACGTGAGTAATCGAAAATAGAAAATAAACATTAGCTACAGTCCAATAAAGTATTTTAATGGCTAATTTAATATTTAAAAGTAAATCAATAAAGCATTACTCACAATTCAAAGATGAGCACCATCTCATCATCGTCTTCGAAGGCGTCGTGTAGATTGATCAACTTCCTATGGTGCAACTGGTTCATAATGTCGATCTCCTTCTTTATGAGCTCCTTCTCCATGGCGCCGCTCACCGGTATGAACTTAGCCGCGAAGTAGTTGCCGGTGCTTCGCTCGCGGCAACGGTGCACCACGCCGAACGCGCCTGTGCCTACAACAGTGCACGTTACATCACGCCTCGGTTTTTGGATTCTATGCCGCTCTCTACAAAGTCTAGATTCGCTCGTGAGATTATAGATGTTTTAAATGGTAATGTGTTTGGTTCGATATTTAAAAATACTTTTTTTTTTATTTATCATAAGTATAATTATCTTCCGTAATCATAAAAGAAGGCTAAGGAACCTTTTCAAGCGAATTTAAAAAGAAAGAAGTACTCAATTTGGTTGTATTTTTTTTTATATTTGTCACCTCATAACTTTGTCAGTTCGAAACCATTTTGATTTTCTTTTTTATCTGAAAGAATATACTTCTAGTTTGAAGTCATAGAAATTTTATCAAATTTAGTTGAAGACTCTAGTTTTTAGATAAAAATAACTAATTTAATCCCAACTAAAGTCAGATTTTTTGTTAGGCACAATTTTTAATATTATTAATTCAATTGTTCTGTCTCTTTCTTCCGAGCTATTTTCTTCATTTGATAAACAGTATACATTTATTTATATTAATCTATTATAGTATTTTGAGTGGTTTTATTTTATAAATAAAATTATTTGGATTAAATACAATATAAATGGAAAATAAAACAGAATCAAAGACGATCTCAATTACCTAATACTAATTAAGAACAATGGAATTTATTATAGGTATATTAGAAATTGTAAAACTTTGATCATTCTATAATCTCACGAAGGAATTTTCTCGTAAATTATATAGTACAGTCAAGATCAAAAATGTTTCGTCAAACTCTTGGTATTATATATATATAAATATTTTAACAACCTATCTAATATATTTAATAACGACTACATGATATTACCGTATTGATATAAATGTGTATACAAAATGTCATTAATTGTTTCTACATGTTATATATGAGGCCTATCAAATCAAAAACTGCTAAATCCAAGTCTGTCAAATGTTCAGGAAACTACAAAAACTAATATTTTGTCAAGAATATGGAACGATATTAAATATTTTAACCCAGATAAAAGAAAATTAGTTTGTTTTATACAACTTAGAATGGCAAACAAGCTGACGACCCACCACGGTCGGCGGCTACCACGGAAAGTGGTAACCGTCGCCTATAGACATGAGCAGTACCATAGTAATAAGTTGCCATTCCTGAGGACTCAGGTTGTTATTCCCCTGTACCCTGTAAATTCACGCCATAATATCCCACCCTTCAAACCGAAACAGCCATGCAAATAAAACTGCTTTACGGTTGAAACACGAATGGGACAGAGGTATCCAAACAAACGACTTTTGTACAAAGTCTCGCTCTGGTAAAATTAGAATATTAGTAATAAATTAAATTTTAATTAATAGAACATTTAATTAAGAGAAATATTTGAATACAGAGTGAAAATGAAATCGATTTTATGGCGTTTAGCTGCCTTTAATTTTATAGGCCTCATATGTATAATTAATTTGCAGATTTGTCAAAGAGAGTAAATTGTTGGTCGAAATAATTTTGATCTGACCGAATTGTGCCAATTAAATGTAACTAGGAAGACGCGCATTCCCGTTAAAATATTGTCTTGTGACATATATACGAGTGTATAATGACAAAGCTTAAAACCGTGCACTTGTTCTACTCTATATAATACTATATATAATAGTATAAAATAATATTTATTTTTAATAGTGTGTTTTGTTTAAAAACCTATAACTTAATCAAATTATGTAATTTAGTAAGTCTGTATGAATGGACACCTGTATAACGGAAAAACAAAATTGTTTAATGCAATACATATTTTATACATACACATAATTTGGATTTTCCTTTTAGAATAGTCCGATACGAATTTGAAAAAACAAAATCTATATGCTCAAATTTAAACCTTAACTAGACCAAAAGTCATAATTTTAGCCAAGGTTCGACTAAAATTATAAATTTTGGAAAGCTGCCCACCCATTTGCTTTAAAAAAAAATAAGTTATAGATTTCTATTTTACACCATTAATAAATATATGTATTTAATATTTAAAATACCACATGCGTATACCTAAATATTTATATACATATATATGTACGTATAATATAATATAGAGTATGCGTGTGAGACAGAGAGATGCAGAAAGAGATGCACTACATCGATCTATTCACACACAGACCTCCGGCGCGTTTCCTTTTAGATGACGCTCTCACGAAGTCACCTGCGAAATTGAGTTCTATGTACCAAGATTTATAGTTCAAAATCGGCTAAGTTAGTATCGTACTATGTTAATAAAAAAAACTAGTAAAATCTGTGTTGATTTTATAAAACTGAAAGTGACAATACAACTCTTTCAGTTCTATCTTGCAGAAATGATATCTTGTATATAATTTTAATATAAAAATATTAATGTACAGTCTACTGCAAAAGTTTGTTATAGTAAAGAGGTAAATACAATTGAATGTGTACAAACGCTTTTGTTGCCGACTGTATCTACATACGTATGTACAATGACAATATTAAAAATAAATTTTGTGTGTGTATGTGTGTTTTGATGTATTGAACGTTTAATATCATTTCTGTATCGCAATACTACAATTTCTAAGCAACTTCGTGAGTCATATTTACTACGTTCAATTAACATGCCGATAAGTCGTTTATATTCATTTATTATATATATTTTTTTAAACCAAGTGTATTATTAAATGCAAAGTGAAATTAAGTTGTTTTAAATTTAATATATTAAATGCTTTAAAATCCCATGCTGAGCTTAATACTATTACAAATTATATGTTAGAATAGTGTTAAAGTAAAGCAGATATATTGATAAAGGAGATATTTTATTACTGATCCGATGTTGTACAGTACTTTAAAGGAAGAAGGATGACCAAAGATGAGATGGATAGACTTTTTTTTAATGGATGATAATAGAATGGTTCCTGAATTGGAACCTCGCCTGTGCTATCGGTATACACTGGCGGGGCACCAGTGATAGATGATAGGTGACGATTCCACTATAATTACCCAAGATGGTTTCCAGGGGGAACCTCGTAGAGGTCGACCTGACAGGGTGTATTGCTAGCAATGGGGTCAATTAGACCCCATTACTAACAATCGCTTTCCGCCGAGATGAATGGACTGTGTGAAGGATGATATGCATAAAAGAAGAGTGAGGTATTTGTGGAAGAAGAAGACATACTGTGCCGATACCAAATAAATAGGAAATGGCAAGGCAATGATGATAACTGTAAAGTACTTTGAAAAAAAAAATTGGTAAAATTAGATGAATTCTCGAAAAATAAAATAAGAAGTTAATAAGTACCTTATTGACGTAAACATTAAGGTATATTTTTACTTATTCTTTATTTATTTATAAACACAAACATAGCACACAAACACACACTACCATTATTGTGTGGTTAAAGACAAACATGTTAGAATTTATGCCACATAATTAAATGTGTTAATAAAATTTAACTGCTGTATTAATTCATTAAAGTTAATAATATAATGAACATGGCAGAGTTTTTATTCAGAACAATTAGAGATTATTAGATTTAATCATAAAATTGTCACAAGTATGTATTCCTATCCTGTGTATGTACACAGGATAGAAGTTTTTTTTTTTTTGGAATATATTGTATTTTCACGAGTAGATTTAGGCTTTTAGGTTTAAAAATAGAAAAACAAACACCAACATTAAAAAAAAAAGCTATTGCGAGCAAATTATCTACCTTGATTTCTTCTATTTCTACTATTTAAAATTTCCTCATTAAAAAGCATTTTCAATATAATTAAAAAAAAAACATATTCAACGCTGCCATAAATCTCGATATGACACAATTTAAACCATAAATGGGTCTTAATCCTGTAAGCGTTCAAGTGACTCGACAGAGTGAACACTCACCAATCTCCTCGAGTATGTCGTATTTGTCGTACACCGAACACGTGTTGATGTCAACCGGCTGCGGCACGTACTTGCTGTAAATGTCGAACACGTAACTATCGTAGTCCTTGACCGGGCCGTGGTCCGCGTTACTGCGGATACGTTTACCGGTCTCGTCCACTGGAAAATACGTGAATAATTAATTCTCGGCCACAATGTTGGCTATATTGTAGCCCCTTATTCATAAACACGTCAAACATTTCATAAAACAGTTTTGGCTATTGATGCGTCCTTTTTTTTGCTCTACGTTCCCAATTTGTAGAAAGTGACAAAATACATTAATTATTAAAATAGGTTTGTAAGAGATTTTAATTTTTATGATACGTTGTGCGTTAACGATTGATTGGGCTGGCACGACATTGTATATCAGAAACGCTTTTACCTAATGATTAGTCGGTAGAGAATCATAAGTTATATTTGTACAAATTTTATAGTACAATAAAGAATAAAAAATAAATAAATAAAATCAGAAACAGGAATAAAAATCAAAATACACCAATGTTATACTGCGGAACAATACCAAAATAATCTATTACAAATATATTTTTTTCATAGCCTGTTATTCATTAATGGAAATATGGGGTATTTCCTAAATACTATAAAATCATGGCTACCCACAACTATCTTTTTTTTTATTTATTTTTAAACCACCTATAACCATCGAGAACTTTATGTAGATAAAATTAATTAATAATAATATTTTATTTCCTTAAATATGGGTTTTGCAAATGCCACATATTAGGTTATGACACCACCATATTTTACCATACATGGCATGCAAACACAATTTCACAGTCATACCTGGATATTCCTTCTTCTTGAATTCCTTCTTGACGACCGCCTTGGTCTGCACGAGGGACGTGGTCTCGCTGGGGTCCGAGCGGCCGTAAATGTTCTCAGCGTACACTCGGAACTCGTATTGCTTGCCGGGTACCAGGCCCGTGATAGCCATTGTGGTGAACCTGGCCATAATACAATAAGTAGGGTTAAAAAGGTCATCTTATACCAACTAGTTAATGAACGAAAACACATATTTTTCCTTCATATTGGTTAACAATTTGTATATCAACCGTTACATGTCCACTGCTGAACATAGGCCTTTCCCATAGAGTGCCATAAGGAACGATCCTGAACCATCTCCATACACTGACTGACTGACTGCAGTGAACACTGTATGTTCACGCCACAAAGGTGTGACGCATTGAAAGCACTTCATCCCCCCGCTTTCTTCACGCGCCAGTCTATGGTCGCCGCTGACCGACGTCCGGTCGAGTCGGTCGAGTCAGTCGCCTCTGCCGCAGCGACACATTACATACATACATACATACATACATACATATCTGTCACGCCTGTCTCCCATTAGGGTAGGCAGAAACAATGGAACGCCAAATGCTTCGATTCAAACAAACCTCTTTCGCTTCTTCCACATTCATCAATCTTGTCATACACGCTCATCATACATACTCCGAAATAATACAGAGCGCTGCGCACGCGCGTCCTCTTCACTTTGACCGTTACAATGCGTCCGTCTAACTCGAATGTGCATATCGTGTCGTGGAAGGAACTGTACATTCAGCTCAGCTCATCCGCTCATCTCAGCCACATCCACACCATGCCAAGTAAGTGCCCTTTCAGTTTATTTCCCCCCAACGCCAGGACATCTCGGGTCTGGCGTCAACACTGTATATATTTCTACTGATGGAAAGTAATATAATAATCGTTGCATGTAGATCTGAATAACAGCATGGACTCCAGGAAATACATTGTGTTGATGCCACCTTTCATGCGTAGCAATTCCTGGGGACTTTTTTTATACAACTTAAAATGGTAAACAAGCTGACGGCCCACCTTATGGAAAGTGGTAACTGTCGCCTATAGACATGAACAGTACTATGGGCATAACAGAGTATACTGTTTCGCTCATGATACCCCCCCCCCCCCCCATGTGTTGCCATTCCAGAGAACTTAAGTGTTATTCCTCTGTACCCTGTAAATTCACTGCCGTATCCCACCCTTCAAACCGAAATACAGCAATGCAAATACAACCGCTTCACGGTAGAAACATGAATGGGACAGAGGACATGCCAAAGCAAACGACTTTTGTACAAAGTCTCTCACCGGTGAACCGGTGGACTATGATGTTATGTTTCTGTAACCTATAATTTTATGCAAAAAAAAAAATGCCTTGTACAAAATCTTCCTTGGTTCTTTTCTCAACTGGAAAGACACATGCACAGCTGTAGGACATCATTAGTATTTTCCACTACAAATGCTCAGGTTGCAGAATGAGCTCCCTGCCAAAGTTTTCCCTAGACTACAATATAGGATTCTTCAATAAGGATATATTAAGGTTTCTTCAGAATTGGCAAGGCGCATGGGACGCGCCTAGTGTTGTTGCAGGCGTCTATTAGTTACAGTGACCGTTTACCATCAGATAGGCTGTATTCTTGTATAACTTCGTGGTATATAGGAGAACATATATTTAGAAACACGTTACCTGGTATTTCCAACCCTGATCCAACTGGACATAGGGTGCTCTCGTTTCTCAACGAGGTAATTGGTGATGTCTGATCCTCCGTCCCATACAGGCGCTTTCCAGCTGAGCGCCAGCGAATCCACGCCAATGTTGTCCGCAGATGGGAACCGTGGCGGGTCAGGACGATCTGTAATATAATTTTGCTATTGTACAAAATGTCGGGCGGTTTAAGAATTAATTATTTATTATTTTCTCAAACATGCTTGGAAATGTAAGCATTATTTTAACAATCTCCTTTGAGATAAATCAAAATTGCCGTACTGGCCAGATTCATGCGGGTAGCGACCGGCAAAAGTTGTATAAAAATCCATATCTGTCGTGTTTTGCGGCCAGATAAATTACTATGTAAACTCGTATCTGTCCTGTAATTTAAAAATAGAATGACCTTTTACTTCGAAACATGGCTACCAAGGAGGTAACTTATAAAAGGTTTTATTTATATTTCGAATTGGCTTGCAAATAGAAACTTGTTTATTGAAAAAAAAACAAAGGAACATTATGGCGCGTGAAAAATTATTATTGTTCGTTATTCGTCATTGAATTTAAAAAGCAAAATTGTGTTTTTGATTTCCACGCATTGTTTGAGAAGAGTACTATACAAGCCTTGGCCACAACTAGACATTGATGGACTTACGTATGTGTGCGTCGGCTACGCCTCGGCCCACATTTGCACGTTCGTCCATCAATGCCTCAGTTGCTGGCCGCTGCGGTAATGTACTATATTTTTTCAGTACATACGGTGTAAAATCAACACTATCAGCATCCTTCTAACGGTGTGTTCTAATGAACATTTTCCCTAAATAAGCAGATGACAAATACTATCTCTACAGTTAGACGCGCCATGTTTGTATGGAAAGCTCAACATTTTTTGTTTTTGAACTCATGTTCCTTTGGGCTTTCAAACGGATGTTTGATTTCGATTTCTTTATTATTATGTGAGGATTTTTTTAATGCGTGAAAATGAAATGGTAACTCCAACTGTGCTATCGATATATACTGGCGGGGTACCAGTGAGGAAAGGTGGATGAGGATGAAAACAGGTCGGTTGGCTCGTGACGAATTCAACAAAAATTAACCACAACGGTTACCAGGGAGAACCGCGTGGAGGTCGACTTGATAAAGTACACTGTTGTATGTAAGATTAGGAACCAGGATCGGATGTTAAATTATGCTATAAATAAAAACTACACAGCATTTCCTGGCGTTAAAGCCCAAATATTCATTATACCTATTATTTTTTTTTTTAATAATGAAACAAATTCTTAGTAAATAAAAACAAAAAGATATAATACCGCTAATTTCGATGTTGATAATGGCCGAGTCTTGTCCAAGCTCGTTCTCCGCTGTTATCCTGTATGGACCCGAGTCCAGTTTGCTGGCGTCGCGGATGGTTAGTATCGCGTGTCGTTCTGAAATAAAAATATATATAAATAATGAATACCACTGGACACAGCACACAGCTCCATCTAGTAACAGAACTAAGCAGACCTTGTACTATGTAAACTAGATATCCAAAAAATACAATAATAAATATTTGTGACAAATGTGTCTACTTCTGTCCCATTCGTTTTTCTACCGTGAAACAGTTGTGTTTGCATGTCTGTGTTTCGGTTTGAATCGTGGGATATGGTAGTCAATTTACTGGGTACAGAGGAACAACACCTGAGTTCTCAGGAATGGCAACGCATGGGGGGGTATCATAGGCGAAACAGTATACTATGTTACGTCCTTAATACTGCTCATGTCTATAGAGGGCGGTTACCACTTTCCATCGGGTGGATGGTCAGCTTGTTTGCCATTCTAAGTTGTATAAAAAAAAAGATATGACATACACAAGTGTCTAAAAGCAGGTATGTAGGCATTATTTACCTGCAAAAATTTTTCATCGCGTTAAGTTCCGATTGTGAATTTAAAATATAATGGTATGATTCTCAAATTAGCTAGCAACTAGCATAATTTATCATTGTTGTTATTACAGGATATGGAGATATAACATCTTCAATTCGCTGCTGAATATTGGCAACTTCCTTGTGAAGGTTTGCCAGTAGTTGCTACGCTTGGTAGACGGATTGGCAACCGGAGTGGGGGTTTGGAGATGTTTTAAGAGGGATGCTGCTGCCCACACCTCGTCCTCCCTTAGTCGCCTCTTACGACACCCAGGGGAAAGAAAATATTTATTGTATGCCGGGATTACATCGTTATCTTACATAACATCTTAGTCCCCAATAATAGTGACTTATAGGCACCATGGATATCACAATGTATTCTATGAGTTCTATGGTGCTGTTCATGTCTATAAGCAACAGTTATCACTTTCTAGTAGATGGGCTGACAGGACTCCAAGATGTATAAAGAAAATCAGCCAGTACTTATGTATATATTGAATATGTTTTTAAAATTCTTACCTTTCCTTTCAACGTGATAGTGCAGTCCAGACTCGATGGTCTCCCCCTCTCTGATCCACGTGATCTTGGGCACCGGGTGGCCAGTGAACGGTATCTTCACCACCACATTCTCGCCCTTGTCGAAGTACGCCGTTACGCGGAAACGCGGCGGCACGTTCAATTTCGGCGCAGCTGTGAATTGACATCACGTGTTTTACATAAATAATTTATCTATTTTCACACCAGGGGGCCTATTAAAACTTTGACTTTTAAAACAATTAAAACCTAAACCTGAGGTCACGTGACTACCACTTTACCAGAGGGAGACTTTGTACAAAAGTCATCTGCTTGGGTTTGTATAATTCATTTTTTCAATTCATTTTTATAATTCATCCGTGAAACAATTGTGTTTGCATGGCTGTGTTACGGTTCGAAGGATGGGATATGGCAGTGAATTTACAGGGTACAGACGAATAACACCTGAGTCGCCAGGAATGGCAACGCATGAAGCGTATCATGGGCGACACAATATACTATGTTACATCCTTAATGATGTTCATGTTTATAGGTTACGGTTACCGCTTTCCATCAGGTGCTGTGTCAGCTTGTTCGCAAAGTTTAAAAAAAATGGGCAGTCTACATTTTAAGTAAAATAAGATGGAATATATTTTTTTTAAGGATCTGTCGATCGAGTAACCTCATGAAAAAGAAATATTCTGACATCCTCCCTCCATTCTGAAAGCCTCCCCCTTTTGCCAGTAGTTGCCATGCTTGGTAGGCGGAATGGCAACCGCAGCTAGGCTTTGGAGATGTTTAAAGAGGGACGCTGCTGCCCATCCCTCTCCCTCCCTTAGTTGCCTCTTACAACACAACAGGAAGGAAGGGGTGGCCTATTTCCTATATTTATTTAAATCCTAAATAAAAAACTTAAAAATACAAAATTACATTACAAATTTCAAAGCTGATGCTACACTACTACTTAGCGTAACATCAGCATATTCGCAGCAAGCGAATTTAAACTTTAATAACAAGTAATAAGACTCACTCATGATGAGCAGTTCAGCGCGGGTGGACTTGACGCCGGCGCGGTTGACTGCACGGCACACGTACTCGTCCGCGTCCTCGCCGAACACGTCCATCACGGTGAGGAAGTGATTGTCACCCTCGCTCCATATGCGGTGGCGTGGTCCGTTCGTTATTTCACGAGCACCTGTGAATTTATTACAAAATAATTTAAAATATTATCTATTTAAACACGTGTTTAACAAAACTCTGCCCAAGTGATTAAAGTCTAGTCTTTGTTTTAAATATTTATTTGTTTTTTATTAATTGATAATTATTTATGTAAATAACAAAAGAAAAAAAAACCTTAGTAAAAAAAAAACTCGAGAATATCTAGACTAATTCAGTTTTTTTTTCTAAAATATTCGTTGATATTCGAGGAAGGCAATAATGAAGAGAATAATTGGTAAAATTGCACAGTAAAATGTAAAAACTCCATTATTCCCATAAATACTTTCTTTTATTTATATAAATAAAAAAAAAACTGTATGAAGCTCTTTTATGTAAGATAGCTAGTTTTTTTTTAATGTACTAAAATAATACTGACCCTTGTACCACGTGATAGTCGGCTTCGGTGAGCCAGTGATGGTGCACTGGAACTTGGCGTTGTGGTACTGGATGCAGTTCGCGTTCTTTAGAGGCTTCACGATCTCTGGTGGAGTGGCAGCTGAAATGAAAAGTAATATTTATAACTCATGTTCATTATATTTCTAAAAAAAGATTCACGGCAGCTATGAGGGGGAGAGAGGATTACTGATATCCTCACAGGATCTCCAGTTCTCTTTGGAAACCATCGTAGTTATTTTGTGGCTAGTTCTTGCCATTTTACACGATGGGTCAATTGAGTTACCATCATCATTACAGTTGTTGCATAGACTATGGCAAATATATACTTTATACAGACGGGTTGTATGTTTGTTTGCCATCATTGTGTTATAATACTATTTCTATTATTGACTAGCGATCTGACCCGGCTTCGCATTGATAGACATAATTTTCGAAAACCAATACATAAAGCCCCCCTTAAATAGTTTTTCTTATATACCTTTCATGTATAGACAGCGACCAGTTATTTATATGATTTTATTATATATATTGATTGATACGTTTAAAAATGTTCACTCACCTTTGGGATCGACGACCTTGACCTGTTGACTGGCGGTGCTAGGCGGCGAGAGGCCGGCCTCGTTCTGAGCAGTGACTCTGAACTCGTACTGCCGACCCTCGATCAGGTTGGAGCAGTTGAGCTGGTTTGGCAGACATAGGACGGGGTTCACGCGTTGCCATGTCGACGCGCCCACTTCGCGTTTGTCCACCCAGTAGCCTGAAAAACAGAAAAAAGCGTAATAAAAATGGTTTAATAGCTTTATTTATAACAACAAAAATACCTCATGGTACTTCTATAGTACCTAATTCTGACAGAAATTTAAGGCGTCAGGGGTGTTCTCCTCTAGAAATTTGTCCGATTCTAGAATAAGGACATACGGGTATGAGACTTATGTGGGAAAGGAAAGGGGAGGACACTGCAGTTGCGGAAAAGACTGGGACACTGTAGAGGTTCCCGGCCTCCCGAGCCGCTGCAGTGTCCCAGACTTTTCCGCAACTGCGGTGTCCCCCCGTTTCCTTTCCCACATAAGTTCCTTATTCCTCTCATTTACTAATTTCCTTTACGCATTTTCAACGTTCCTTTCGTTTCTTCCTCAATCCTTTCCTCCATACTGTAGGTGGCGGAAACCAGTAACAAATGCATTCCCAAAGAGGGTTGACATCAGGCAGGCGGCCGGTTGAAAAACTATAAGCCAATTCCTTTAGCAATATGGACAAAACCATATTACGCCGACCCCAAATAATAATTGGGATTAGGGTAGGAAGATGATGGTGATTAGACGTTACAAGTATCTATTAATAGCTATGTAGAAATTACTGAAAATGTTTTAAGCGTGCAAATATATTTAAAAAAAACAAGTACCTTGTATTCTAGCGCCTCCGTCGCTTTCCGGCTTGTCCCATTCCAGGTGAACAAAGTCGCCGCCGACTTCCAGAATCTTCGGGATTCCAGGTGCAGACGGGGGATCGAATGGTGCTTTGGCCTATGTTAAACATATATAGAATTAGACATGAAGGTATGAGATAGTTTAGTATAATCAATTCATATAATAGTATAATCATATCACGATATGAACGAAAGGTACGATTCCTTTCCCGTGGATATCGTAAGAAGCGATTTAATGGTCGAGGTATGGGCAGCAACGCCCCTCTTAAAACCCTAACTGCGGTTGACAACCCGTCTGCCAAGCGTGACATCTACTGGCAAAACCTCCTTTATGGAGAAGACTGGACAATTGTATGGATGAGAGATAGCATGACAGATACAGGTAATAACGAAATACGTGCGAGAGAGACGAAATGAGTGTGAATAAAAGGGAACATGGCAAAAGATTATTGCATATAAATACAATTATATTATTAAAACCAGGTCTCCCAAAACACAATCTGAATTTAGCTGATGAAAAGACTTGTACTAATTTTAAAAGAAATAAAAATTCTTATTTTGTACCCTTAGTCCGCTCTTACGACATCTGGATAAAAACGAGCATCCCTGATAGCACACCCAAAAACAAATATCAAAACACATATTTCTAACTCACTTTGATCGGATTGGCGCCCTCCAAAGCCGGTCCAATACCGTTCTCATTAGCCGCATGTATCCTGAAGTTGTACTCATGTCCCTCAGTAAGGCCCTGTACTGTGAACTTGGTGTCCCTAACTGATGACGCGATAGTGATCCAGGCCGTGCCTGACGTGTCATTGCGCTCGATGACGTAATGCGTTACGGGCAGGCCGCCGTCGTAAGTCGGTGGCTTCCAAGCCAGGGTACACGAGTGACGGCTGATGTCTGTGGTCTCCAGAGGACCCTGCGGAGGTCCTGGTAGACCGGTCACCGTCACGGAGAACGTGTCTGACACTTCGCCGGAGTTGTTCTTGATCGTCAGTTTGTAAACACCTGTGGGAGATAGAAGAATATTTATTGACTGTCCCCGTGACTCCACCCGCGTGGTAGACGAAATTGTTACAATTCATAATAAAACATAATATTTTTTTTATGCAACTTAGAATGGCAATCAAGTTGACGGCCCACCTGATGGAAAGTGGTCTAAAGTTACGTCGAAGTCGAAGTCAAATCAATAGAACGTTGTTTGCAAACAGCTGCTTTGTTATATGTTAATATAAAGCTGTCATATTATGTTTCCGAGTCCTCAGGAATGGCAACGCATGGGGGGGTATCATGGGCGAAACAGTATACTCTGTTATGCTCATGGTACTGCTCATGTCTATAGGCGACGGTTACCACTTTCCATCAGGTGGGCCGTCAGTTTGTCATTCTAAGTTGAAACACCTAAGCCAACAACTTTTACATGAATAATAACTTTATTTGCTTGAATACAGGCTATTATATTTTTAGTTATTAATATTAAAAACGGAATTTCTGAATTGAACAATGCTGATATTTAATTTGGAACTTATAATTTTGGGGGGAAAGGGATTGTTAGCAATGGAGTTTGATAGCCCCATTGCTAACAATATGCCCTATTAGGTCGACCTCCAAGTGGTTCCCCCTGGAAACCATCGTAGACAATTCTTGTTGAATTCGGCACGATGGGCCAACTGACCTGCATCATGCTCATCTATCATCCCTCACTGGTGCTCCGCCAGCGTATAGCGCAGGCGGGGTTACTATTACATTATTACCCATTAAAAAAAATATATAATTTTACATTAAAATAGTCTTCAAGTAAGCCAATTGTAAAGTTTCTCATAAAATTTTTTGTCATCTAGATCTCTATCTGTAAGTCTCTCTCTAATACTATTACTAGTAAAATATAAATGGACAATATGAATACGATAATAATACTGCCGAAGTTGTCCCTAGAGACTATAGTACAGGGTTTTTCAAAAAGAGTATATTAGGGTTTCTTTAGAGTTGGCAACGCGCACGTGACACCCCTAGTATTGCAAACGTTCATAGGCTACAGTAACCGTTTACCATCAGATGGGCTGTATGCTTGTTTGCCACCGTCGTAGTATATAAAAAAAAAAACTCACCCATATCATCCTTGCTGATGTCCTTAATAAATATGAGTATGTAGTCATCGAAGACGGTATATTTGAGGTGGGGGGAGTCGACGAGCTTGTGTCCATCTTTGGTGAGTGTGACGTCGGCGGGCTGGTCTCCCGTGTACAGGATCTTGATCTTGGTGTTGTCGTGTTCGGGCAGGTGGAGATCACCGGGCATTCGGGTGATGCGCGGAGGGTCTGGGTAAATAGTAATAAATATATAATTAAATGATTTTTTTTTTACATTGTAGTGAACATAACACCTGGTATCACCAAAAATATAAAGGGGCAGGTTTTGGCCAGATTGGAACATTTATATTTTAGTAATCATTTCACATAAAAAAGATGGTTTATATATGTCGGTTTTTTTTATACAACTTAGAATGGCAAACAAGCTGAGGGTCCACCTGATGGAAAGTGGTAACCGTCGCCTATAGACATGAGCAGTACCATGGACATAACAGAGTATACTGTCTCATTCATGATACCCCCCATGCGTTGCCATTCCTGAGGACTCAGGTGTTATTTCTCTGTACCCAGTAAATTCACGCCATATCCCACCCTTCAAACCGAAACACAGCCATGCAAACACAGCTGCTTCACGGTAGAAACACGAATAGGACAGAGGTGCCCAAGCAATCGACTTTTGTATAAAGTCTCCCTCTGGTAAAACGATAGAAATATTTAATGTGTACGTAATAGCTGATTCCATTCAAATAGAATAACAAGTACACGCAACCTTATTATAATTTTGTATGACACCATACATAATATTTATATTACGAAAATTAAGAATTTTTGAAAATTGTTTCTCCAAATAACAAAAATAATCACTTGGGATTTATTACAAAACTAAACCTATTTCACTACTACTGAAATCATGTATATATTATTATTAATTTATTCATTAATTGATTATTATTAATTTATTCATTAATTGATTATTATAAATTTATTCATTAATTTATTATTATTAGTTTATTCATTAATTTATTATTATTAATTTATTCATTAATTTATTATTATTAGTTTATTCATTAATTTATTATTATTAATTTAGTCATCAATTTATTATTATTAATTTATTCATTAATTTATTATTATTAATTTAAACAATAATATCATCATCATCATCATAATCATATCAACTGTTTATTGTCCACTACTGAACATAGGCCTCCCTCTATTGGGTGATTTTGCCAGAAGTTGCTACGCTTGGCAGGCACCTTAGCAATCGCAGTTAAGCCTTGGTGATGTCTAAACACTAATATACTAACTTCCAATCTTGAGATGTCCTGTGCAGTATATGAAGCCGATGTTATTGACCGCTTCGCACGTGTAGTCACCCTCGTCCGCGTCCGTCGCCTCCAGGATGTTCAGTTTCAGCGTGCCCTCGCGGGACTCCGCAATGAATCTGGATATAATGTGCATTTGTTATTTATTAATACACTAACTTTTGCCCGTTACTCTGTACGTATGGACTTCAGAAAGAATAAGCCAATAAAATATACGGTTCCTAGATGACGTATCAAAATAAAAAATACACCAGTTTTTAAGTTAAATTTTCAGGAATATAATTGCGAAAATCGCGTCCTAAGTACCTTATGTGCTAAGTTAGGATATAACCTATCCTTGTACAAAGTAACTTTCAAATCCGTTCAGTACTTTTGCGTGAAAGAATGACAAAAATACATTTATTTTTTTATTTATTTATTTTCTCTTATGAATGTATTTTTATCGCTAAATGTCTTCCAGACAACTTTTGTGTAGAAGAGAAAAGAAAAAGACGGTAGCTATTTGGCGCAAGAATGTAACTAAAAAAAAACATTAATGTTAATGTCATATATTTTTTTTATAATTATTTAATATTTAAAAATACCCATACCATACATCCATGATACATATATATATACATACATATATATATATATATACATACATATATATATACATACATATATATATATACATACATATATATATATATATACATACATACATATATATAAATATACATATATATATATATATATATACACATATATACATACATACATATATATATATATATATATATATATATATATATCTCATTTGTCTCACATTTAATGACGAAAACAGTGCACAAAACGCTCCGATTCGAATCTATGCAATATATAGTGCACGTATAGTCATGAAGTATGTACATGGTGCTGTAAGTATTGTAGTGCAGTATACCGACCTGGTGCCAAGCACGACCTCGCGCCCGTTCCTCAGCCAGCGGCCAGTGGGCACGGGGTTGCCAGTGGCGACGCACTCGAGCGTGAAGGGGCGGCCCAGCGGCGCCGCCATGTGAGGCGGCAGCTGCTTCACCCACTCGGGCTTCGTGCCGCCGATCTCCTCGCCCGTGCGGACCGGCGTCGTGCACGACGACGGCTCCGATTTGCCTGTTGATGATTGCAAACTATCGTGAGTCATACTATATCTTACTAATATTGTGAATTTGAAAATAAGTTGTTTGTTATGAGTTTCTCATAAATATTTGCTGACAGAGAATTCCATAATGGTTGAAATCTTTGCAATTAAACTAAAATTGTGATAAAAACCTAAATACAAAGAATAGTAATTTTTTGGTCATGAATTCAAACGGTCTTGCTCGTCGTAGTAGGAGAACGTACCTACACGCTAGTGCAGTGACGAGTTTACTCATCACCGGTCAGCAAAGTGATAATATTCTACCTTGAGGGCCAGGCTATTAGTGAGATAGTGATGCTTTTTATTATTATTTAAATTCAGAATACTTTGGTGTAATTTTTTTATGCAACTTAAAATGGCAAACATGCTGACGGCCCACCTGATGAAAAGTGGTAACCGTCGCCTATAGACATGGACAGTACCATGGATATAACAGAGTATACTGTTTTACCCATGATACCCCCCATGCGTTGTTATTCCTGAGGACTCAGGTGTTATTCCTCTGTACTCTGTAAATTCACGCCATATCCCACCCTTCAAACCGAAACACAGCCATGCAAACACAACTGCGTCATAGTAGAAACACGAATGGGACAAAGGTACCCAAGCAATCGACTTTTGTACAAAATCTCCATCTGGATTTTAGGTTTATTTTTTCTTATACGAGTATGTTTAAATGTTGCAAACTGATCACTGACCGGCAGCGTTAACCGCGATGATGCGGAATTCGTAGTCAGCCTTTTCTCCGAGATTCATGGCAGTGAATGTGGTGTCCTGTACGTTGTAGTCGTTGCATTTCACCCATACGGAACCACCCACGTCGCGCTTCTCGATTATGTAACCGGTTACGCGAGAACCTGTAGAATAATGTAATATTGTATTTTTTTTAAGAATGTCTATAAGTTTTTTTTGTTATGTAACTATAAACTAAAATATAAACGGTTCGTATTGATTCATTATCATATCAAGCATTAATTGTTCATTGCTCAAAATAGGTCTCCCCCATTGGGGTTTTTTATGCAACTTGGAATGGCGAACAAGCTGACGGCTCACCTGATGGAAAGTGGTAACCGTCGCCTATAGAGATGAGCATAATAGAGTATACTGTTTCACCCGCATTATACTGATACCCTCGCATGCCATTCCTGAGGACTCAGGTGTTGTTCCTCTGTACACTGTAAATTAACTGCCATATCGCACCCTTCAAACCTAAACACAACCATGCAAACACAACTGCTTCACGATAGAAATACGAATGGGACAGAGGTTGTTTTGTCAGTAGTTGCCACATTTGATGGGGAACTTGATAACTGTAGTTAGGCTTTGGTAACGTTTTAAGAGGGATGCTGCTGCTCATCCTTTGATCATTAAATCCCCTTAGTCGTCTCCTTGACATCTACGGGAAAAGAAAGGGTGACCCATTCTATTAATTCATGATTTGTATTAATTATTAAATTTAATTAACGATCCGATATTAACACATTAAAGGCGAGAGTCGTAGTACTACGATTTAGTTTTAAGAGTTTAAATAAACTTTTTTAAGTCAAATTTTTTTTATGATTACACAAAATATCGCCCCGCTCTAGGACAAAAAACTAGGTGGGGCGATCGCCGCGTCACCTAGTATACTATTTAGTCTAGAACCCCCGCTTCGAATGCGTTAGTAAGGATCCGTGACGTGCCCGGGGCGGTACCTCCGTCGCTGGCGGGCGGGTCCCAGCTGAGGTCGACGTAGTTGCGGCCGACGCGCGCGACCCGCGGGCCGCGCGGCGGCGCGGGCGGCCCGCAGCGCGGCCGCACCTTGAACCGCGCCGAGTTGGCCGAGTACTTGCTGAAGCCGGCCGCGTTCTTGGCGCGCACGCGGAACTCGTACTCGTGCCCCGGCTCCAGGTTGTACGCCTGCAATCGACGGCTCCATTACTCGATTCATTCGCCAAATACTAGTAGGTATATTATGATGTTACGACCTTAGATTATATAGATAGTCTTTAGTGTTACTTTTTTTGGTTTTTCATTCTTTTACCTCTTTTACTGTGTGTGCACACAATCTAGCACTAAACTATGGACGAGCGTCCTCTAGTGTCGAAATAAAACAAACCAATGATGTTGGATCGCTGTACATAGGAGAGTTTTTTTTTATTCAATTATAATACACCTATCTAGCATACATAACAAATAAAACTATAGCGTCGTCTAACCTTTTGACAGCGCCATCTGTTATTAACCTTAGGTACTAAAGTAGACTATCAATACAATTTTATATTATTACAAACTTATACACTGCATATGTTATATTATGCATATGTTTGTATTGTTATTTGTGTGTTGTAAGTAATGCAAATAAATTATCTATCTATCTATATATACATTTTTTTCATTTTTCATTACTTACTTATAACATTGTACATAGTCTGTTTAATTTTATGAACATATTGTTAGTGTATCTCTTATAAATAAATACTTTCTTCGAAAAACGCGGGTCATCTTTTTCATACAATTTTGCGTAATAAATAGTTATGAGTGATTCCTTTATAGCTTCTATATTTACTTTGCCTTATAATTTCTACATCTTTTTAATGCGTAAATACTAATTTTATTTATTAAATCATACATCAAGATGCATTGTATTTGTAAGTATTTAGAACACTAATAAAAAAAAAAAAACGAGTCAGTTAATTTGACCATTAGCTGAAAAAAAGTTGGTCCGTTTTTAAGATATGACGCTCTATCTATATAATCTAAGGATGTTACACAGAATTATTCTAATCTTCGACGTTTTTAAATAAAAAGTGGGAAACTACAAAATGAATAAATAAATAAAAAATTAAATCACAGGTAAGTAGTTATAACATGTCAATAAACATCGAAGCTTTAAAGAATTTTGGCTTTCACCAATTGTTGAAAATTAAGTAATCGGGGTGCAGATTCTAATATACACCTGTAATACGTAGCATAGCGGATTTTGTTTTATGTACTTACATTTATACTGGAGGAAATAGAAATTAACATCAATGCTACCTAAAATCAAGTTTCTCCACTCCCCGCCCCCTTAATACCTGGTAATTGCAGTCCTTGACGAGGTAGTCGGCGCTGTTCCAGATGCCGTCCTGCACGTCGCGGTACTCCAGCTTGTAACCCTGTATACGCGCGCCGCCATCCGACCGCGGCCGGTCCCACACCAGGGATGCGCTCGATCCGTCCCATTCTACCACACGCGGCGGTCCCGGAGGATCCGGGATCGTGAATGGGAACTAAAACATCAATTTGTCATTACATCCGGCTCGAAGGACTAATTTAGATAAATTACACTTAAGTACACTATTACTACTCGTGCGAGAGTGTCGCCCTCTGGTATCATTAGTTTTTAGACCACCGTTATTGTTAATAAAAAGTCTGAGGTGGCTTATTGAACGACGATTTTGCATTCCTTCCGAAACAAAAAAATGACAATTTTTTTTAAGTGACCCAAACATGAATTTGATAAATTCAGAGGTTTAAGTTGAGATCCGATATTGACATCCCTGGATCGCAGTCCAATGTTGTCCAAATGAGCTGTATTATTTGCATATTGACATAAAATATATTTTTTGAATGCATTACAATTTAAAACATTATTATGTTTTAGAAGAAACGAAAATTTTCTCTCAGGAACACTCAACCTGTGGAATGAGCTCCATAGAAGCTACAGTATGGGGTCCTTCAAAAAGAATATAATAAAATTTTTTTAGGTGACACCCCTAGTGTTGCAGGCGTCTATAGGCTACAGTCAACATTTACCATTACATGGGTTTTATGCTTGTTTTCCACCTTCGAGGTATAAAAAAAATTACCGCAATCATTTATGTAAACTATGATAATATATGAGAACACTATAAATTATCACGTTAGTTCCCAGTTCTTACAAACCATAAAACATGCAATGCGAAAATCTATTGGAATAATAATTTTTCCATGTTCACAGTACACTATCTTCTATAGAACCTTCAAATGTTATTTATCAAAATAACTACATCAAAATATTTGCACGAAATCGTTCACGAATTGTATTAACTCAACTCACTTTGGCTGTGATGGAGTCGTCCATGGTGAGTGGATCGGAGACACCATATTGGTTCTCTGCGCGTACCCTGAATGTATACTTCTTGTTGGGTTCCAGGCCAATCACGTTATAGTGGCAGTTGCGTACAAACGATGAGATCTTGCTCCATACCTGATGAATAAAAAGTTTTATTACAATCATTTGGATTGTTATAATATTATTATTACACAATAGAATACATTAAAAATAATAATTGCTTGGGTACGTCTGTCCCATTCGTGTTTCAACCGTGAAGCAGTTGTGTTTGCATGGCTGTGTTTCGGTTTGAAGGGTGGGATATGGCGTGAATTTACTGGGTACAGAGGAATAACACCTGAGTCCTCAGGAATGCTAACGCATGGGGGTATCATGGGCGAAACAGTATGCTCTGTTATGTTCATGGTACTGCTCATGTCTATAGGCGACGGTTATCACTTTCCATCAGATGGACCGTCAACTTGTTTGCCATTTTAAGTTGTATAAAAAAAAACAGAGACAATTTAAGTAAAACTGAACTCATCTCTTAAAGGAGATCTGGAATAGATCTCCAGAGAGAGACTTTGTACAAAAGTCGTTTGCTTGGGCACCTCTATTCCATTTGTGTTTCTACCGTGAAGCAGTTGTATTTGCATGGCTGTGTTTCGGTTTGAAGGGTGGGATATGGCAGTAAATTTACAGAGTACAGAGGAACAACACCTGAGTCCTCAGGAATGGCAACGCATGGGGGTATCATGGGCGAAACAGTATACTTTGTTATACCCATGTCTATAGGCGACGGTTACCACTTTACATCAAGTGGACCGTCAGTTTGTTTGCCATTCTAAGTAGCATAAAAAATTTAATCCCATACAATACAAACAAATATTTGTCTGTTTGCAATGATTTGGACGTTTTATATATATAAAATAGACAGGCGTGACAGATACGTATATAATATGCATATATTTATAGTATTTAAGTATGTCTATCAGTTAATAGCCATATTACAAGGTCTGCTTACTTTGGGACTAGATTTATTACTTATTTTAAGAAGTTTCTATTTAACAAGCCAGCAAGACTACTTACTCCACTGCCGTCCATTTTTTCAACGACGTAGTTGGTGATCGGCGAGCCGCCATCGTCGAGCGGCGGTTTCCATGACAACGTGCACGTGTCCGGAGTGATGTCGTATGCGTCCAACGGTCCCACTGGTGGGGTTGGTTTGTCCACTACTAATACCTATGATAACATAATACATTTTAAAAAGTGCTATTACACGAGTCAAAATATTAAATAAAAAAATTATATAAATAAATATATTAAGAGACGAGACTTGGAACAGATTTAACTTGAAGTTTTAAATATCCCTTTTCATTGCTACTCCCTTTAGATAATGAAAATGTTAATAATATCTAAAGTTATTTTAAATTAAATTTTAAATTATTTCAATTTAAATTAAATTATTAATTAATTAATTAATTTATTTATTTATTTAATATATAATATTAGTAGTTGCTTAGATACAACGGTTTAACAGATGGATATACGAATAGACATAGTCGTACCCTTAATATACCTAATTTTGATTCGGAACCCAAATTATATACATCATACATATTATATTGAATTTTCTCGATTATATAATATCTTACTGGCATATTCCCCCAATAGGTAGAGTTCTATGTCCAGCAGTGGACAATTAAGAGCTGATACGATGATGATATAAAATCAATTATATGCCTTTCATCATCATTTCAGCCATTATCCGTCCACTGCTGGAAATAAGCCTACCCATAGACTACCATAAAGAACGATCCTGGGCCACCTAGATCTACTGACTTCCTGCAATGCATTTCAGGTCGTCACTCCATCTAGTGGGGGGGGGGGGGGGGGTCTTCCTACACTGCATTTACCCGTACAGGGTCGCCACTCAAGATATATATATCATATACCTGTGCTAAGTTTAATATAGAGAAAAATATTAATAATAATTTTTCGGACAGATATAATTTAAAGTTACATACCCTGCAAGTGGCGCTATCAGAACCCTCACTGTTGACTAACTGGATTGTATAGGATCCAGTGTCTGAACGCTTCGCGCTCGAGTTCAGGAAGACCGTGTCAATATCGGAGGTGACGAAGCGTATACGGTTGTCCGGGAAAACTTCCTCATTGTTCACCACCCACGAAACCTGGAAACGTGACAAATAAACGATTCATAAATACGACACTGAATTATTTACCTAATTCCTAAGCACATACGGTTTAAATTCACGATCGGTACCTAACACAACGAAACGACGTGAATTACACCACGTCGTCGTCACAGCAGGACTGAAATGCACGATGTCTTCCAGTAACCCGCAAATTTTTCGATCGTGAATTTAAATATGCGTAAACAACACGAAATATTAAAACGAACTATATACGGTTCATACAAAGCGAATTATTAAATGTATAATCAAGACAGCTTTACACTATACAGATTATAATCATAGCTATGTTTTTACCTCATTATTTGGGTTAAGGAAGTTTTTTTTATTATTTAATTATTCCTATTAGCCACCAACTTTCTACGCAAATAAATTTTCATAAAATATACCTTATCGTTTTACAAAAGAACATACAATTGATTGCCATTACTTACCTTTGGTCTCGGGTTGCCGGTGAAGGGCACAGTGATCTTGATCTCTTCACCAGCAATGACGGTAATGTCGCGCAGACTGAGGTCGCTGGTGATGCGCGGTGAGTTGGGCGGTGCACACGCACGGATAGCGTCCGAGCTCTGCGACCACGGTCCCTGGCCAGCTGCGTTAATCGCTGCCACTCTGAACTCGTACTCATGGTTCTCAATCAATCCACTAACTTTGTATGTGGTGTCTGGAATGTGTGCGTGAGATGCTTTGGTCCATTTGTCTTCGGTAATCAATCTCTTTTCGACTACGTAACCAGTGATAGGAGAGCCGCCGTCGTGACGTGGCTTCGTCCACGTGATCGTAATAGTAGACTCGGAAGTCTCGACGGAGCGCGGCACTCCCGGAGGGCCAGGAGGATCGAATGGATGTCTCGCCTTGATAGGCTCTGTGGTCTGTGCCGGGTCAGATTGACCATATTGGTTCTCCGCCATCACCCTAAACTCATAGTCCCTGCCGACGGTTAAGTTCTTCACCCGCAAGAACGGAGTGGTGACATAACCGGATACCTTAGTCCAGTTGGGCGTGCGAGCTTCGCGTTTCTCAACCACGTAGTTGGTGATTTCACCGCCACCGTTGTCTTTTGGTGGGTTCCAGTATAACGTGAGCGCTTCGCCTTCGAATTCGTCAGCGCGCAGATTCTCTGGTTTGCCAGGCCTGTCAAGAACACGGACGTTGATTGTGGCCGTATCGTAGCCTGAAGGATTGCGTAATTGTAAGCGGTACTGTCCTCCGTCAGAGCGCTTGGCGTCCTTGACAACAAGCGATGCGGATTCTGGAGTAATTTTCTGGAATATTCTTGGATCTCTTTCCACATCAAGCAAGTTATCGTCAGCAAACCATGATGCTGTCGGTTGTGGGAAGCCAGTGTATGGGACATGGATGGAGAAGTCCTCTCCAGCTCGTACTGTGATGTCTCTGACTCCACCAAGGTCCATACAAGGTTTGTTGGGCTGTTCAGCAATGGTGATATCTGAGGTTGGTTTGCTTGGATCTGATCTTCCAACATCATTGACTGCAATGATTCTAAACTGATATTCTGCGCCTTCTTTGAGCTTAGGTACCGTATGTACAAGGCTTGGTATAGGGACATCATTGACGTCCTTCCAATCTTTATCACCCTTGCCTTTCTGTTGGATGATGTATCCCTTGATTTTAGATCCGCCATCGCTCTTCGGTGGTCTCCATGACAATGTGACAGAATCCTTTGTGATTCTATCGGGCTTAGGTGCTTCAGGTGCACTCGGCTTAAGACGCTGTGTTTCTGCTGTAATTGGTTCTGTAGGCTTACTAGGTTTACCAGGGCCAGCTTCGTTGACAGCAATTACGCGGAATTCGTAACGGTTGCCTTCACGGAGGTCTGGAACTGTGTAGCAGGTATTTGGCGTTGGATAGTTGTTGACTTTCACCCAGTCGCCACCGCGCTCTCTCTTCTCGACATAATATCCTGTAATGGGCTTGCCACCGCAGTTAGCTGGTGGCTGCCATTCGAGAGAGCAGCTGTTTGCGCTGTATCCAGTAATCTTTGGTGTATCTGGCGCGTCTGGTGGGTCAAATGGTGATTTAGCAACAATAGGCTTGCTTTCTAGTGGTTCTGAGACGCCGTATAAGTTTTCAGCGCGTACTCTAAATACGTATTTCTTACCCTCAGTCAAATTCTTAACAGTAAATGAGCATTTCGGACAAAAACCAGCAACTGTTCGCCAGTCGTTGACACCAAATTCTGCTACTTCCACAACATATCCAGTAATTTCACTGCCGCCATCATCTGTAGGTGGATGCCAAGTGAGACTTATAGCATCATGTGTAACTGGAGTGCCGACAAGAGGTCCTTTGGGTGGACCAGGTTTATCGACAACGATGACTTCAATGTCAGCAGAGTCTTTGCCATACTCATTACTGGCAGTAACAGTATATTTGCCAGCATCATCTCTAGTAGACCTCTCGATGCTAAATTTGGTTTCATCCATCTTTGTTTCTGTTGAAATCCTATTGGACGGTGGTAGAGGTATTGTTCCCTTAGACCAAGTAACAGTAGGCGTTGGAGCACCAGTAATTGGAATGTTAATGTTGATTGGCTCACCAGCACGGACCTTAATCTTACGTCCAATCAGGTGGTCTAATGAAAGTTTTGGCTTTTCTTTCATTGGTCTTGCGATGAATACATTCGATGGATCTGATGGTTGGCCAGGGCCAGCAGCGTTAACAGCTGATACTCTATATTCATACTGATGTCCATCCTGTACTCTGTCATCGTTGTATTCATTGAATCTAACCGGTTCTTTGTTCAATTTAACCCACCGGCCAGTAGCCTTATCTCTTCTTTCAACGTCATAACCAATAATATTTGACCCGCCGTTAGAGATGGGTGAAGACCATTTGATTTGGATGTGATCCTTATCAGCAGATACAAGTTCTGGTTTACCAGGTTTACCAGGCACCGTGTATTGGTTCTTCGCGATGACTGGTTTGTCAGTTACCAATGGCTCGGAACGACCCTGCAAGTTCTCAGCGGACACTCTAAACTCGTACTGTGTACCTTCTTGAAGCCTGGGCACAGTTGCGTGGTTATATTTCGGGTTAATGTATGTTACAGCTGGTACCCAGCCGCCTCCATGAGTAAGATCTCTCTTTTCAATTACATAGGCAGTCAGTTCACTACCACCATTATCCTTTGGTGGTTTCCATGATAACGTTACCGACTGTGCTGTAATTTCTTCGTACGTGAATGGAGGCTGTGGTGGTCCAGGAACATCTAACACGATAAGGTCAAAGCTGCCCTCATCAGAGCCAGAATCGTTCTTTAATGAAAGATGGTATTTGCCAGCATCTGAACGTTTGCAGTTCACAGTGTGTATAATAGTGTGATGTCCAACAGATGTCACTGTCGTCCTCTCGTTTGTAAGAACGGGTTTGCCATCGCATGTCCAGTTAACTTCGGGAGTAGGTTCGCCGATAAAGTTAACATCCAAGTGGAAGATAAGACCAGCCTTAATGCGGATCTCTTTGAGTGGCGTAATGATCTTTGGCGCCACAAATCTGTCCTTAGCTGTGATAATATCTGAAGGTTCACTAGGTTCAGACTGTCCAGCCTGGTTAACAGCTATTACACGGAATTCATAATCTTGACCTTCAATTAGATCTGGTACAGTCGCCTTATTCTTATTAGGTGGTACATGGACAGCATTTACCCAGTATGGGCTGCCCTTTTCTTTCTTCTGTACGATATAGCCAGTGATAGGAGATCCACCATCAGATTTAGGTGTAGTCCATTGTAAGTCCACGTGATCTTTGCTCCAGTCTGTAGCTTCAGGTTTACCTGGTGGTGACGGTTCATCGAACTCGTTCTTCGCTACGATTGCGCGGTCTAATTCTAACGGTTCAGATTGACCAATTGCATTGACAGCGCTAACTCTGAATAGATATTCTTTCATATGTATTAACCTGGTTACTTGATGGGATAGGAATGTGCTCATACCAGCATCAGACCATGTACCACGAGACAAGTCCATCTTTTCGATAACATAATGTAAGATCGGTGATCCGCCATCATCGAGAGGAATCCTCCATGAAAGGGAGCAGGATTCTTTAGTGACATCAGAGACCACGAGAGGCTTCTCTGGTCTTGAGGGCTTATCGAGGACGGTAACTTGAGCACTCGCTGAACAAACGCCGAGATCATTTTTCAGGGTCAGTTTGTAAACGCCTCCGTCAGCACGAACGGAGAATGGAATGTCTAGGACAACCCTGTTATGCAATATTTGAATGTCGATACGGTCTGATGGTTGAACGACTTTGCCGTTAATTTGCCATTCAACAGTTGGCTTCGGTGATGCCTCGATAGGTATCTCATATTGTATTCTTTGTCCTGCTTTGACAGTCTTGTCAGCAAGCAGCATCTTGTCAAAGTGCGGCGCACAGAAGCGTGCCTTCGCAACTTGTGGCGTAGAGGCATCGCTCGGCTCACCATTTCCTGCCTTATTAACTGCGATAACTCTGAATTCATACTCCTCTCCCTCTTGTAGTCCGGGGACAGTGGCTGTCGTCTGGTTTCCTGGTACTGTTGCAGCAACTTCCCAGGGTCCGTATTTTTTCTTTGCTTCGATAATGTAGCCGGTAACTGGAGAACCACCATCCTTTTTCGGCGGTACCCATTCTAAATCCATATGATCCTTGTCCCAGTCTTTGACAACTGGAGTGCCGGGTTTGTCCGGTGTTCCGTAAGGATCTTTAGCGGTGACGGGTTCGTGTCCGACTAGGGGCTGAGATTCTCCTTGTTTGTTGACTGCGCGAACACGGAAGTTGTAATCATGGCCTTCGATGAGATGATCAATCCTAATACTGCAGGCTTGGACATCACCAGCAGGTATCCAGCGCATGTTCTCCTGGTCCATTTTTTCAACAACGTAGTGGGTGATTTCACTGCCACCGTCATCTTTGGGTGGCCTCCAGCGAAGTGTGCAGCCGGACTTGGTGATATCATCAGCTCGAAGTGGACCTTCAGGTGGTAGTGGCACATCAAGGACAAGTACTTTAACTGTGGCTGTGTCAGTGCCGTTGATATTCTTAGCTTTGAGCGTGTAATTTCCTGAATCAGCTCTCTTAGCGTCGATAACGCGGAACTTAGTGGAATGAGCGTCATTAACTAATTTGATCCTGTCAGTATTGATAACAATGTTATCGCCGTGCTGCCATTCCTTAGTCGGGGTTGGCTCACCGGCCACTGGCACATCGAGTTCGAAGTTTTGTCCCGCTTTAACCTTGATGTCGAACATGAAGTTCCTGTCGATCTTGGGAGGTAGATTTTTGGGGCGTGCCAGGTGGGGCGCTGTGCCATCGCTGGGTACTCCAGGACCGGCCTTATTTACGGCGCGGACTCTAAACTCGTATGTATTGCCTTCGATCAGATCCGGTACTTTTCCAGATGTTACATCCCCTTCAATCTGATGAAAGAAAATAAAATGTATGTGAATTTATATACAGGCAACAGAACCTTCTTCAATCATTATATATAATATTAAAAACACTTCATACAAAAAACGACAAACTGAAATTTTGGTTCCATTTAGAATAAAGTAGAAAATATTTATTGTCAGAAAAGTACATACATACATTACAACAGAAAATACAGAAATATTATATATAAGAAGTGTTTTATATTAAGCAAAAGGAACTAGCACAGCTGATGCTGTAAGTGTCCTAATGCAATGTGTACAGCCGCATAGCGCTGGTTTCCAGCCAATTCATCTTTTGCATTAATATTTAATTGATACAAAAAGATGCCATCTTAACCTTGGTAAATTTCCGACTAAATCTTACAAATTTACTAATACGTAACCTACCTGGGCGCACTCTTCCCAGTCAGGTGCGAATCTATCCTTCTTTTCGATAACATATCCCGTGATAGGGGCACCACCATCGCTTTCTGGCCGGGTCCATTCCAGTTCCACAAAGTCCTTGTCGAAGTCCTTGATCTTGGGAGTGCCAGGCTTGCCTGCCACGTCGAATGGATTCTTGGCTTCGGTCGCGTGCGGTGTTGTGAGTGGCTCTGATTTGCCTTGTCTGCAAAAGGTTAATGTTTTAATAAATATGTTCACCACAAGGTACATACTTTGTACAAAAGACGTATGCATTTTTTTTAATGGGTGATGATGGAATGGTAACCCCATCTGCGCTATCGGTATACACCGGCGGGGCACCAGTGAAGGATGATAAGTGAGGATGAAGCAGGTCCGTTAGCCCATCGTGACGAATTCAACAGGAATTGTTCACGATGGTTTCCAGGGGGAATCACGCGGAAGTCAACCTAATAAAGCATATTGCTAGCAATGGGGCTGTCAAACTTTATTTCTAACAGTTCCTTTCCCCCCAGACGTATGCATTATCTCTATATATCTCTTTTCTTCCCTGTTTCTGCTATGAAGCAGTTATGTTTTCAGGGATGTTTTGGGTCTTAAGGAATGGGGTACAGTAGAAGTAAAAATACAGGATTCAGAGCCTATTGTGCCTATATCTTAGGGATGAAAACTCCTGAGGTACACTATAAGCATTACAGTGTATTTTGATGTTTAAAACTATTAGGCAATAGTTACTAGTTTCCATCACGTTAACCATCAGCTTGTTTGACATATAAAAAATTGTCAACTAACATCTGAACAGGACTTTCATTGGATAGTAGGGTAAAATTTTTTTTATGTGTATAAGTGACCATTTTTGGTCACTATAAAGTCAAAATAGTGTTTTCAATTTTTGATTCAAAGGATTTCTCAAATTCGATATTTGAACAGTTCAATACTCGAGCTCTAGGCCTAGCAGCAGTGGACACCAACTAACCTGTTGACCGCCCGCACTCTGAACTTGTACTTGTGTCCGGGCTGCAGTCCGTCGACGGCGAGGCTGGTCTGCGGGCCGTCGGTTTCGCCGGCCTGCACCCAGCGGCCGGTGGCTTCGTCCATGCGTTCTACTATGTACTTCTCGACAGGCTGGCCGCCGTCGTCCGCTGGCGGGTTCCACGAGAGTTTCGCGCCGTTCGCGTGCACGTCTGAGACCTGGAGTACAGTAAAGTATTAAGTAACTAGATATCTAGTCCAGCTTTAATATAATCTACGTTAGTCGCTGACAATGTAGCTTTTTATAGGTCAAAGAAATTTTAAAATCAGTCAAGTAGTTTTTGAGTTTATCTATTACAATTAAACAAACAAATCTTTGCTCTTTATAATACTAGTACAGATAAAATCTACAATATAAACTAGTTTTAGCCCACAGCTTTGTCTAGATGTAAAAAATGATTATGTTAATCCATGATATGACCTGTATATATATAAATTAATTTTAGTTTATTCAGCAGGTTAAGCGTAATTGAGTAACGAACATCTGAAGAGGTTTGAATGACCTTTGATTTAGTATAAAAAGTAACCTAATCATAAATCTATTGTAGAAGTTATATTTTTTTGTGCTAATATTTTAATTTGAAAAATGAAACAAAAACCGACTTTAATTGTGATAAAACCAATTACTTCAATTTTAAAATTTTAACTACTGCACCGATTTTGACAACATTTCTATAAAACTAATCTGTAACTATATCCTTTGTTTGGTTTAAAATTTACAGTGTTATGAGGTAACAAACATAAAAAAAAAATACAACCGAAGTGAATACCTTCTTCTTTTAAAGTCAGTTGAAAATGACAAAATAAACTAATTATGGGAGATCTAAAGTTTTATATTTAAATAATTTTAAAATTAAAAAGATACGTATTCCCAAGGAGGTACGCGGAGGTATTAAATAAGTACAATTCTCCAAATAAAAAATATACCTAGCAACGTAAACTATTTACATAAAAGCATTAACTGATTGAAAGGAGGTCATATCTAATAAGAAATGTTTGTATAAATAAAATCCGTTATTGACTGTATTCATAAGAGACTTAGCACGTATGTTATTTTGAAGAGCTGTGGATTTTTGTATAAAATAAAATAAAAAAAAAATACCTTGAGCGGTCCTCCAGGCGGGCTGGGCACGCTGAGCACGATCACCTCCACCTCGGCCACGTCCTTCCCGTTGATGTTCTCCGCGGTAATAGTGTAGCGGCCGCTGTCCGCGCGTGTCGCCGCCTTGCAGTTCAGCTTCGTGTTGTAGTCCGAATGCTGCACCTTCATATCGCCGCCCGACTTCACCTCCTTCTTGGCGAGGAACCACTTTGTCTCGGGCATTGGTTCACCTGTGACCTGTTTATGAATAATAGGTTGTATTTCAGACTTTTATCAATTTATATTAAACTAACTTTTACCTCTAACTTTGACCGCGTAACCGGTATATGTTGGGGGGAAAGGGATTGTTAGTAATGAAGACTTAGAATCTTATTGCTAGTAATATACCCAACCAGGTCGACCTCCTCGCGGTTCTCCCTGGAAACTATCATGGTTAATTCCTGATGAATTCATCATGATAGGCTAACTGGCCTGTTTTCATTCTCATCTATCACCCTTCACTGGATACGCGAACGGGATACGCTGGCGGAGCGCCAGCGTATCCCGTTAGCGCAGGAGGGTTACCACACCATTTTCACCCATAAAAAAAAACCAGTATATGTTTCATCAAATCAGCCCTTAATCGTCCACTGCTGGACATAAGCCTCCCCCTTGGGGAGGTTTGCCAGTATTTGCCACGCTTGGCACGCGGATTGGCAACCACAATTGAACTTTGGAGATATTTTAGGGGGACGCTGCTGCCCATCCTTGGACCTCCCTTAGTCGCCTCTTACGACACCCACGGAAAAGGAAGGGGTGGCCTATTCTATGCCGGGACCACACGGTTTTACTATATAACTATTATAACAATTGTTCTATATATTTCATATGTAATTTAGATTAATAAAACATATATCACGTGTGAGAACATAGATAATTGGTAGTATTTTATTAGAATATGAGTAAATATGTGAACTGACCTTGACATCGAATCCGAACTTCTGTCCGACCTTGATCTTGATGTCGATGAGGTTGGTCCTGTCGATCTTGGGTGCGAGGTTTCTGGGTTTAGCGATAATCGGATGCGTGCTATCGCTGGGGTCGCCCGGTCCCGCCTTGTTCACCGCGCGTACTCTACATGTAACAATTACCGAGATAATTTTAACCCAAGATTGATTTAAAAGATTGTGCAGTAAACAAACAATATTTCAGTTTTTGTTGCATTTTGTATCTTTTTTCTTTTTTTTTTGTGTTTATTTTTGTTGTTATGTGTGTACTGGATACAAATAATATATAAATTAATTCTATTTCGGCATTTGGTCTACGTGAATTAGAATAATAGTGTCTGTGGATGATCAGTATCAAAAGTACATTAAGATTCTCAAATTCCTTTACCTTGTAGAGTGTATGCCATATAAATATTGAAATAATTATTAATACAATATTCATTCAACACTGGCAGTATTGTTTTTTAAATATGTATTGTAAAGGTGGCAATATATATATATATATATATATATATACACATTTACAATATACCACCTTTACAATATATATATATATATATATATATATATATATATATATATATATATAAACACCAGAGGTACAGCGTGCGCATGCTGCCGACCTTGTAAATTTAATGAGTACTTTTTCAAGAGCCTTCATTAATTGAAATCGAGATTTTGATAGGAAATTATTAATAAAAAAACTAATGATTGTTTTAATTTTAAATTCAATCCTTTTTTAATATATATCAGTAGAATCATATTAAGAAATGTATCTTATCTAATTTGATAAAATATCCCACCTGAACTCATAAGTCTGTCCTTCGATGAGATCAGGTACCGTACAAGTGGTCTTGTCGGCGGGCACCTCGAGCGCCTTCTCCCAGTTGCCAAACTTGTCCTTCTTCTCGACGATGTAGCCCTCGATGGGGGCGCCACCGTCGTTGGTGGGCGGGCTCCACTTGAGGTCCACGTGGTCCTTATCCCAGTCGGTCACGCTCGGCGTGCCAGGCGCGCCTGTAACAATCATTTGTTGTATATTTAGTGAGAATGTCTTATTGTTTTTATTGCTATTATTGCTTGTGTAAGGACAGAGTTGTCTCACGTAAAAAAATCCAAGTTTTTCACTAAAAAAAAAAAAAACAGAAAATAAACTCCAGTAACTATCAGTAATTAAGTATTGCTTTTTCATTATTTTTTATTCTCAAATTATTAAAAAGACTAAATAGGAGCCACATTTTTATGGCTATATTATTATTTTTAATTTTTATAACTAAAAATATCTTCATAAAATATACATATTTTTTATTATTTCAAGATGTGTTAGGGTTTGGTCTTACCTCGTTTCCTTAAAAGTGATAGCAAGACCTAACATAAGAGTTAATTATTACTGCTAATCCTATAAAAAACTAAGCTTGACTATGAATAGATTAAATTAAATATTAACAAAAATCGTATCTAAAAAAAAAAAACACAATTATAAAGATAGTCATAAAACTGACCAGGCTCGTCGAATGGATTCTTTGCCACGATAGTTCCCTCCGAGATAAGGGGTTCAGATTCACCCTCCGAGTTGACAGCTGATACACGGAACTTGTACTCCTTGCCCGGAGTCAGGCCGGTCACATCGCACTCTGTAATATAATTGGGGCACAAAAATAAAAAAAATTATGTTTCTTACTAATTTATTAACATGTACTAATAACTTCAAAATTGACCCTAAAAAAGTGCCCTTTTTTATGCAACTTAGAATGGCAAACAAGCTGACAGCCCACCTGATGGAAACTGGTAAACGTTATCTATTGACATGAGCAGTACCACGAACATAACAGAGTATACTTTTTCGTCCATGATAACCCCATTCAGTACCATTTCTGAGGACTCAGGTGTCATTCCTCTGTACCCTGTAAATTTACTGCCATATCTTATCCTACAAACCGAAACACGGCCATGCAAATATAACTGCTTCAAGGACGAATAAATGCCCTATGAAATACCTTTAATAAATCTAACACAATTATTTTATTACATGTGACCATTACATAATAAAGTAAATAGGTATTTATATAGTCACATGATGGATCCATGATGGACTTATTTTCAGGCTTTACGTATTTAATGTGCTATATGGATCCAACATAGAATAGGCCACTCCTTCCTTTACTGCAGGTGTCGTAAGAGACGACTAAGGGAATTTAATAGTCGAGGAATGGGCAGCAGCGACCCTCTTAAAACATCACCAAAGCCTAACTGCGGTTGTTAATGTCACAGACCTCCCCCTCAAGGGGGAGGTCTGTGGCAGTAGGCAATTAACGGTTTATGTCGTCGTCATATCTAATGTTGTAAAAGCTTTTTATGATAGAAAATATGCTTTAAATTGCTTTTATATTAATTAAACTCACTGGGCTCGTCAGACCGTGCGCAGGGCACCCAGCAGCCGGTCTCGGTGTCGAGTTTGTCAATCTGGTAGTACTCGATGGGTGCTCCACCATCGTCTTTCGGACGCTTCCACTTCAGTGTCGCACCATCTTTGTGTACGTCTGAGATCTGAAATGATAGCAATATCAAGTTTTAAAAAAGGCATTAAATTAAAAAAAAAAAAAAGAAAAATTCCGGATTCATAAACTAAAATAACGAAATAATTTGTTGTATTTTTTTATAATACAGGAGGCAAATCAGCTTGCGGTTCACCTGATGGTAAGTGACTACCGTCGCTCATGATCACCCACAAGACCAAAGGTATTGCAGGTGTGCTGCCGGCTTTTTAAAAAGGAATATGCTCTTTTCTTAAAGGTTATGATGTCGTATCGGTTCGGAAATATTGCTGCTGGATGTTGATACCAAAGAATGGTTGTGCGTGGAAGAAAGTGCCTTGAAAAACGCAGTAGAAGAGCGCCACTCATCCTGATAATTGGGATGGAACTTCAGATTGCATGAATCATTTCAAGAAGTCCATAAAAAGCCTATTTATCAGATAAACTTATTCGTAGACATACCTGTAGTGGTCCCTCAGGTTTGTTCGGTTTATCGGTGACGACCACGTTGATCGTGACGGCGTCTCTACCGCTCGAGTTGACCGCGGTGACGGTGTACTCGCCGGTATCGTCGCGCCGCACCGGCCGCACTACCAGCTTAGTGAAGTAATCCGGACTATCGATGCTGACTGCTTTGGATGGTCGGAGTGGCATGTTCTGGTATCTGAGGTGAACAAAAATGGTAAATTTGTAACAAATAATAAATCGTCGTTGATGTTGTCAACTTTTTAAAGCAAGCAGTGTTTATACTTGGATTTTTTTTGAAATATGGAACCTTTCTTCCCCATCGGTTTTCGGTCCTTCCAGCTATGTGACCAGCCCATAGCCACTTCAGCTTGCTTATCCTTCAGGCTATGTCGGTTACTTTGATTCTTATGCGGATATCCTCGTTTCGGGTTCTATCACACAAAGAGACTCCAAGCATAGCCCTCTCCATAGCCCGCTGAGTAATTTGGCGCTTTTGCATATATAATATACATATACTTTCTTTTCTCTGGTAGTCGGATAAAAAAGGACCAAAACTCACCTCCATTCAACAGCTGGTGCAGGTTCGCCAGTAATAGCGGCTTCCAGCTTGAGCGTAGAGCCAGCCGAGATGGTGACATCTCGGAGGTGTCTCCTGTCGATTTTGGGGGCGAGGAACCGCGGCTTCGCCACGAAGTTCTTGCTGGCTTCCGACGGTTTACTCTGTCCCGCTTTGTTAATTGCTATCACGCGGAACTGGTACTCATTACCTTCGATCAACCTGTTAGTAAGAGTTGATATATTTTACTATGATTATAATCTATTTCACTCATTTTAGATCGTATAAAATTGTAAAAAGGAAAAATTTACTGGTGTACCACAGGGTTGTCTAATGGAGCCAATAAAGATATGAAATCACATATACTAATATTTTTAACTCTTATCATAAAAGTATCTTTCTCCATACTACTCGTATTCCTGCTATTGAGTAGCTATACTTGTATAGCTGTGTTACTGACTTACTAGAGAGATATATGAAATCACCGAATATGGGGGGTAACAGCTTATCCTTTAGGAAAGGCAATGCAAAAACATACAATGGGTGTTACAAAGTATTCGATTGTCTATGCAATAGACAAAAAAACAGTACTATAGAGTCTATGGCATTGTTTTTACAACCGACTTCAAAAAAGGAGCATGTTCTCAATTCGGTTGTATTTTTTATGTTTATTACCCCATAACTCCGTCAGTTACAAACCATTTTGAAAAATTCTTTTTTATCTAAAAAGGTATACTATCAGATTGGTCCCATAGAAATTGCATGAAAATCGATTTAATAATTTCAATTTTTTAATCAAACTAACTGGTTTTACTTATTTTAATCTCTTTTGCAAGATACTCAAAAGACATATTATTCGAAGTTTAATAAATGTACACAAAACATATTTCTGAATTTGCTACATACCCATTAACTGTAGCAGTAGGCGTTGGAGTATGTGTCTCTACAGCTTTCTCCCACAACGGGCTGTACTTGTCCTTCTTCTCAATGATATAACCAATGATGGGAGAGCCTCCGTCTGATATTGGCGGCTCCCATTTGAGGTCCACATGGTTGGCTGACCAGTCATCAGGCACTGGTGCTGATGGTGCGTCTGGTACCGCTGTTAATGAATTTTATTTTTTAATTTTATAATCTAGCCATGTTTATTGCTTACTATCAATCCGTCCCTGTTTCCATGGGTAGAGCTATATAGCTTATGTTACTCACTAATGTAGCTTTCTATAGGTGAAAGAATTATTAAAATCGGTTGAACAGTTTTTGAGTTTGACAAATTTTTCTTCTGTATGATATTAGTACAGATTTATACTCATTATTATTGCAACCCAGCTTTCTAAAACTGAATTTGCTTAATTTAAATGAAAATTAACAAGTAGTTTGAGAAATATTATTTAACTTTTTTTTATTCATTGCGTAAGCGGAAAAAAATAGACGTAAACAATGACTGTTCTTTTTAAAAAAATTAAGAAAAAAGAGATTAAAAGGGACATAAAATATAGGATTGTTTACTAATTATTCCAAATAAAGAAAAATAGATGATAATATTATGACAAAAACACTCACTGAACGGATCCTTGGCAACGATAGAGCCAAATGTCTCCAGAGGCTCCGATTCTCCCTCCTTGTTGATTGCCTTCACTCGGAACTTGTACTCGTGTCCGGGGATCAACCCGTCCACCTACAAACACAAAGAAACCACGTGATTCTATGAGCGCTTATATAATTTACTTAATTTAAATTTATAGCTTTCATGAAATTACAATCAGTTTTTAGAGACGAACCGAGTGACTAGCACGCTTTTTTTATCAGTTTGCTAGCAATATGTGCATTAATTATACCCCTCCCCTCTATCCACCAAAAATGAATTAAATTTTGCGACCCAAAAGCAAAGCCGAAACTATGTTAACGAATTGCAACCATAACTAATACGCTATAAAGACCTAATTACAAAGTTTCAATTCACTAAGAACCAAATGTGTCTGTCTCTGTGAAAACAGTACCCACCTCCATCTCGGGCACATTTCCGAGGGTCTTCCCAACGGGCATCCAGCTGCCAGTTTCGGGGTCGTATTTCTCGACAAGGTACGCCTCGATGGGCTCGCCGCCATCATCCTTCGGCCGTTTCCAGTTGAGCTTGCATCCGTCCTTGTGGATGTCTGACACTTCTAGTGGACCTTCGGGCTTCTCTGGTTTCGCTAGAAAGATAAATTATTGTGTAAATTTTTAGATGTAATATATTAAGACCTCTGTCAATTTTTTAGAAATGATCCCCAGAATTCGAATTTAGAAAAAAAAGTATAAAAATTTTACTGATAAATTTAGTTTTTCTATTATTAACTTCTTTTTCCCCCATTAACTTTCCTTTTTACTTTTTTTTATAACAAATCATAAAAAAAATTGAGATTAAACATACATACAGGTATAGGTAGTATCGTATTTAAATTTTGTCTTTCGGCTTGAGTGGCCACTTATATATACTTATATATATATGCAATTTAATTTATTACATATATACAACTTAGAATGGTAAACAAACTGACGGCCCACCTGATGGAAAGTGGTAACCGTCGCCTATAGACATGAGCAGTACCACGGACATATACTGTTTCGCCCACGATACGCCCTCATGCCATATATTATCTAATCAGTGTGATGTAAGAAATGAATTTTCTCTCTGTTGTTCTTTGTTAAAATTATCAGCAATTACTTTATTACAAGTGAATTACCATATAAAAAATGGAAAAAATTGTCTAAATTCAAAGTATTTTAAAATTCTCGACACATTTTTATACTTACATGTAACAATGATTTCCAATTCGGCGGTATCCTGACCATACTTGTTGGTAGCTTGTATCTTGTAGGTACCGGAGTCCTTGCGACGCGGGCTCGCGTGCTGATACTTGCTCAAATACGGTACATCCACCACTGTAATCAAATAATCAATAGGTTACAATTAAAACAACAATGAATAGCTTTAGACGGAGTTTGATATTTTATACCAATTTTATACAATGTGAAAAAAAAAAAAAATTTAGTGGACAGCCTTACAGAAAATGGTCATAGTCGCCTATAGACGTAAACAGTACCAATATTATGTGAAAACAAACCACAGCCAATAAAATTTACACAGACGCTGTTGTAATGTCATTTTGTGCAACTTGCATGTGATAAATATACTAAATATTGGGCTACCCCTTCCTTTCCTGTGGGTGTTGTAAGAGGTAACTAAGGGAGGTCGAGGGATGGGCAGCAGCGTCCCTCTTAAAACATCTCTAAAAACCTAACTGCGGTTGCCAATTGCGCTGCCAAATACGATAAATACTGACAAAACTCCCCTTATGAGGGAAGCTTATGTCCAGCAGTGGACAGTTAACGGTAGAAATAATAATAATAAATTACCATCTACTATTAACAATACTTCAGGCTTCAGAGAAGATACTCGTATTGTAATAATCAAAGCATCGCTCGTTACATTGCCATTTCATTATAAATATCTGTCCTTAAGTGTTGCCATTATTGCAAGTAGTTATATGCCTTAATTAATAATGGATTGATTAAACCATACTTACGCTTGAGACCATTTCCGCTGGTGACGCTCTTCCCGTTGAGGGACCACGTGACTTCTGGTGGAGGTTCACCGGAGACCTTGACGTCGAGTGAGATCGGCTCGCCCTCGTGCACCTTGATGGTACGAAGGTTGCGGCGGTCGATCTTCGGAGCCACTGTTTATCAATGTTAAAACAACTATCAAGATATCATGATAAACCAGTTTCATGAAGGAAGACTGAATGGATCACTGTACCGGTACCATCGTTTCGACACTGAGAGCGATTAATTATTTAATACTGGCCTTTTCCTGTGGATTTGCCCTTGTAGCTATATATCCTACATATTTTTTTATACAACTTAGAATGGCAAACAAGCTGACGGCTCACCTGATGGAAAGTGGTAACCGTCGCCTATAGACATGAGCAGTACCATGGACTTATATCCATGGTACTGCTCATATATAAATAGTCACACACAGTCACAGTCTAAATAGTTTCCTTAAGAGTAGTGAATAAAGATTATATTATTCTTATATTATATTATTATTATATCTATAGGCGTGGGGGGTATCATGTGCGAAACAGTATACTCTGTTATCAGAGTATATTGTTTCGCTCACGATAACCCCCATGCGTCGCCATTCCTGAGGACTCAGGTGTTATTCCTCTGTACCCTGTAAATTCACGCCATATCCCACCCTTCAAACCGAAAAACAGCCATGCAAACACAACTGCTTCACGGTAGAAACACGAATAGGACAGAAGTACCCAATCAATCGACTTTTGTACAAAATCCCCCTTCTGGTTTTAAAGTTCTGGTTCCAAAGTCTACATATTAAATGGTTGTGTGTTCCCGACATAGAAAGAATAGTCCATTTCTTACTTAATATAAGTATACTCACGTCTCCTCGGCTTGCAAACAACGGACTTGCTGGCGTCCGAGGGCTCTCCCGGGCCGGCCTCGTTGATGGCCTTTACCCGGAACTCGTACTCCACACCCTCGTCGAGGTTCGGCACTGTGGCTTTCTCGTTGTCGTTCGGACCAACCTGGTATGTAAATAAGTAGATGTATTAAAACGATATTCAAAGGATGCCACGTTTGGCAGGTTAGCAACTGCATTTAGGTTTTTGGTGAGTATTTAAGAGGAATGTTACTGCCCAAGTCTGCTCCCAGAGATAAAGGGAGGAAGGGATTGTTAGTAATACGGACTATAAGCCCTATTGCTAGCAATATACTAATAATAATATCAGGGCGACCTCCACATGGTCTCCCTTTGAAACCTTTGTGCTGAATTTCTAGTGTATTCATCAAGATGGGCTAACTACAGATAATACTACTGTAACTAATATGTCCCGCCAGCGTATACCAATAAAGCAAAAAGGATTGTCATTTTATTGTCATCCATTAAAAAAAAGGAAGGGTGTATAAGCATGAAATTACTACGGAAGAGGCATAACAACGTGATCCTCATGATATGTCAAATCATGGAGAGTACCATAAACGTTATACTCATAGCCAAATCCTGCGATATCCATGGTGCTGCACATGTCTGTAGAACACTTTCTATCACGTGGAAAGTCAGTTTATTTATCATTACAAATTAACCACACCAATTAGAAATATGCTAGCTGATGATGATCATAAATTGATGACGACTCACCTCGCAGGCTTTCACCCACTTCGGTGATCCGACTTCCCTCTTCTCGATGATGTATCCAGTGATTGGCGCGCCGCCGTCCTTCAGCGGCTTCTGCCACTTGAGGTCCACGTGGTCCTTGTCCCAGTCGACCACCTCGGGTGTACCGGGCTTGCCAGGTTCGTCTATGTTAGAATTATGAATCAATTATAATGAATATTAAAATTATTATCTTTGCCTGAGAATTCACTTTAAAGTGGGTGCAGTCTTATATGTATCTACGTGTGTATATACTTGTAAAAATGTGCCTGTGTATGCACTTCATATTTGGCTCGTCTTTTCAGACATTTTCATTAAAATAATAATAATTAAATAAATAATTAAAGAAAACTAAAAGTCTGCATATTGACCAAATCAACTTTACTTGTATATAACAAACTGTTAATGAACAAACGAATTCAAAAATAACAGGAACGACAACCGTTCCGCGAGACGATCTAGCCAAAGTGAAGTCCCGGACGTCCCGCTGGCCTACGAACAAAAAGCTGCTATTCAGCATTGTTTACAATCCTCGTGTAAATTTTAGTTCAGCCATAATAAAACGCCTAAAGTCGTGTGCTGTCAACGTCTTGTTGCACAGCCCATTGCTAGCTATATAAACTGTCAGGTGGACCTCCGCGTGGAAACCGTCGTGCTGAATTCCTCGTGTATTCATCACGATGGGCTAACTGACCTGCATTTTCATTGTCACCTATCATCCCTCGTTGATAACCAGCCAATGTATAGCGTTAGCACGGCTGGGGTTGCCATTCCATTAAAAATACGGCTTACTCAAAGGAATATATTATGGCGACTCCAATTACATAATGACAAGAGCAGTGAGATGAATGTATCTTAAATTATAAGATCTTGATAGGTAACCGGTACTTACCGAATGGATTCTTGGCAATGATCGAGTGATCAGCCTCCAGGGGTTCGGAGACACCCTCATTGTTGACAGCGGAAACCCTGAACTTGTACTCGTGTCCAGGGACTAAGTTTTCTATTTCAGCCTTGGGGTCTTTGGTCTTAAGGGCTGGCATCCATCTTCCTGTTTCCGTGTCGAGTTTCTCCACGAGATAATGATCGATGGGGGCACCACCATCGTCCAATGGTGGGTTCCATTTCAGTGTGCAACCTTCTTTGTGAACATCTGAGATCTGTAATGTAGTTATTTAGAGATTTAAGGAAGTTTCAAGTGTAAGTCATGAATAAGTTAATGGTGATATATACTAAGTAACGATTATCACTTCACATAAAGTGAACAATAGAATCGTTCATAATTTCAAATTATATAAATAAAATTATTGCCTTATTAAGAAAATTTTAATTTAAACATCCACTTCTTAATATCGATTCAAAAGTTTTTATTTATTGGCACATAAGTTTAATTTGGCTTAATAAGTTTACTGTTATATTACATCTGATATTCTCCAAACTTATACAAGAAATATCATCCTTATATTTTATACATTAAGCTATAATTTACCTTGAGCGGTCCCTCAGGTTTAGCAGGCACGTCCAATACAATCACTTGTATGGTGGCCTCATCCCTTCCGCTGCTGTTCTCAGCCTTCAGTACGTATGTACCGCTGTGTTTCCGGGATGTGATCACTATCGACAATTTAGTGCGGTAGTCTTCTGTATCCACTGTGAGATCGTCGCGTGTGGACAGACGCTCTTTGTTGTGGAACCTGGGAATACACATTTTTTTAGCAAGGAAATAAGGCTAAAGCGATTCACTATACATCCATTATTAACAGATAATATTAAATGAATCTTAACAAATTATGTGCAAGCTTCCCAAATACCTCTTATTGTTTCCCAAAATATTTTCAGTTTTATATATTTTAAAATTATAAAAAAAATAAAAGAGCAATGGACTCATTATTCATTTGAAAGATATCAGGCCTTTTTTTTATATATACAACTTAGAATGGCAAACAAGCTGACGGCCCACCTGATGGAAAGTGGTAACCATCGCCTATAGACATGAGCAGTACCATGGACATAACAAAGTATACTGTTTCGCCCATGATACCCCCTCATGCGTTGCCATTCCTGAGGACTCAGGTGTTATTCCTCTGTACCCAGTAAATTCACGCCATATCCCACCCTTCAAACTGAAACACAGCCATGCAAACACAACTGCTTCACGGTTGAAACACGAATGGGACAGAGGTACCCAAGCAATCGACTTTTGTACATTACTTGTCGGCTTCTAGTTCAAACTCAATTCGTTTCGAATTTTTTCAATAATTTTTCAATTTTCGAAGTAAATTTATTTATTATTATAATAATATGACTTACCATGTCTTAGTTGGTGGCGGTTCACCGGAGACCTTGATGTCAAGCCGAATGTTCTGTCCCGCTTTGATAGTAATATCACGCATATTGGTACGATCGATCTTCGGCGGCGCTGTGGATGAATGAATGGTTACATTAATAGAGTTACGAAGCCGAGTCTAAAATATATAAAAAAGCAATTATTTGATAACTTAGTTGTTTATTATTTACCTATTTGTTTAACATTCAAAATATAGTCTTTATTTGTGGTTTTGACATAAATATTATCATTATATCAGTCGTTAACTGTCCACTGCTGAACCTAAGACTCCATTTTAGAGGATTTTACCAGTAGTTGCCACGCTTGGAAGGCGGGTTAGCAACCGCATTTACGCTTTGGTGACGTTTTAAGAGGGACGTTATTGCCCATCCTTCCATCATTAAACTCTCTTATGACTCCCACGGGAAAGAACAGGCGGAATTGACAATAAACATAGAATGCAAAAAGGAGTAGTATTTCTGATACAGTTACAGATAATAGAATACTATACAAGTAGTATGTTCAACATGCATACAACGAAGTTCACCCGTCTTTTACTGGTCTTCGTCTTCCCTTTGTACCCATTTACTTTCGAATATGTAAGTAAATACATATGTGTTGTAACTTTATCTTTTTATAGTTTAATAAATAATATAAATACACTAAATACTCACCGAATCTGTCTTTCGCAAGCAAGTTCTCAGACGGCGCAGACGGTTTGCCCGGGCCGGCTTTGTTGACCGCCTTCACGCGGAACTGGTAAGTTTTGCCTTCAATCAGATCGGGTACGCGCGCCTCTGTCTTATTGCCAGGTACCTGGTGAACACATAATTTTATATTATTGTATATCTTAATACCAGTGACAACTCAGTTGGACAGCGCTTGACTGCGGTCTGGAGATCGTAAGGTATTCTAACCTCTGAATTTAGGGGGGAAGGGGTTGTTAATAATGGGAAGGATAGTCCCCATTGCTATCAATATACCCTATCAGGTCGACCTCCACGCGGTTCCCCCAGAAAACTATCGTAATTAATTTATCGCTGAATTCGTCACGATGGGCTAACTAACATGCCTTTTCATCCTCACCTATCACCTCTCACTGGTACCCCGCTAGTGTCTACCGATAGCGCAGGCGGAGTTGCCATGCCATTTTCACTTATTAAAAAAAAAACACTGAATTTTTAAATTAAAATTTGAATTGTTGTCACTTGCTTCATCATTGTGTAGTTATTTTAAGACTTTTATGTAAGTGTGCGGTCTAGAAACAACTGATACTAGGTACGACATCCAAATACTCTTTCTTTCTTTCATTACACATTTTATTGGTATAGCGGTTAATGCACTTCTTCACTTTAAGACGATAGCTTGTTCAATCCACGCACAATACAAACTAATGTATTTTTAAATGTATTAAATGAAGAATAAGTCTAAAAATAAACCAGATAGATAAGTCTCCAAAACAATACAAACATAATAATCAAGCTACTCACTTCCTATATCTATGAAGTTTCTACTACCCACAATACAAGCATTGCTTAATTCAGAACTAGATGGCGCTGTCGTGTATTAAATAGATGAAATTACGACTGTCATAATAAAAAGATAAATAATATAATAATTTTCCACACCTCTGCAGCCTTCACCCATTTGCCGGTATCCCTGTCCTTCTTTTCAACAATGTAGGCAGTGATGGGGGCGCCACCATCGTTGACAGGTTTATCCCACTTGAGGTCAACGTGGTCCTTGCTCCAGTCTTTGAACTCGGGTTTGCCGGGAGCATCAGGCTCGCCTGATCAAACAAAACAATACAATAATAATACATAAGAGGTCATACAGCATGTTCACCATAACAGCAAAAGTGGATAAAATTCCAGTACTACTGTTGCGATAAAAATTCTTTAGGAATCTAATAAATCGACAAAACAGCTACTTCATGTATACGTTTTTAGTTTATCTAGATTTTATTTTTATTTCTTGATCCGTTTCAAAGGAGTATAACGAGAAATTATTTGACTGTAGTGACACTAACATTTCATCGACAATATTCAATATCAAAGATTCTATTTCTCGTTATGGTCCTTCTAGCCAGATGAATATAAGAAAATTAATTATTTATTAATTTGTATTGAAAATAAAAAAAGGATATATATTATAATGATATGTAATAAAATAAAATACTAACCGTAAGGATTCTTGGCAGTAGTAGCGGTCTCTGTGACTAAAGGCTCGCTCTCGCCCTCCGGGTTCACTGCCTTCACCCTGAACAAGTAATCCTTGCCCTCGTTGAGGCCTGTGACGTCAGCCTCGGGGGTCTTGGTCGTGCACACGGGCACCCATCTGCCGGAGTCTGTGTCCATTCGCTCCACGACGTAGCTCTCGACGGGCTCACCTCCGTCGTCTTCCGGTGGATCCCATTTCAGTTTGCAACCGTCTGCCTTCACATCTGATACCTACGGTGGCAAAATTATTTGAAACTAATTAGGTACCGTGACTTGATAGAGCGGGATAGAAAGTAACCTATGCCCTTTTGCAATTAAAGCACAGGCATATCAAATTTTGTTATTGTTGGTCGAGCCGCTAAAACGTCAAGAGGTAGAGAGGTTACACACAAACAAACAAATAAATAAATAACCATTATGTGCTCTAGCAAACGTCATTTTCCCCTTACCACCACCTACCGAGTTTTTTTTTTTTATTGGGATAAAAACTACCTTACATTTCAAGTTGGAGCAAGCGATCAGGGAGTACGGCAGTGCCTTCGCCAAGACGAACACATATAAATTTACACAATTTCATTAAAATCGGCTGAGCGATTTCGGGGATTAGTTCACACTAATCTATAATATTCTTTTACTATGTAGTATCTGACAAAAACAACTACATTGTTATGTCCATGGTACTGCTCATGTCTATAGGCGACGGTTACCACTTTCCATCAGGTGGGCCGTCAGCTTGTTTGCCATTCTAAGTTGTATAAAAAAAACACAAGCACCACAACTTGGCAGCAAAAAGAAGAGTGTGACGGGGATACTTAAGCAGATGACTTATCAATTATACTCTGGTAATTCAGAGTCATCACCGATAGGTTCTTACTTCGTTATCAAAATTATTGGTAAAGTAGTCAAATATACAAACCTTCAGCGGTCCCTTAGGCTTAGATGGTTTACTGACAACGTCTACTTCAATCTCAACGCTATCAGTTCCAGAGTCGTTCTTCGCTGTCACCACATATTTGCCACTGTCAGCCCTAGTGACCTTCTGAAGGGCGAAGGACGTGTGGTAATCTTTATTCTCGATCTTCAACCTCTCCTCATCCTTGAGTGGTTTATCCTTGAAGGTCCACGTGATCTTCGGTTCCGGTTCACCCTTGACGTCGGCTTCGAATTTAAGCGGTTGCCCGACCTTGACCTTTCGCTTTTGAAGGTTTTTGCGGTCGATGCGTGGCGCCACTGTCCAAATCCAAAGAACATCATTGTTAACGTTGTTAACATCATAAAACTATGTTAGCTACGACTATGACCTTTATCAAAAAGTTGGTAAAGCACTGGATATGATTTACAAAGAGAAGTAAGTTCTAATTTCATTCGAAGGATAAAAAAAACTACTCGAGAACTTGGTAATATGTTTTCACCATCATTGTCATCATTTTATAACTAATTATCAACAAAGGAAATAAAATTGCTAATAATCTATCTATGCTTATTTGAAATCTCCCACGGGCTAGGTATCAGTCTGCCAAGAGAAGAGAGTTAACTGAATGCCTTATCCTTCCTAGGAGTTGATATCTAGAAACTAGTCCAATAACGAATATGTTAAAAGTTTGTTACCGAAAAAATAATATTGGACAAGAGACTTTTAATATATTCGAAAATAGATATCCGACAGATATGGGCGATATCAAAATGGACGTTAAACTTTTTTCCGCTATCAACATCCAGAGGAATTTAATATATAGAGTATTCATATTACCAACACCTAATCCTTCCATTCATCTATTACTTATTCCTCTTTTAATAAACACTGTTAGTATTTATAATGACTTACAGAATCTGGGTTTAGTGATGACGGATTTGCTCGGGTCGGACGGTTCGCCAGGACCCGCCTTGTTGACTGCCATCACCCGGAACTCGTACTCGCGACCTTCCTCCACGTCGGTCACGCGGCCGGTGGGACGGTCGCCGGACGTGCGCAGGCAATCTTGCCATGATCTGAATAGATTTTTTTATAAATATCAAATTAATCATAAATCATCAATTAAAATATGTGTGCTCTGTATTATGGTGGGAACAATCAGGCAACAAACATTTAAAGCTATAACCACAAAAAAGTAAATACGTTATTTATCTAAGACATAACCCAGAATGGGTCAAAACCTAATTTCGGTGGCCAACCTGCTGATCAAGCGTGACAACTACTGCCCTCCCCCCTTACCTTATATGGGAGGCCTATATTCAGTAGTGGAGAGTTAACGGATGATATAGTAATAATAATAATCCAGAAAATCCTGGGGATGAAGGAGGGGTTGTTGACGACTGGAATTAGCGGCCCCGATGTTAGAAACATATTATGTATGCGTTAAATTTTCGTGTATTACAAAAAAAAAACCCAAAGACACCCAAATTTGAGCCAATTCAGAAAAGTAAATCCAGTTTAGTGTTAACAACACAAGGCCAAGCGAGGGACATTTTGAAAAACTCTTATTCTACGAATTATAACAGAATTCATAGTGTATGAAAACTAACCGAATTTAGATAGATAGATACTCTTTATTGTTTTCTCCAAAAGATTACAATAGTAAACTTATTATAAATATAAATAATAACAAGAAATAATCACAATGAGAAAACAATGGGCGACCTTATCGCTAAGAGCGATCTCTTCCAGGCAACCTTTGGATGGAGAGGAGTAATTATAAACAATTTGGTGGGAGGCATGATGAAAAATTTAGTTCACAATAAGGACGTAATATTAACAGAGTAAAACAAATTTATCGACGGCTTATAGGAAATGAATCGTATCAACCCGCTCTAAAGATAAAGCACGATTAAATACCAACTGAGCAACGAACACGTGACTGAGTAATGCATCCCGAATTCTCATGTAATCACTCAGGATACCTAAGACGTAGGACCGTTTCTCTATACTGTAATATCATTATTTGTATAAATCTGGCTCTATAACCCTCTCGAGAGCATATCTTCCCCTCTCTCTCTCTCTTTAAGCATAAAAAAAGAAAACCAATATGGCAGCACTGACCTTCCACCTTTCTCTCTCTTCTGTACAATGTAGCCGGTGATGGGTGCTCCGCCGTCGTCTTTCGGCGCGCTCCATTCCAGCTCCACGAAGTCCTTGTCCCAGTTGCGGGGCTCTGGACGACCGGGCTTGCCGGGCTCGTCTGTATATATTAATTAAAGCTTATAATTTATCAATTTATATGAAAATACAACTAAGACAAAATTGTTAGACGATGACAACTGCATTATATAGCTCTGTTAGAAAGTTTAGACTTTATCTAGACTTTATTACAGCGTTCGTAAAACGAATAGGCTATATAATACATACATACATACATATCTGTCACGCCTGTCTCCCATTAGTGTAGGCAGAAACAATGGAACGCCAAATGCTTCGATTCAAACAAACCTCTTTCGCTTCCTCCACATTCATCAATTTTTTCATACACGCTCGCCGGTTGTAGGCTATATAAAACTTACATAAATAGGTCATATGTTAGTCTTAGATTTTATAGATAGAGTGTCTCCATACAAATGCTTCGAGAAAAGCGGGTCAACTTTTTCATACAATTTTGCGTGACAAATAGTCACGAGTGTTTCCTTTATTACTTCTATAATTATTTTGTTTTATAATAAAAACTCATTTTATGTAGTAAATAATTAAATATAGATACATCAAGATACATTATATGCGTAAGTATATAGAACATAAAAAAACGAGTTAGCTAATTTGACAATTAGCTGACAAAAAGTTAATCCGTTAGAGACTCGATGCTCTATCTATATAATCTAAGGTGTTTGTAAAGTAAAAAAAAAAAAACACTCTGTAGTCGTTCCTGGTACTTTCAGGACCAAGCAGTTTGAAAATGAGGAGAATTCATCCTCTTAAGAATCTACCTGTGTATAACAAGACGATTAGTCGTCTACAATCACCACAATGATCAGTATTTATGAGTATGTATGTACACGTATTTAAAGAAAACAAATGTATTTAACAGAATTATACAATTCACAGCCTTCTTATACTGCAAAAGTGGCCTATAATCTCTCGACACTAAAGAGCAGGAAAGGGATTGTTAGCATTGGAGTTTGAGCCCATTGCTAGCAATATGTCCTATTAAGTCGACCTCCACGTGGTTCCCCCTGGAAACCATCGTGAACAATTCCTATTGAATTTGTCACGATGGGCTAACTGACCTGCTTCATCCTCACCTATTATCCTTCACTGGTGCCCCGCCGGTGTATTCAGATAGCGCGGGTAAAGTTAAGATTCCATTATCACCCATTAAAAAAAGACACTAAGGAGCACCACTTTCACACAAATAATACTAAACGATTTGTTCAATTTTGTACTAGATGGCGCTATTCGATGTATTTAAAACTCTTCATTAAACTGTTATTATTATACTCACCGAATGGATTCTTAGCGATAATCGGTTTCTCAGTTTCGAGCTCTTCCGACTCGCCTTCCTTGTTGACGGCCTTCACTCGGAACTTGTAAGGTTTGCCCTCTTGAAGGCCGGTGATGTTCGCCTTGCAATCCTTGGCTGTGCCGCACGGGATCCATTGTCCTGGGGAAGTAACATCATTTATGTCAATTATCAGTACTTATTATAAATATGTGATAGTACAAACGACGGATATTAACTTTATTTTTAATGATATACATGTATTTATAGACACCTAAATAAAATGGAACAATTAGCGGCTCTTTGTGTATATTTTATATACATACTATTATAGTAAAAAAAAGTTAAAATGAAGAATCCAAAGAAATTTCTGTGGTTAGACATTTCGTGATTTGGCCAAAGTGCCACCAACTTGGTCTGATTAATTTATTAAACATGTCATTGGATAAAACAAATACTGATTTCAATTATATATATCAACCCAATCATTATTATTTCAGCCGTTAACTATCCACTGCTGGACATAAGCCTACCCCATAAGGGGAGATTTACCAGTAGTTGCCACGCTTGGCAGTCAGGTTGGCAACCGCAGTTAGGCTTTAGAGATATTTTAAGAGGGACGCTGCTACTCATCTGTCGCCCTTACGATACCCACAGAAAAGGAAGGGGTGGCTCATTCTATGCACGGCGAATATCAGCCAAGGTGGCACCTGAATACATTTTGGCTTTCCAACATCGATATATTTATGACATTGAATAAATTTAACTCTATAACTTTTGAACAAAATGTCTTAGTGAAGATGGACAGAAGGGATTGAATTTTTATTCTAGCTGGTTGTTAAAAGACAAGTAAATGTAACATTTATTTGTCATAGACAATTCATAGACTAACCAGTGAGCGGGTCCAATTTCTCAATTTCGTAGTACTCGACGGGCGAGCCGCCGTCGTCCTCCGGTTTCTTCCATGCCAGCGTGCAACCGTTCTTCGTCACGTCTGACACTTCCAATGGTCCCTTCGGCTTGGATGGTTTGCCTGGATTTAGAAAAACATATTTAGTATATAATTATAGATTTTATAAAGATTGTTTAAAATAAAATTAGTTTGAAATGAATTTGTTCACATACTATAATCCCTGATGATGTAATCATAGGTGGTACATGCTGATGTCTAACAGATGGTAATGTGGTCAAATTGATAAAAATTAAACTGTATTTCTTGATTGTATTTGATAAATAGTATAAGTTACAATTTTACATTAACAACGTCTTGTTGCCTGGATCCAATATAATTTTAAAAGTCGTCCGTTGATATAATTATTTTTAAAGTTAATGAGTTGACCAATAATGAGGCACCTCCAGTGTTGCCATCTATCGCTTCATGCTGTACGTGATAATAGACATTTTTCAACTGTCGTCGTTGCGGTAAACGTAATGATCGCTAATCAATATTAAAAACTTTTAATTTGTATAGATTACATGCTGTTGATCTACACAAAAAAAATTACAAACAAGAAAATGAGTATCAACAAATATTTCACAAAAATTCTTCTTTCAAAGTAAGGAAATTATTTAAATTTTTTGACATTGTTTTGAAAGTAAATATTAATAAAATAAAAAATAAAATTAAACTCACCAAGTATGGTAATTTCAATTTCAGCCTCGTCCTCGCCCACTTCGTTCTTGGCCTTGATCACGTATGTGCCTGTGTTGGCTCTCTTGCTCTTCGTCATCAGGAACTTGGTGTTGTAGTCCACATTGATGATCTCCAAGTTCTCGCTGTTCTTCAGCTCCTCGCCCTTGAAGAACCACGTGACGGTGGCTGGGGGCTCGCCGAAGACTTTTACGTCCAGAGAGATTGGAAGTCCAGCTTTGATTGAGAGTGGTTTGAGGTTTGTGCGATCAATTCTTGGTTTTACTGAAAAAAAAATGAGCTAATTTAGTAATTGTGCTACACATTTGTAGGCTGGTAACATCTATTAATGAACAAACTCACAAATATTAATAATATATAATTCTCGATAATATTTACACCACTATGTTTTAATAAATAAAGAGAGTACTGTTTACTTACAGAATCTCGGTTTAGCTGTATGCCAGTTGGTGTTCTCTGATGGTTCAGACTGGCCAGCCTTGTTCACGGCCCGCACTCTGAACTGATACTGGTTGCCTTCCTCGAGTTTCGGCACTGTACCTTGGCAGATGTTGCCTTGGATCTCAGCCGCCTAGAGACCAGAAGGAAAGTTATGTTTATGCATACATGGATACACTATTAGTTAAATACGGACAGTTCACGATACAGTATGACGTAAACATACCAAGGCGGTAATTTAAAATTAAAAAAAAAATGAGCATTAAACCAAATTTAACAAATAAACTAGGAATTAAGGCCCTCTTATCATCATCATCATATCAGCCTTTAATTGTCCACTGCTAAACATAAGCCTTCCCCTTGGGGGGGTTTTCCAGTAGTTGTCACACTTGGCAGGCGGATTGCCAACCGCAGTTAGGCATTAGAGATGTTTCAAGAGGGATGCTGTTGCCCATCCTTCGTCCATAGTCGCCTCTTATAACACCCACGAGAAAGGAAGGGGTAGCCTATTCGGTGTCGGGACCACACAAGGGGCCCTCTTATAATTTATTGCAAAATTAGAATTAGTAGGACCCACTTCGCAGTGCTGTATGATCTAAAAATATTTAATCATTAAAAGTTCTTAGAGACTGTAAATATATTTCAACGAAGTAATTTAACTGTAAGTGTATTTGTTTTAATGTTATTAACCACGTATTTATAAAAATGGAATTCTATATTTTAGGTAACTTAATTTCCTTAATTAAATTTATTGCTGTGCCCTTACAGGGTTTATGTCGAAGCTATACTCCAACTGCTTAAACTACTAAAGCGGCCACTAAACCAAAGGAACATACCTTAACGAATTCTCCTCTATCTCTGTCCATAACCTCAATGATGTATCCAGTAATAGGGGCGCCATTATCCCTAATAGGCGGCTCCCATTTAAGTTTAGCCGATTTCTCGTCCCAATCTACTATGTCGGGTAGACCAGGCGCCGCAGGTACATCGTACGGATTCTTGGCGAGTGTTCCGTGGTCAGTCTCCAAGGGTTCTGATTCGCCTTCTTCGTTGAGTGCCTTGACGCGGAACTGGTATGTGTGGCCTTGTTCCAGTCCTGTTTTGAAAAATAAAAAAGTTATAAGAGACATTGTTGATTATTATTATTTTAGCTATTATTTGTCCATTGCTGAACATAGACTTCCTCCATAGACTGCTATAAGCAATGGTAGCGTTCCTTATGACAGTTTACCATTGGAGGGATTTTGCCAGTACTTGCCCTACTTGACAGGAGTATTGGCAACTGCATTTTGGCTTCTAATTATATTTTAAGAGGGACACTACTTTTTATCGCTCGACTTTCCCTTAATTTCCCTTAGTCGCCTCTTACGACACCCACGGGAAAGGAAGGGGCGGTTCATTCTATGCCGGGATCAAATGATACAGAATGGGCCATTCCTTTGGCAATAGTCATAATTATTGTTCTTTAATGCTGTGTGTCTCTGTGCGGTGTATCTCTGTGCGTAAATGAGCGTACCAGGTTCAATTTTCGATAAATTAAATTTGGCAGCCTAAAATTTTCTATTACATTTAGAGATTTGATTTTGACATTTGATAAAGTTTTGAGTTATAATCAAGTCATTCGGCGCCACAAATAATTATAGTCATTTATCACCTAATAATATCACCAGTCTATTTTATTCCTAAGATATCGTGAGACACTATTAGGAGAACTATACACAATGCAAACTACAAAATTTGCCATCAACCCAATGTGGAAATTACACAGTGTAGAAATAAGCAGTACTATTATTTAATATTATATTAAATAACGAACGAACGAACATAGGCCTCCTTTCTAAGGGTAGTTATGCCAGTAGTAGCCACGTTTGGCGAGCGGATAAGCAACTGCAGTCAAGCTTTTGTGATATTTTAAAAGGGACGCTGCCCATCCCTCGACCATTGAGTTCCCTCAGTCGCCTCTTACGACACCCACGGCAATGTAAGAAGTAATCTAATAATTTTGGCCTTATACTGAATTATAACATGACAGTTTTGGACTTATTTGTCTATTTGCTGTGTCTAGAAGGATCCGTTGGATGACTATTAGAAAAGGAGTTCTTTAAATAGTAAACCAATATCCTTGTGTGGGAAACCAGTTGTTAGTAAGATATTATTGGGAGGTTACAATTATGATAAGATCACTCACCGGTGACAGTAGCTTCCGTGGTATCCGGATCAATAGTACCGGCTGGCGTCCACTTGCCAGTCAAGGTGTCCATCTTCTCAACTACATAGGCACTGAGAGGTAGACCTCCAGTGTGCTTGGGCTTGTTCCACTTCAGCTTCGCGTGGTCTGCGTGGACATCGGATACTTCCAATGGTCCTTCAGGCTTGCCAGGTTTGTCTGTAAGGACATTCATAATTGATGTAAAATCAATAATATTTTTAAAACTTAACTGGTACCCTGCCAGTGTATGCTGATATCGCCAGCGGGGTTACCATTATATTATCATCCATTAAAAAAATATGTTACAGGCATCCATAAGTTACAGTAACCGTTTACTATCAGACGGGCTGTATGCTTGTTTCCCACCTTCGTGGCATAAATAAAAACATACAAACTATTTTTCATTTACCTTCTATGGTTTTATAATACAGAACGATAGAAAAAAAATACGAAAAAAACTTTTTAACGACTGCTCAATGAAACCTTCAATTAGCTTATTCTTTACTAACCGAGTACTGTGACTTCAACAGTGGCTTCGTCGACTCCAGACTCGTTCTCCGCTTTGAGCGTGTAGATGCCAGAGTTCTTCCAGGTGGTGTCGAAGATCTGGAGGCGAGTGTTGTAGTCCTCGTTCTCCAGTTTCACGCCTGGTCCCGTTTCCAGGACCTGAAGATGAAAAATAAATAAGATTGTATTACAAAAAAAAACTAAATTGTAGCAAAAGCAGTTATTTTGAGATAAAAACTAAACTGGTGAATCAATTTTGATAAAACTTTCTATGGGATTCATCTGTAAATATGGAGTTATGAGGTAACAAACATAAAAAAATACAATCGAATTGAGAACCTCCTTATTTTTGAAGTCGGTTGAAAATGTAGTAAGTATTATTGTATTGGGATTAATAAACAACCGGAGTACAACAACAATAACTCGAGAAGAAAGGGATTGTTAGTAATGGTTGCTAGCACCATGGCTAACAATATACCATTTCAAGTCGACTTTTATGCGGTTTCCTCTGGAAACCATCGTGATAAATACTTGTGCAGGACGTCATGATGGGGTAACTGACCTGCTTTCATCCTCAACTATCATCCCTCACTGGTCACCGACTGCGTATACCGATAGTGCAATCGGAGTTACTATTTCATTGCAACTCTATTGATTGTAAAGAGAATTCTCAAAATCAACTCGGTACTAGTGAAAATATCGCATAACATGTAATTACACGTACAAAAAAAATAAATTGGGAACATCTTTTTTTTAACCTTTTTAAGGTTGCAATAAAAGGAATCTTACCTTATTGGCGAAGGTCCAAGTCTTGGTTGGTGGAGGTTCACCCTTGATATCAACGTCTAATCTGATAGTAGTACCAGCTCGTATACGAATGGCAACCATTTTGTCGCGGTTGATATGTGGTTTCACTGAAAACGAGAAATGGTTATGAGAAATTTTCTTAGAAGAGAATAAAAAACTAGAAAGAGTAATAACTATTAAAATAAAAAATATATATATATACATGTATACACATGATAAAATACGATGAACTGGGGGGAAAGGGATTGTTAGTAATGGAGACTGAGAATCCCATTGCTAGCAATATACCCAACCAGGTGGACCTCCTCGCGGTTCTCCCTGGAAACTATCATGGTTAATTCCTGATGAATTCATCATGATGGGCTAACTGGCCTGTTTTCATTCTCATCTATTACCCTTCACTGGTGCTCCGCCAGCGTATCCCGTTAGCGCAGGCGGGGTTACCATACCATTTTCACCCATAAAAAAAATACGTTGAACTTATGAACATCATAATAGAAGAAAGAAGAAAAAGGAAGAGACTATGCCTTGATAGTTACATAAGACAGGTTAAGGAAAAAGTTGGTGTCATGTTGTATCAAGAGGTGAAGAGACGTCAAAAATCGTGGTAAATAGCAAGAGCTCCAGCGACACGAGCTCTTCAATAATGAATGAATGGATGACCAACTTAGAAGAAGTCGCAGGTACAGGTAGTGTGCAATCTAGGTAATGGAATACTTACAGAATCGAGCCTTAGCCACGTGCGGCTGCGTCGCATCGCCAGGCTCGCCGGGGCCGGCCTTGTTGACGGCGCGCACGCGGAACTGGTAAGTGTTGCCCTCCTTCAGATCAGGCACGCGAGCTTTGCATTCTGGCGTCTGGAGTTGAAATGCTTTAGTTAATGAGTGTATTACCAATATAATAAAATTGTATCCAGACGACGTCTGTTCATGGGAAATATTTGAAATATCGATATGAAGAGCCTTAATTTAAAACAATCATTACCAATCATAAATAATCATACACCATCTAGAATTGGTCTATTTCACTGATTTTTTTTTTTTACTGATGATAATCAGTTACCGTAGTCTATGAACGCATACAGTACCAAGTGTATTAGGTGCACGTTGCCGACCCTGAAGAAACCTCTTTCTCCTTTTTTTAAAGGACCCCATACTGTAGTCTCTTGGAAAAACCTCGACAGGGAGTTCATTCCATAATCTGAGCATTCGTGGGAGAAAAGATCTCTGAAACTGCGTTGTACGCGACCATCTAGTCCCTAGAGTATGAGGGTGAACTCCCTGTCGATGGCGAGCTAAGTTCTAAGCACACACACACATTATATATATATATATATATATATATATATATATATATATATATATATATATATATATATATATATATATATATATATATATATATATAGTTTTAAGTAATATATGCTTACTTGATTGGATTAAGTTTGATCATAACTTGGATCAATTACTTTAACTGATTATAAACAGTGGATCCACTTTGCTTAATAAAATAATATTGGAAGATACAAAAGCGTAACAAGTTCTCAGTAATGGCAATACATGAAGTATAGTTTGGTCATCACAGTGTATTGTGTGATCTCTGTAGTGCTTTTCACATTTATAGGCGACCGTTACCACTTTCCATAAAGTAAACCGTCAACTTATTTATTATAAGAAATATTTATATCATTGAGCAGAGCAGTTTATTAGGTAGTTTTTCATTCAGTCAGAGTAGATCAACTGTCTGACACTTTTAAAACCACAGTTTCAGATAGTTAATCCACGCTAGTTGATCAAAAAGGGATTATTTGGATAAGTATTACTTTATATACTTACATTTGTAGTAAGCGCCTCTTGCCACTGTCCGAATTTCTCTTTTTTCTCGATAATGTAGCCGGTGATGGGTGCGCCACCGGTGTTCTTGGGCGCCTCCCATTTCAAATCCACTCGGTCCACGTCCCAGTCCTCGATTGTGGGGACAGACGGTTTTCCGGGGATATCTGAAGTGCAAATGTGACTGTGAGATTGTAGATTCTTGGATAAATATTATGTTTATATTTACTGGAGAATCAGTCATGGGTCTAACATATAAAATATCAAAGTTATACTCGTTATGTCGGGTATTCGTTTTATTACTAGCATTTACCCGCGACTTCGTCCTTGTGCTTGGGATATGTTTACTAACTGGGATACAAAGTGATTAATTGAGCCATTAAGGCGCTATAAGGTAACAAACAAACAAACTCACTTTCGCATTTATAATATTAACAAGGAGTCGTATTATATTATTATTATTTCGCAATTATATTTCTTATTGTAATTTTTATTCTTGTCAATAGAGTATAATGAGTGTATGGAATTAAACTGTCTTTTATTAATTTTTGGATATATTACTGTATGCATAATCAAAATTGTATTAAAAAGGACGAATTGAAACACCTTTTCCCCTCTTTAGGCCATTTGTCTGACCATTACTGAAATGTGGTCAATTAAAATTAAAAAAAAACTTGAGCAGAGTACGCTTACCATAAGGATTCTTGGCAATGATGGAGTGGTCAGTCTTCAGCGGTTCAGACTCGCCCTCCTCGTTGACAGCCTTAACCCTGAACTCATACTCTTCTCCCTCTTGCAATCCTTTGATCTCCATCTCGGTGTCGTCGGTCTTGCCGACCGGCACCCATCGACCTGTTGCCTTGTTCAATTTCTCCACTACGTATCCTGTAATCGGTTTGCCTGGGGGGGAAAAACAATATGAAAGTTAGACGTGAAATATATTAAATGTTTAAGTAGTCGCTATGTCTTTTAAAACGATGTTTTTAAAGATGCAATAAATAAAATAATTTGTTTTTTTTACAAATAAAATTTTTGTTATTTTATCTTCGTTTCACGCATATTTTTCTGAGTATAATGCTATCTAGGTGCAAAACAATGATCACCACTAGATGGCGTTGAAAAATATTATTATATAAAAAAAAACCAGAATTTTCTTAAACTATACGTACTTTGATTAACAGTAAAATAAATATTTATAGAAGATATAAATGTGACATATCGTAATAGCAAAAATTCACTGTCTACTGCTGATCATAATGTCTTAGCTATTGTTCCCAGTAATAATCTATCGACTACCTTCTATTGTCTATTCGGGTTGTCCAAAGGCATCTCCAATAATTATATCACTGGATATATCACACAACGCCATCTAGTTTCAAGGTAAGTAAAATTTGTACTAATTTGTGTAAAATACTTTTTTACAGTACATATTAAATATAGAAAACGCCCAAACCAATATAAACAGATATACTCGTGAATACAAATGTTTATATTGCTCGGGTATATAATTTGCTACCGTCGGAATTTTAGGTTGTGTACTACACCGTTACACCACCACGGTCGCCAGCTCAATTTTTTTTTTATATCACTAAGGTAGCAAGCGAGCAAGCATACATCCCGTCTGATGGTAAACGGTCACTGTAGCCTATGGACGCCTGCAACACTACGTGTGTCATGTGAGCATTGCGGAAAAAACATATTTATTTATTCTTTATTGCATAATAAAATTTGTAGAAATGACAAGCTTAATGCCAAATACCGTCTAATCAACTACTTTATTGAAATACTCACCACCATCGTCTTCTGGCTTCTTCCACGATACTTTGCAGCCAGACTTGGTGACGTCCGCGACCTTGAGCGGACCGCCAGGCTTGCTTGGCGAGGATAACACGGTGATCTCCACCTCGGCCTCGTCCTTGCCATGCTCGTTGGTTGCCAGGATACGGTATGTGCCGGTCATTGCACGAACGGACTCCTTGATATCCAGCTTCGTGTTGTAGTCCACGTTGATTACGTTCGCTGTCACCTGAGGATATATAATAAGAAATGTTCGTAAATTCGTACAAATATATACGCACTTCACTACTGGTGATAGAGGTTTGTCCGACTCTCTTAAAAGATGCCAAGAGGTTTGTGTGACTATCTTAAAAGATGCCAAGAGGTTTGTGTGACTATCTTAAAAGGTGCCAATAGGTTAGTGTGCCTATCTTAAAAGATAGCCAAGAGGTTTGTGTGACTATCTTAAAAGATAGCCAAGAGGTTTGTGTGATTATTTTAAAAGGTACCAATAGGTTAGTGTGCCTATCATAATGGGTGCTGAGATCTTTGTGTAACTATTTTAAATGGTGCCAAGAGATTTGTGTGGCTTGCTTAATAGGTGCCATTATGTTTGTGAAACTATCTTAAAAGGTACCAGAGGTTTGTTCAACTCTCATAAATGATTCCACTATATAAGTGATTCTAAAATACCATTAAACATTTCAAAAATTAAAATTATTATTCTAAGGACCAGTAAACTACATTTATAATAAAATTGCAACAGAACCGCTTTAAATTTGATATTCGACCATCCATACTATACTGGTTTTACTTAATAAAATTAATGTATGAAAATTATAATTTTAGAGATAAAACTAAGAAACGGCAACTCTCTCCATTGGTCCGAGTCTACTTATAATGTTTAATTTAAATATTTAAAATTGAAAAAATATGACAGATCTCCACAGTTTTAGATTAGTAATTCTTATATTTTTCTAATAATTTATACCTATCGTTTCCGTCTTACTTCTCTCTTATGTTTTTATTTTTTTTATACCACGAAGATAGCAAACAAGCATACAGCCCTTCTAATAGTAAACGATCACTGTATTCTTCTTTTCTATTTTTCTCACAATTTAATAAATTGTTAAGTCTATTTCTCTTTGTATGTTTATCAAAACGCACTCACCTCCTTCTCTTTAGCTTTCCATTTCTGGAACCATTGCACCTTAGGCGCCGGTTCACCCTTGACGTTGACGTCGAAGAAGATCGGCTTGCCTGCGCGTACCGCCAACGCCTTCAAATTTGTGCGGTCGATACGCGGTTTCACTGCAAATAAAAAAAAGAATCATTATTTAATTTTAAATTTTCGCATTATTTATACATATTATAAATGACTATATGACTTAACGCAATCAAAAATTGTCGTCCTGTCATATTCATGACGTGGTGCAATCCACGTTGAAATGTCAGCAATAAAAAAGCTGGTATGAAGGTACTATTTACCTGCAAAAATTTTTCATCGCTTTAAGACACTATAGTATATTTAAAATATGAACAAACACATTGTTAGCCAGAAACGAACATATAGTAAGGATTGTGTTACACAAAAAAAAAAACTGACTTCAATTGTGATAAAACCAGAGGGAGACTGTACAAAAGTCGTTTGCTCGGATATCTCTGTCCCATTCGTGTTTCAACAGTAAAGCAGTTGTTTGCATGGCTGTGTTTCGGTTTGAAGGGTGGGATATGGCGTGAATTTACTGGGTACAAAGGAATAACACCTGAGTCCTCAGGAATGGCAAAGCATGGGGGGTATCATGGGTGAAACAGTATACTCTGTTATGTCCATAGTACTGCTCATGTCTATAGGCGACGTTTACCACTTTCCATCAGCATGTTTGCCATTTTAAGTTGTATAAAAAAAAAATACAATAAAATCTTAGAGCAATTGCTAGCTATAGTAAAAGGAGCATTATACTCACGGGCTTTATGTCTGATGGTGGTCAATTTGGTGGGGTCTGATGGCTCAGACTGGCCGGCCTTGTTGACTGCGATCACTCGGAACTGGTACTCGCTACCCTCAGGTAGACCGTCCACCTTCGCTGTTGTCGCTGTACCAGGCACCTGAATTGGAAAATGAGTTTACGTTTGTTTAATAAGACGCATCGGAAAAAAATATATAGATTGACTTCATACAAGGAAATAATAATTAAATAACAATTAAGTCCATTTTATAGAAGAAGAATTTGTAAAATAATCTGATGGAATCATCATCATCATCATATCAGCCTTTAAATTTTAATCGTAGAACATAAGCCTCCCCCTTTGCCAGTAGTTGCCACGTTTGGCAGGCGGGTTGGCAACCGCAGTCAGACTTTGAAGACGTTTTAAATGGGATGCTGCTACCCATCCCTCGCCCTTCCTTAGTCGCCTTTTACGGCACTCATGGGAAAGAAAGGGGTGACTTATTCTATACCGGGACTATACGTCCTGCGGGAATACCTCTGTCCTATTTGTGTTTCTGCCAAGATGCAGCGATATCACTGAATTTAAAACTGGAATATGGCAGTAAAATTCCATGGTATGCAGGTATAACTTCTTTCTAAGTCCTCAGAAATGGCAATGTAACATATAAGTGATATCAACTGTCAGTATGAACTGTGATGCCCACATCAACTCTGACAATTATAGAATACCCTGGTATTCTATGATGTTAATATTTATACGTGACCAACTCCATTTTCCATCAGGTAACCCACCAACTTGTTTGTCAATCCATTTTGCCTTAAAGAAGAAAAGTACCATACCCAGCAATGACAAGGAGGAGTAATTACCTCTCCAGCATTCTCCCAGTCTCCGCCCTTGGGCTTCTTCTGTATAATGTACTTCTGGATGGGCGCACCGCCGTCGGACTTGGGCGGGTCCCATTTAATCTGGGCGCTCTGATTGTCGTGGTCTGCGACCTCCACATTGCCGGGTTTGTCCGAGAGGTCTGAAAGATAATCATGTTATGACGTCACAAATAATAAATGTATGTTTGTAAATATATATATATATATTTGTTACTCAAACACGTTTTAACACCAGAGTGGATTTGAATAAAATTTTGTACAGGTGTATGTCTTATCCTAACTTACACCATAGGATACCTTTGTATTCATTCACGCGGACAAAGCCGTGGAAAACAGCTAATGGACTACTATTAACTGTTATAAAAGTTAAAAGAATTGAAAGTGATGATCGAAACAAATGAATGAATGAAACTATTTATTCACGAATGATAGATATTCATTCGTTCACATGTTATGTGATATACACTGATGACATTATATGACTTCTGTGATGTAGTGTCAGTTACCAACTGTCACTTACATTAACACATTTATAAGTAATATAGTAAACATGTAACCCATTAGCTACATCCATATTCCAAATAATAAAAAAAATATAACAAATAAATTACCAAATGGATTCTTCGCGAGTATCGCGCGTTCAGCCTCCAACGGCTCGGAGTCACCCTCGTCGTTGACGGCCGTCACCCTGAACTTGTACTGGTGACCGGGCTCCAAGCCGGTGATATCCATTTCCAGAGGCTTCTTGTCGCCAGCCACTCTGAAAAAAATATAAATATATATAAATTAATTGTACTGCTAACTGGTAGTTTTTGGGAGGCAATATTGGACATTGAAAGACAGTGTATAAAGAATAAAATACTAAAATACTTTTTTTTATTGTTTTTTTTTATTTTAATAATTTTTGAATAGTAACTTTTTATGAATCTACCGTCCAATTCAGAATGCAATAGAAGAACAGGCAAGAAATTCAACTGTTGTTTTTTCAAAAATTGATTTTACAATTATAAATTTGTGTCAATACAGACTAGCAAACAACTCAAGAATTATTTAAATGATTAGAGAAATCAAATACATTATTTTAAATATTATAATTGAATTATATATTAAACAAAATATATTCAGATATATAAGAATTAAATTGTAATATATTTATTTATTATTTTTAAGGAAAGCTTAGAGCTATAGTAACTTAATAATTAAAAGGGCTTATATTCAGCAGTGGATAGTTGTTTTAAACAAATTAAATTTTATAATTATAAATTTGTGTACAGACTAGACAAAGAGAATAAAATTTATTTAAATTATTAGATAAATCAAGTATATTATTACTATAAAAAGTGATCGAAGATATGGCCAGGAATAGAGCTGTCTGGAAGAGAATGCATGAGTCAGTTGCCCCTCCAAGAGTAAAATCTTAAAGAAGTAATTACTATTATTATAGTAAATTATAAGTTCAATTATTCACTAGAAAAAATGTACATATATTACTCTTAAATCCCTGAAGAGTTCCTTTTTATTCCCACTGCAACCCTCGTCTTACAATATGCGAAATGCCCTCACCTTCCAACACGGACCCACTTCCCGGTGGCGAGGTCCATCTTCTCCACTTCGTACTCCTTGACTGGGGAGCCGCCGTCGTCTTCTGGCTTCTCCCATCTCACCTTGCAGCCTTCGGCGTGGATATCTGATACTTCGAGCGGGCCTGGAAAAGGGAGAAGATTTCATTCTACATTCTCCAGCTTCAATATATTTATATTAGAAAAGGCACATATTTATTTGATTTATTTGTTTAAACTTTAATGCAGAGTGAATTTCTTTTACTGGTTTCGGTTACTGGTTGAAAATCTTTAAATCGATTCATATTATATTATAACAAACTGATCGAAAAATGTTATTATGCACCTTAACGCCACCTAGCGGGTCCACATTTTTCGCATTGACAAAAATACTAGCTTTTAGCTGCGATATTTGTGCGCGAGACCGGAATATATTCATTAACCCGGTAGAAAAGTATTTCAAATCTCATGTAGTACATATTTACCAAATTTTATAATGATCGGTTAAGCCGTCAACGCTCTATGAGATAATAAACAAACAAACTCACAAGTAAGATTAATAATGTTTATATCATTTATTAAAACAAATTCAATGTGATTATTTATTTAAACTTTAATGCACAGTGGAATTCTCTATGTACATTTGGCGGACATAACACCGGACGGTGTCCTCTACCAGTCTACCATTGGTCAACATATATTTTATTTATATAAAATATATAAAATAAAGTAGCTATCCACTCTTAATGAGAGGAGGTAACAAACTAACCCCTGGCAAAAGCACTGGTCGGGATTCAGGGCTCCAAGGAGAGAAACCGACGTACTATGCAGGCAGTATCTAAGAGAACCGCTTTCTGTCTCCTACCATCTGAAATTTCCTTCCAGATTGGTTGAGATAAGACCGTTTATATTGATCATTATTAACTATCATTATAACTCGGTTTCGCCTATGATCATATTGTGATGCTGAATAACATCTAACCTTTTCAAAAAATGATTATTAAATACAAAAAGAATATTTTAAATCCAACTGGCAGTTCCAGAGATTAGCGTGCCCAAACAATCAAAATTTATATTAGTATAGATTAAAAAATTACCTTTAGGCGAGCTAGGCTTGCTGAGTACAGTCAGCTCAACAGTTTCCTCGTCGAAACCGTTGCAATTCTCCGCTCTCAATTTGTATTTGCCGGTGTCGCGTCGCACCGCGTTCACTATCGTGAAGTCGGTGTGGTATTCTTTGTTCTCGATCTTGATACGCTCCGTGTTAACAAGCTTAATATCTTCACGCCACGACCTGCCGAATCATATAATATTTAAATATTTTGCCATTTTATATAAGACATTTCAACTCAAAATTTGGCAAAATGAGTTTTAGTGAAATATCCACTTAAAAAAAATTGGTTTTATATCTTACAAAAAGCATATTCTTTTATTGTATAAAAAAAATGATATTTTAATTATTCTTTATTAGTTTTCTTCTCTATTATAGAATTTTATTAAGTGTAATTCAGAATTCATTAAGACTACTTTTCATGATTATTATATATTCATTAAACCTTAATTTCACAAACGATATGGTTTCTTATGTCATTAATTGAAAAAATATAAACACTTGAATTATCTACTTAGATTATATTTGACTTAGTTGATTTAATCTAAGATGAAGTTGGAAGTTGTTAAAGGGTTAATTTTTTAGTTTTACGAAGGGGACAGCGCGTACGCAGTCCCCACTACCAAAAATTACGCGTCCGAGTTAACCGCATTTGGGTTAATCGCAAGGGTCAGCCCGACCGTAGTGCAATGGAAGGGCCTCGCCCTGGAGGAACCACCTTCGTGATCACGGTATCCCCTACGCCAGGTAAGTATGATTTGATGAACTCGAACCGCGAAGGTCATTCTGAGCGAGAAACTTTTTATAGCGCCATGTAAAACGACTATAGCGACATCTAGGACCAATAATACAACAAGGAGCTATTACATTTAAATTGAAAGTAGTAAACTAGATGGCGGTCTAAAATATTTAGAAGTAGTACTACAATTGAGAAGATTCTAAAGTTCCATTTTTATTAGATATTTTTTATTGCAATTGAACTCAATGAAAAAAAAAAAAAAAAAACAATAAAACAATAAACAAGTTAGTTGTGAATTAACTTAAACTAAATGGGTTATAGAGTTGTTCCCCTATGCCACTGACATATCTTATCTGACTCAATACAAAAGATTTTTTTTTTATTATTGTAACATTTACTTAAATAACTTGCTCACACGCTATTTTTTTTTATTATATTATAGAAGTTATCCTCACTCTTCTCAACAAAGTTAAAAAATAGGAGGTTGTTAAATCATTTGTACTTGTTTAATTTGCTGCCTCATAACTCTGTTATTTATACACCAATATTGAATATTGTTTTTATCTAAATGAATGTTCTTTTAGATTAGCCCAATTTAAATTTTATCAAAATGAGTTCAGTAGTTTAGTTTATAAGTCCAAATAACTAGTTTTACTATGTTTAAAGTCAGTGTTTTTTTGTAAAACACAATCTTAAATACTGTAATAAATACTAGTTAAAATGGTTTGGTTACACATCAACAGTTCTCAAAATGTCTAATACTATTAAATTTCATAAAAATAGAATAGGCTACAGACAGATGGAAAAGGGGGAGAAAAAAAAATTATTTAACTTACCATGTGCACTCTGGTGGAGGTTCACCAATGACATCCACCGACCATTTGTGAGTGCGTCCAGCCTTGATGATCACAGACTTGAATGTGCTGCGCTCGATACGTGGCTTCACTGTAATAAAAAAGAATATACATAGTTAGTACTCCGTTTTATCATTAGCATCAGCTTCAGACCACTTTCCATTTATTTAGGGGCCACAATGATATCAGAATTGTTTATAAGAGAATAATGCCATCATTTAGGAAATACTTTTGTCTTGAGAGCAGAGATATGACATTCAGTCAACTCATGACCACAGCCAGTGTCAAGATCATCACCATATCTGCTGTTAAATATCTACTGTTGAAGACAGGCATCCGCTTATTGGGGATTTTACTAGTAGTTGCTACTCTTGACAGCCAGTATAATCTGGTTAAAATGTCAAAATAACTGAGGTAAATTTACCTAAATATTATATATATATATATATATATATATATATATATATATATATATATATATATATATATATAGTATAATTGGTTTTCACCTTCTCAACTTATGTCGGCTTAAAAACATACCCCGTCCTGTAACCCACAGGAAAAAAGGTAATATATATATATATATTATATATTATATATATATATATATATATATATATATATATATATATAATATTTTACCTAAATGACAGCATCAATTTCTATCTCCTATATACTATGAATAAATCATGTAAAGCAAAAGTATAAAAGTTAACACAACACTTACAGTTCTTATGCTTGCAGAGATGGTTGTCAGTTGGCTCAGAGGCATCACCGACACCCGCTTTATTATATGCCTTCACACGGAACTGGTACACCATCTTCTCTTTGAGGCCTTCGACTTTATATTCGGTCTTTGTATCCTCTGTTTTTACCACCTGAAAAAAATAATTTAATTTTTGTGTCATAATATATACAAATCCCATACCACTGTATGAATTCATATGATATAATATAGCCTATGCTACAAATAACAATTTACAAATAATTGGCACTGAAGTTTAACTTTAAAATTTTTTAATTTTAATTCTGACCCAGAGATATTTTGTTATACACTGTCCTCATACTTTTACCAGTAGAATATAGTAGGAGTGATAGTACACGATGGTGCAATCATAAAATTGCCTTTTAAAATCTTTTTCTCTAAACAAACCATAATAAGTAAATAAGCATCTTAATTTTAAAACATACCTCTGTCCAATCTGGAGAAAATTTATCCTTCTTCTCCACAACGTAACCGAGGATTGGTCTTCCACCGTTGTCGGTAGGGGGCTCCCATTTTAGCGTCACTGATACGTTGTCATAATCAATGATCACAGGCTTGCTGGGCGCCTTTGGTGGGTCTAAAATGTAGAATTATCATAGTTTTAAATTTAGATTCCCATTTATATAATAAATTGATTGAATTACTGATGGATTTGTTTGTAAACAGAGTATTGTATTTTTTTCGATGGATGCCTTTACTAATCCTAAAATGTAAAGTCATGCTTTTTATTATATCCATTTTAATTTTTTTAATTCTTTAGATTTTTGTAATAGATATTGTAACATATTGAATGGATTTGTTTGTAAACAAAGAAATGTCACTTTTTAAAATTCAGCATGACAGCTGATATCAATCAATAATGTCACGATTGCGTTTAGTTTCCAATGTTTCTGTACAAAAATGTTAAAATATTAGTAGACAATTGTGATTATTTTTTAAATGTTTGCAAATATAATTTATAAAAAAAAAGATAAAGAAAATATAATTAATTTTGTACAGTCAATTGTAATAATAATATTTCATTTATTTAATACAATTATCAACTAAGTAAGCTTGACAATTTCGCTCACTTAGAAATCACAACATACAAAATAATAAAATTTAATTACTGGATGGTTTCCAAATAATTTATTGCCATTCTGCGAAACTTGATATGTTTATAACTTAATATATCGAAGTGCGGATACTGATTTATGACGCCATTGAGCAAAGCCAATGCCAGTGGAAGAGGAACTTATTTTGTTAGGTCTATTGGAACATGGAAAAAGTCCTTCTACGAGCTCGAGCATAACTAGAAGACGCTCGAATAGATATGCTGACACCAAGATGCTTTGATTATGCTTACACCGCTTAAACATTTTTAAAATATACTCAATTAAAATTAACTTTTGTCTCACATCAAGTGGGTCTTTTTTTTTTTAATGGATAAAGATGGAATGGTAATCCTGCCTGCGCTATCGGTATACACAGGCGGGGTAACAGTGAAGGGTTTGTTAGTAATACGGACTACTAGTCCGATTGCTAGCAATATACTCTGCCAGGTCGACCTCCATATGATCCCCCTTGGAAACCATCGCACTGAATTCCAGATGTCTTAATCACGATGGGCTAACTGACCAGCGTTTTTATTGTCGCCTATCATTTTTCACTGGTGCCCCGCCAGCGTATGGTATACCGTTAGCGAAGGCGGGGTTACCACTCCATTGTCATCCATTAAAAAAGGCCTTTCTCATGACAGTATAGACATTCTGAGTGACCTATAATTTTATTAGCCAGTTCTTAAACTGGGAAGTAGGTCATCTTATTCATTTTAATTATTAATAAATTGTAACTAACTTTTTCAATACGTAATACAGAAATAAGTACTTATTATCTTATTTTATTGTACCTATTCTATTTTGTATAATATACCTATTTTTAGACTCTAATTAGGTAATTATTTTAATTGCACACTTCGATCATATAATGACTGAAGATAATCCATTAGTACGTTAATAGCATACCTAATACCTATTATATGATTTCGATACATTGATTTAATGACACCAACTGTAGTTTGAGTAAGGTGCCAAATAGGTCATGTCACAGGATAATTTATAACGTCTAACTCACCGTATGGGTTCTTAGCAACAATGAAACCATCAGTCTCCAGCGGTTCGGATTCGCCCTCTTTATTCACAGCGCGGACCCTGAACTTGTATTTGTGGTTCGGAGTGAGACCCTTCACTTGGAACTCTGTCGGATCTGGGCCAGTTTCACCACACGGCACCCAATTGCCAGTGTCCTGTGAATATAAACCAAAAAAAATTGTGATCATAGAATACCAAGTTGATAACTCACTGGATACATAGTGGCAACTTTAGCTTATAAAGATGAACAACACAAAGACATTGCATAATACACTGTAATCTATGGACCTCCTGCATTGTCCTTCCTGAGGATTATGATGTTATGCCTCATAGCCTGTAATCATATCCCACCTTTCAATATGAAATACGGCACGTAAGTACAGTTAATATCTATAAGGTACGATTTCCACTAAGTGGACCATCAGCTTGTTTGAGATTGTCAGTTGCAAAACAACAAGTAACAAATTCAAATTTATTAAAATTACCATATCCATTTTCTCGAGAGTGTATCCGGTGATATCGGATCCTTGCCAGTCGTCTGGTTTCTTCCATTTGATTGTAGCCTTCTCGGCACGGATATCTGTGACTTCGATGGGACCATTTGGACGGTTTGGTTTGTCTGCAGAACAATAATATAATAATAAGTGCCAAACAATCACACCAATTGCCTAGTACTAATGCTAGGATAACGAAACTAACGAATGACTAGAAGCACGAACAATCCAGAAGTTTGTGCCCTAATTTAAACTCGAAAATTCCAGATGTATTCATCACGATGGGGTAACTAACCTGCCTTTTTATTCTCACCTATCATTCCTCAGTAGTGCTCCGCCAGCGTGTATTATAATGCAAATATAGGAGACGGAAACATCTAATACATAGAGTTAAGAATCATTCAAATCGGTGCAAAATTAACGAAGATATCACGTTATATAACCACAAAAATATAGTCGGATAAAGGATTTTTTAAGTCGGTTACAAAGAGACATTGTTTCTGAGGTTATAGTTGAATATGTTTTCCTTTATCATTATTATTTTAGATTATAAACCAATTTTTGATATTTTTGGGCTAATATAATTAAAATGGTATATACTTCCATTTTGTTATATAAAAATTACTTGTATAATTAGGTGTAGGTAATTTTAATAAGTATTTTTTTGGGGGGAAAGGGTTATTAATAATGGGATCTAACAGTTCCATTGTTACAACAATATATCCTATCAAGTTGACCTCCATGCAATTCTCTTTAGAAATCATCGTTAATTCTTATCGAATTCTTTAAGATGGTCCAACTAATTTGCCTTCCTCCTCGCCTATCATCTATCAATGGTGCTTCGCTAACGTATATCGATATTGCAGGCAAGGTTACTATTCCATTTTTACCCATTAAAGAAAAAATAAATAATAGTTAATTACCTAGCACAACAACATCGCCTACGCTCTCGCAGGTTCCTGATGAGTTAGTGAGAACCAACTTGTACTTCCCGCTGTCAGGCCTGGTTGTCTTTCTGACGGTCAGGACTGTGTTCTTTTCGTACTTGTCAATTGTGATGCGGTCGCCATCATCGTGGATCTCCTAAAAATTGATGATGACGTGTGAGAATATAGCCAGGAGGGAAAACGTCTGATCGATGATGTGGTAAATGTTTTGTTATGGTGATATGTGAAGAAAGTTAATATAATTTGGTGTTACCAATATTTTAAATTTAAAATTGACTCCGTTTTCTAGGGAGTAATAAAGTTAGAAAGTAATAAGACTGAACTATCCTTATCATGATTGGGGTCTGAATTGAATCACAAATGGTCTAAACATGGACTAAATATAATTTAGCGTTCCACACAGTTGATAGAGTTAAAATTTAACTGTTTGCTCATTTTTTACATGTTTTTAATTTCTGGTAGAGCAAAATCAGCTTTTAGAGCTAAATTTAATGAAGTACCTAATCCTAGCAGAATGCTTATTTAGTTCCATTATATCTTTGGACTAAAACTAATTTGTTATAAGTTTGGAGTCCAAAGACCAAAATGGATTAACTATGGAAAAAATAAATAAGCTAATGTAGGAATTATCATAATTATTAAACCTATAAAGAATAGAAGAGGAAATATTATATGTAAAGAATATAGATAAGAAGATAATTTTGGAAATAGATATTTTGAACCTTATTGCAAGAAGATTCATAAAGTGTGAATTTTATAACATGCTAAGTTTATGAACATGATTGATCAGACGCTAACCCATAAAGTCATTCATAAATTGTTTAGTGATAGAGAAGAAGTGTTAAGATTGTTATGTGTTGATAGAGTTTGGCAAAATATTGCCCACTATCATGTCAATGTGTTAACACAATAGAAGAGTATGTAATAAATTATAATATTAATGTATAAATTAGTATCGAAGATGGAATTGTTTTCCATAAGATCCATTATAATTAGGAGAAGTAATCATAAATTATATGAGTTACATAATTTATGAGAACTTTTTTTTATTATATTAAATTATACTAGTGCGAAGTGCAATCTATTGTAAGGAAAGTGCATTTCGCTGTGTATAATTCTAATGTAGACATTTAAATAAAATTGTTACAACATTGAAAGCTTGACTTGATATTTGTATGATAGATGTAAAACACCGCGTCCATTGCGGTGCTTTACCATACACCGATTATGTATTGAACCAAACTGTACAATTATTAGTAAACTTTTCAAAAATCATATTGACAATGGCTGATTGATAAAGAATCCATAACATTCATGACATAAGTTTTGAAGACGGGATCGTTTTAGTTATTTTATGTAGTAAACTGTATGGATTCTTTGAGATAGGGAAAGCTAATTTAGTTAGGTATAAGAATTAAGGCATTAAAAAAGAAAATGCTCATTGTATTTTAGATAATTTGATTTTTATTAATAATATGCTTCCGGTACGGTTTGATTCAATATATTAATGTAAGTATACAAATATTTTTGTTTAAGAGTAATCATGTTAGCCACATATAATGTTTAAGAAGTAGGTATAGATAATGTTGAGTAATTTTAGAACATATAATTAACAACATCTAATTTCACCCTCTGACCTTCTCCGTGTACGGCTTTCCACGTTTCTTTTTTAGGAAAAAAGTAAAATTATTATTAATAATAATATTGATTCATATCTATAATTTTTTCACAAAAATTAAATATAAAATACCCAATGATCACAGAAAATCTAAATTACAATCTAAACAGAGGAGGCTAAAAAATATGAATACTTAAGTTTATAAAAAAAGAAAGTATATATATTTACCTCTTCACCCTTCATCCATCTGACTTCGGGTTCAGGTTCACCAGCATATTTGATATCATAAACGATCACCTGACCCTTCTTGATAATCATACCCTGGAGACCCTCACCAACAATATATGGTTTGACTGTAACAAATATCCATAATTAAAACAATGTAAAAAAATTACGGTTCAAATTATAAATATTTTAAGGGTGCCAATTAAGAATTTACCAAATCTGCATTTAGCAACAATAGGCTTAGTGCTATCACTGGGTTCACCAGGGCCGGCTTTATTGATAGCTCGAACCCTAAACTCGTAAGTGCAACCTTCCTTAAGGCCATCTTGAGTCGCAGCTAAACAATCCCCGGGCACTTCCTTGCCAGTTACCCAGTCTTTGCCGAATTTCTCCTGCAAGCAAAGTAAATTGATACATGTTTTATCTAAAATAAGGATACCTTTCCCCTATATATTTAAATTTTATTACAAGCATACCTTGTATTCAATAACGTAACCGGTAATTGGTGCACCACCATCATTGTCCGGCTTTTGCCATTTGAGATCAGCGTGGTCTTTGTCCCAATCTGCAAGCTCAACGTTCTTTGGCTTGGATGGTTCATCTATAGAACAACAAAAATAACTTTAGTAAATGCCTATACTTTAATTAAGTAACCATAAAAAAATACAGTATGATATTTACCCCATGGATCTTTAGCCAATACAGGCTTAGCAAAGAGTCCAGGTTCACTGGAACCAATTTTGTTAACTGCACGAATCCTGAATTTGTACGTTTTCTTTGCAATAAGATCTTCAACTTTAAATTTAGTTGGTTGACCAAGTGGTACTTCAGCCACGTTGTCCCAACCAGCCTTAAGCGAAAGATCCTGTCTTTCAATAACATATTTGACAATGGGAGAACCACCATCATCTTGTGGCGCCTTCCAACTGACGACACAAGATGTCTGGAAAATCTCCGAAACTTCCACATCTTGTGGGGGCGTAGGCACGCTCTGCATGTTAATGGTAACATTTTTAGCATCTTCACCCTGGGCATTAGAAAGTTTAATTTGATATTTTCCAGAACCTTCTCTGGTCGGTTTCTTAATTTTAAATAGAACTTTCTCTTGTTCGACGACAGCTTCAACTTCTTTAACAGGCAATGCTTTTCCATCTTTCCATAATTTAGCCTCGATTGGTGTTTGACGGGTGCCAGTGACTGGTAAGGAAGGGAAATTAATTAATTAAATAATTAAGCACTTACGTTAATCTATCGATATAAGTATATAATAACTTATTGTTGTAATTCACGATTTCTTATATCAAAACATTTATAATACTATTTCTTATTTTTTTAATAAAAAAAGTTGTTATTTTGAAAAGATTGAGAAATAAAAAAACAACTAACCTTTATAAGGCACCTCAATGACAAATGGCTGTCCAGCTGGTCCATTGAATTCATCCGGACACTCGATCGCTGGTTTTGATTCTCCTTTTTTGACAGTGAGCTTACATGATGAGCTCAGCTTGCCAGATTCACAAAGGATCTCACCATCATCTTCCATTTCCAATTTATTGAAGATAAGTTGATGTTTGCCGCCGCCCAGGTTTTTAATTTCAATCCTAAGAATAAGAGACGAAAAATCTACATACGTCATATCAGAATAGAAAAAGAAAATATATATAAATGATAAATTATTTATTTATCTATATAACTTTTATGTACATAACTAACGTAGATATGGCGTATATAATATTAAAAATATTCTCTAACAATCAACTATAGATCAAGCAGAGAAATAACCTATAAATATATTTGAATACTGTATACAAATATTAGAAAAAAAAATTCGTCCTTACCTTTCATTGGGTACGATAGGTTGTCCATTGAAAGACCAGACAGCTTCAGCAGTCTGATCCTGGAGTTCCACCTCCAATACAACCTTATCCCTCTCAATTGCTTCGGTGTCCTTCAACTTCTTATTGAAGCGATTCGAGTCTGGCAACATCGTAGGAAGGTAACTTAATTTATGTTCACTTCTATATAAATAAAATTTATTTTACCACAAACTAAGCGTTAGGTTTTGAAAATAATTCGTATATCAGTTGCATATCTGTTTCTGTATTGAAACGATTTCTAAACATTGATTTTGTTTAGGTCTAGTAATCTCAAACAATAGACGATTAACATCGATTTTGATATATGCATATGTAATCCCACAATGTATATTATTTAACAATAATGCTTTATGTACTTATATCACGTAATGTCTTGTAAAATTGAAAAAAATGAACATATAATTTATTACAGAGGATAAACCTTATAGTTTATAACTATGTCATTTTGTTTTTAGGTGACCGTAATCACTCCAGTTAATCTTTTTTATATTAGATTAAGTGGAGTGATTATACTGTACTCTTACTTTATCATCACACTATTTATATATATATATATATATATATATATATATATATATATATATATACATATAGTGTTCATAGATGAAATAGAAGAAAGCTTACAATTGACGATCAATTCGCAAGTAGTTTCATCGGCGTTGCTGACGCATTTAAAGTTTCCTGCATCAGTCACTTTAGCATCCTTGATCACCACCTTTCGCTTGCGTCCATCTTTTACGATTGTTACGCGCTTGTCAGTCTTCAAAGGTTCATCGTTCTTGAACCTAGTATAAAATATGACATAATTATGTAATTAGATTGTTGTAGTGAAAACTCGCTTAAGATCTTATTTTACAATAGCACACCACCTTGATAATATGATCTATAAATACGATTTATTGAAAAGAGAATGATTTATCCTGAACGATTGGCTACACTATACTTCTCACTAAGTAGCCATTAAGTAAGTAAAATTGTTGTCGACAACAATTTTTTATCATTTTCTAAATGATCAATGAGAGTCTGTATCCATAACTTACCATTGTACTTCACCAGAGGCATCGTCAAGTTCACAAAGTAATGTAATGGTATCTTTTTCGATTGCTTGTTGTGATTTAAGTACCTTCGTGAATTTGTATGGATATTCTGAAATAATTCATTATAATCATTAAGATAATAACGTAAAAAAACTTAATATTAATTCAAGGGATATCTGTTGACACAATATTCGGATCAATGGTAACTTACCCACAATCTTGACTTCAGTTTCAGTTTTGTCAGGCTGCTTCTCTATTCTACATGTATATTTACCAGCATCCTCGAACTTAGCGCTCTTTAGTACTAGCTTACATACTCCAGATAAATCTTTTGATATCTGGTAATAATCACCGTCTTCCAATTTCTGGTCTCCTTTCCACCAGGAAACGATGGCGAGACTGTTTGAGACGGCGCATTCTAAAACTACTTCATGTAGCGTGTAGCCACTTGTAGTCTTCTTTAGTGCTTTTGTGAAGGTATAAGTAGGATCAGGTTCATCGACTTGCAAGAAAGCAGTGCAAGTGATTCCGCCGATTTCGATTGTGATTTTACCCGTGTCTTCTACTTTCGGGTTCATAATAATCAATTTGTATGAATCTTGTTCGTTTGTCATTTTGTATTTTGAGCCTGGGAATAGCTCCTGTTACAAGGAAAAGTAAAAGTAACAAATTTTATAATATATTTCATAGTAAAAGGTTAGTAATGCGTGTTGCAAATAAAAAAATACTCACGTCCTTGCGGAAGAACCATTTCGGCTTCGAATTAGGCTTAGTGAAGATGGCTTCAAATGTCACCTTCTTATCTTTGCCTTCTTTCGCGAATTGATCTACGAGGGGCTTCAGGAATGACTCTTGTTTCTGAAAGAAATGTCCAGTGACCATTAATGGACCAGCCGTAGTAAGAGATAAAGGTGTGCAGTCACAAAAAGGTGCTCTCCATACAAAAGCTTTGTGTGCTGACCACGAAGAAACTGGAGACGACTTCTAAAAGTCGTCAACGTCACTCGGCAGTAATTCAAATGCAAGAAAATCACTGAACACTGTTGAGTTGGATAGTTTACCGAGGCGTTAGAGTCATCAGCCGTTCTTCCATCATCACACTAAAACTCCATGCTATTGTACAGAAATTTAAATTTCCATATTTTTTAACAGATGTAATGAACTCTAACGATAAAAAATTTTAGAGAGTTCATACATTCATAAAAAAAAGATCTAGCCAAAATAATGAATTAATTTACTACTTTTATAGTAACACGTTAACATCAGTATATATAACCAATATATTATTTCATACTTTTACAAATAAGTGAAAACTAAGATCGAGAAGATCGACAGTATTGTGCGTAATAACCTATTTTATTTTACATGTGGAGTGCTTGGTGCTAAAAAGTTGACGAAGGAGTGCACTGAAGATTTGCTAATATATAGAGAACAGAAGAGTGGAAAGTTCCAGAGTTTGTGCTGAATATAGATAGACTATTGGTGATTTTGTCGCTATATTACATCGCAATAATCCAGTAGATATCAAAATAGAGGTAAATACAATAACACTAATGTACGAGTATATAACTTAAGTTAACAATTTGATACCCTCTAATTTTGCTTAAAATCACGAATTGGTGTGAAAAATCATACACAAGGTAAAACTTACGGAATGTGAATAGTATAATATAATGAAGAAGAAAGTTTAGTGAATTAAAATTATTTTAGATCTGTCAAAGAAGATAATTATAGTGAAACATAAAATAATAGAAATATTGTAACGGAACATGGAAAGAAGAGAAAAACGAAAGAATGGAGAAAAAGAAGAATCAAGTTTTGGTAACGTGCATCGAAATAAAAATGTGTTATTTTGAAGAATGATGGATTAAAGATATCTAAAGAACGATTGTGTAAAGTGATTTTAATATTTTAAACATATATTAGCAAAGATCTCTGAAACGATAAGTTGAAAGTTTGATATATTGTATTATTAGGTGAATTTATACATGATTTATATGACCATAATACAAATACATCAGTGTATATTTTAATATACAAGTTTGTCTACTGGACTATTTGTACACCAAGTGCGAAAGTATCAGTGCGACAATTATTTGCATTGGTGATACCACAAAGATACGTGATATTGTGCACTGTCGGTGTCAAACCTCGTCTCTTTTGAACGAGTGCAGCACCGGCCAATCTGGAATCAGTTCCGCGAGGGACCGTCTTCTATTTTGATTCTAAAACAGCCATTTTATCCTTGTCAACTTTAATTTACTACACACAAACAAAACCTCTTTTGCTGACAGTAAAATAGCAAAAATATATGGAAATATTTATAAATACTCTTTTCTGAATAAAATAGTTATAATGTAAGAGTTTGCAAAATCTAAAATCATAAGAAAAGCATCATTGGGATAACTACCGAATTTTATCTTACTTATATGACGATATATTTTTATTTATCTTTTTTTAATAAGCTCTCAGCAGTGTAACGTGGTTGCAAAAAATAACCATAACTATATTTTCATGTGCCAATTACAATTCATTATAATTTTCAATAAACACATGTTATATTATTAAAAAAAAAATCAACATCTGCAAAACATCGGATGCATCAGCTGAAATTAATATGGTGTAAATGAAGACAGAGATATAAAATTTCATATTAAATAATGACGTGATAGAAGCTCCTCAATCGACGTCAAAGGTAAACCTGAAAATTCAAAGAACGAACAAAAATTCCAAAATATTTAGTTCATCATCATCATCATCAAATTCATTCCACTTACATTCCCTGAAAATCATATTCAAGTTAAAGAAACGTGAAGTGGTGATACAAACTTGTGCGAGTTGTTATTTAAAATTCAGTTTTAATGCATTTCTTTATTTAAATCGCTCCAAATTACCATCCTCTATATAGTTTAGACGTCAATATATGATATATTTTATTTATTGTATCAAAAAGATAAAATTAAATAGAGGAAGATAATTAGGGAGGATAGATTTAGTTTAGTTATTTATCATTCAGTTTTTAAATTTCATTCATTTAAAAGACCACTTCAATCCTGTTGAAACATGTTATAAAAATACAAAAATGTTTATTATGATTTGCAAAAAATCTTAGGTATGTATATTCATCTAGAAGTTTGCATCTTTATTTCAAAAGAATAGAAGTGTCTTGTTTTTTATGTGTGTACTTTTATATGTCCTTTTTATCGAACCTTAACTTTGACAGTCTCCATCAAAGAGGGCCAATCACCTATTATTTCACGCAGAGACTTGCGTCTCTTTATGTCAAAGACACCCTAGAACCGAATATAGATGTTACGTATAAAATTAATAGGCATCTAAAAACAAATTTAAAAAGCGATGATTATTTAGAGCCAAGATTGTAAGCAACGTAATGACATGAAGTAAACGCTATGATCATGATTGTTAAATGATTTCATTAAACGACATATTTTTCAATAAGAGGCACGCAATAATATAAGTGATATTTTGGTGTAACTATTTATTAAATTTCAAGCTCATATACTAAATTTAATATTTTGGAATACATATTTCGCATTATACTGAAATATCGACTATATAATGAGTTTTATATTAAGTAATTTGTTATAAAAGTTTGTGTGTGGACGACAATTATTTTAAAAGTCCAAGAATGAATTAAAGAATGTTTGCAACATTTTACCCAGCAATTCTACGATGTTTCTTGTCATTAGGAAATACTTGAAATTACTACGTTAAAATTGTTAATGTTTAAAATTTGATAAGAATTTTAGACGTTACCTTTTAAAAGTAAATTATTTATAATAGATATACCTGTAAATGAAATCAACGAACTTGAAAAAATATGGTATTTAATTGGTTCGGGTTCCCGCCATACAAATTGCTCGTATAATGTGAACTACCTTCATTTGAAAGAAAAGAAAAAATAACTTTTTTATAAATACTAAATTATAAAAAATGCATGAGTAGCTAAATTGCTGTTTTTGGATGCATTTTGCATTAAAAAATTGTAATGAAATGTCTTATACAATAAAATAAATGCCTTTTAAATAGGTGATGAATTTTTGTACGGAAATAGTCAATGACAAGTTTCAATAGTTACTCATAAAATACTCACTTTAAACACGTTAAATATCTTTCTTAAAAGCCAAGCAGCCATATTTCATTAGCCAATTAAATATAATTTTCTCTAATATAATGAATCTTATTACTTTTATAATATAGTAAACCACTGAGCAAATTATTATCACTACGTTTAGTAAATAAGTCAAAATACGAGTATTATTGACAAATATAAATTATTACAAAAAAATTAAAGCCTTCATAAAGAGGTCGTAATATTTTGAACTTTTATTAGTTTCTATTAATCAAATCAATTTTCATATAACATGCGAATTAATAATTATTGACTAAAAAAAGTAATTATTTATAATATGTATTTAGTACAACATAATTTGAAAAATATAATAGCATTTATTTAAATAAGTAACTTTTGCCTTTCTCAAGGAATGTTAAAGAAGAGGATAAAGAAATAGAATTTGGAATGCAAGATGGAATGAACGATGGTGTTGCATTTTAGAATACTGAGGACCTTAAACCATGACCAGTTTGTAGAGCCCCCGCATTTATCAGCTGGGAATCTACCCATTTCAACCCCTTCGGAAACGATCACTATGAAGCCGTCTTCTTCATAATGTCCAGTTTTTAAACCCTAAAGGTACATACGATGTCATGTTAAGCTATTTAATATACAAAAAAGTTAATCTAAAGAGTAGCAAAAACAAAGCATTGAGTAAAAATATTGACAATAAAGAAGCATAATTTGTAGATAAACTTTAATGTCAATTACTTAGTTTATATAAAGGAAAGTAAACAATAATAAATAATATCCAAAATTTTAAAAGCATCTAGAAATTAATTTAGCACAGTAGAAGCTTATTATTATCAATTCAAAGAATTAAAAATCGATTGTTCTAGTATTCGATTTTTAAGCGACAGAAAAAAATGTTAACTATCTAGATTTAGGTAGAAGATTACTTTGATTTCATTTTCATTGTCTTTATATGTATAAAGCCCGATGGAGCTGTCTACATTTTTTAATTCAGTTAACGAGACAACGTTAAATTTGTAACATACGAGTAGTTATAATGATTAATGTTGTATAAATCCACTTGAATGTTTAATATTAAATTTCAAATTCTAATCTGTAATATTATGTGAGAAAATTTAACATTGACTCGTGTTGAACATTTTTAATTTATTGGTATTTATTATTTAGATATCATGTATGTGTATATTTCGTATCACCATCTTCTTTTTTTAATATTGAATAGAAAGTGACAGAAAATTTACCTTTTCGACTTTCTTAAGAGGTGGAATAGGTTTCTCGGTTTCTTTAAGATCTCCCCAGTCGGGATCTTCCTTCTTTTCGCCCCATTTAGCGTATTTTCGTTTCTTGAGCATAGCACGGAAGTCCATGCCACTTGAATCTGTATTATTATTATTATTAAAAACATTTGTGCTTTGTAAAACGAAAGATTTTAATATAATGTAATTCAATTTCTATTTTAAAAATTCAAATTCTTATTTAAGTTACACACGGAATTAACTTAAGAGAGTGTTTGACATTGAAGTTACTTATTAGTATTCCTATGCATTTTTTTCTATAAATTTAAAGTAATTTAACAACTCCCATAATTGTGCAAAATAATATATTGAATAGTGGTACAATAACTATTATGTAAATTTACTGCCATACTAATATTGTCTCTCACTTTTAGTACTCAATCATTTTGAATTTAAATGAATTTAATGCATATGAATCATATCATAGTTCAGCACAAGAATATGGTATGCTGAATACTACAGGATATAGTACTTAAATAATATTTTTTGTTACTAAATCAATATAAATCTTACCAGAAACGTAAAGCTGCATTTCAGCTGAATCTTCTCCATGTATATTGCTGACCACAACTTTATATTTGCCCTCATCATTGGGTTTGATTTTCCTCATGCAGAGCGTTATAAGGCCTTGTTCACCATCAGTGATGTACTTGAAACGGCCTCCTTCGATAATTTCAGTAACGCCCTTGTAAAATTTGAATGTCGGCGCCGGATTACCTTCGACTTGAACGGTGAGGTAGCCAGTTTGGTCTGTATGGATCACAATAAGATTTATTTTTATTTTTTAATATTCTAATATTAATAAGACTTCCTTTATTTCAATATGTAATGCTGTGATAGTATTATTAGGTTAGGATTTCCTTCAAATTTTTATAGTTAATTTTTTTTATAATCGATATACACTTGTAAAATTAAATGCGATAAAATATAAAAAGATCTACTTAATTCTTAGACTGTATATTATATTATGATTATGTAAGTGAGAAAATAAAAGGAATAAAGACAACTATAATTATAAATTAAAAAATATAATAGTAGTTGCCAATCCCATGAAATTATGCAAAATAATACAATAAACCATGATATTATTAGATTTAATGGTGTTGTAGAAGAATAAAAAATATTTAATAATAAACTAAGTGCAATATTTTAATTGTAAAAATATCTGAAACATTTGAGAATGTATACTGACCCTCAACAGCAGAATTGCTCTCAGGAGCGTCCACAATAACTGGAGGGCCCTCATTGCCGATAGGCTTCAAGGGCACTGAAGGTTTGTTAATTAGATCTTCCAAATCCTGGACCGATGGTCTTCTAGCGTCGCCAGACTTTCGTCGCTACATCATCAAAGCATTGTTAATATACGTCTAAATTTTGGAATTCACTTTGTTAATCACGATAAATCCATAAATATAGCAAGCCAATAAGTAATTATAAATAAAGCAAGAATTTCAGTATTGTATTTGTTCAATATTTGAACACTGAAAAATTGCAAAAATAAAATAGAAAATTCTTGATCATTATTAATTTACCTAATTTATTTAAAAAAAAATGTATTGTAAAACATTAAATTACAATATGTATCAGGATATCTTCTTTTAAACTTTACAAATATATATGCGTAACAATATACCTGACTTGTAAAGTTTGAATGAAGAAAAATATAATAAATGTTTATGGTCAAAAGTCATTGAAATACTATACTCATAATTTAGTTTTACTACAAATTTATATTACTTTTTATCTTTTATAACACAGGTGTTTCACAAGGATCATTATTTAGTCCGTTACTTTCCAACTCGTCACTGCCAAAACCTATTAATATGAATTGAAAAATTATAATGGTATAACTAAATACATGTTACAAATGGTAGAGGCGTGTTATGACAGATGCACTACATTAAGAACGTAAGCCAAATGACCTGACAATGAAGATCTGGACTTCCTGATAAATGTGGCGCAAGTGCTGAGAATAAAGTTATGACAGTTATTATGAAGTCAATGCTTTATTATATTTGAATTAAGTCAACATTGTAATAAACTTTTATTTATACATGATAACTTTTTTTTTGTATTAAACATAAATTCTAAAAATTTTTTTTACAATTTTTAGATTTAAAGAAATTACATTTCTTGGGTTTTTTAATTTCATATTCAAACGTGAGATTTTCTTGAAGATTGAATTAAAGACATTTCTATAATCTAGAATTGTATTTATGGTTTCATTTCAAATTATTGGCATTTATTTTGGATGGTAACGAACAAAAACGAGAATGCAAATATGTAAAAGATGTATCAATAAAAATAATCTGAGTAAGGTATTTTAATGACCTTTGTTTAATACACATTTAAACATTAAAATCTATCTTCTATTAACACATTTAACAAATAAGTATCACTTACCGGATCTAATTTAGGTTTAGAAATAGGTAATGATTTCTTAGCCACCGCTGCCATTATGTTAAACACATATAGCTACGAAGAAACCACAATACCACCACAAGATAACAGTTTACAATCCTTTAAAAGTAAATGTACTTTATTAACGTCATTGACAATCACAGTCTGATTACAACTTAATTCACATTTTTATTAATTTTTAGTCACAAACACCACGTAAAATATTGCCGTAGAACTCCATCTTTTACTTGGACGATCCATAATTACATAAAACCTAGATATACTAAATGCTTAAAAATGTTTAGACTTAATACTTATTCTTGTTATACTTAGATTATATTTATTTTCTTCTTTCTTTTTTCTTTTGTTATTAGTTAATTCGTTATTATTTCGATTTGGGGTTGTTCGTTAGTGTCGTTTCATCTTAAAATGGGCGCGAATGTCAAAAGACTGAAGATGGGGTCGTGTGGACATGATTGCCTTGCTGCTAAGAGGAGAGGGGGACGCGGGCTTCTATTTGTGCACAGCACAAATCAACAGACAAATTCAATTAATTATCAGATTAAGGTGAGCCATCCATGTAACATTTTGTTGGACGATGTCGTGAAGTCTTCCATGGATATCTGCAGTTACCGTGTTATTATTGGCTTTGTGCGGAGATACTAGCTCCAGTATGTATCCAGTTGCATCAATCGATCATTATTAGTGTAATTAATTTAGACTTTTATTTTTAAATTTAGATTGGCATTCGCGTTTTGAACTTTTGCCTTGGCAATAATAGGTTTCTTATCGCGTTGTGCATCATGAACGATCATCTTGGATTAGCAGCCAATGATTCGATGCATCAAATCTGCCGTAAGATGGGCCCTTTGTCTATATTCATAAATTAGATGAGATTGATTTCGTAACAACCAAAAGAGATTGATTGGCACCTTCATAACAAATGTGAATAATTCAGGCGATTGTCATCGCTGGCAAACGTTGTAGCTTGAAATATCTACATAGCGACATTATTAACAAGGTGATAGATTTTAAGATGAGCAGCGACAAGGATTTATAACTGATAAATATTTTTATAAAACATTTATTGCATAGTAAAACAAATTGTATTATTTGTATTAATTAATTTATTTTTTACTATTGCTATATAATTTAAAATATTTTTTTCTACTAGATAATTCTAGATTTGATATGAAAATTCCGTACTTTATCATGTATATATAAATTTTATGTTTTCAATTCAATGTATTTTTGATATTATTTTTTTGACGTTACATTACGTCTATGTTTTTTTCATATTTTATTAATATCTCTTCTATGTGCGGTTTTCTTTTTATAAAATATTGATAATTGCATCGAAGTACCTGCCAAAACTATTCTTTATTGCACAATAAAATTCGAACAAATAGCAAGCTTAATGCTATTGGCACTAATCTATGGGTTTGAAGTGTATTTCATTAATATGCTGTTATTTATTGTAAACTTTTCTATATCTTATATATAAAATTCTCGTGTCACGGTGTTTGTTACCAAACTCCTCCGAAACGACTTTACCGATTTTCATGAAATTTTGTGTGCATATTGGGTAGGTCTGAGAATCGGTTAACATCTATTTTTCATACCCCTCAATGATAAGGGTGACCCACCCCCTAAATATATTTTTTTAATTCTTTTGACATTTTTTTTTATTTTTATTTTATTATGACTAAGCATCGAAAAATACATACAGCTTCAAATTTTTACCCTTTTACGATCAACCCCTGTTTTTTAATAGCGATTTTTATATTTCTCAATAAGTGGTAAAACAACGTTTACGGGGTCAGCTAGTTTATTTATAAAATTCTAACATAATTATCTATTATTGCACAAAAAAATTTGAACAAATTGCGAACTTAATGCTATATGGCATTAACGTATGTGTTTGAAGTGTATTTTATTTCTGCGTTTATGTGCTGCTATATAGTGTTATCACTTACAACCTGATTTTCCTTCGACTTAATTTTGCTTGTTTTACTGTAATTTTGATGTTACAAATAATTATTAACAATTATGTTAAAAATGACAAAAAATTTTACTTTATTCTTACGAATATATATAGAGCAATATACAAAAAAGCATTTACTTCGCTTAAGTCTGTTTCAACAATAGTGTCATTGTTTTGCTTTTAAAAATCGACGTATTATATAATATTAAAAAACACTATTTGTTTTTATTTGGTAATGGTATAACAGATATAGAGAGCTGCCAAATATTTCTGATACTGCAATACCATTACGTCCACTAGTAGTGCGACCGTCCTGAAACCCACGCGTTCGCAGGTATTCCTAAATTCCCAATATCGATCTGACTCATTTATCATTCTAATTATGGATCAGATTTTTTTTAAATCAAAACTTTATCTACACGATTTGATAAGTTTAGTTCTGTAATATTCCGCTTTTATAGTAAAAGGGTATTTCTCTAGTATTTTAATTGGTTATTTAATTACAGTAAAATCTTTTTAGGATTCTTTATTTTTATTATTTCAAATCAAGCGGGTTATTAGTTTACGATTTCAAGTATCGTGAAAAAAAAATTAATCGCTGCTCATATTTCAAAACAACTTAACACTTTTTAACGATTGATTTAAAGTTGAAAAATCTTTTAAAAATTTAAGACAATGCATTATGTTATTATATTTCCGTTATCACATAGATATTGATTAAATTTATTAATTAATTTCTATTTTAAACATATTTTAAATACACTATCGGAACTTAACGCGATGAAAATTCTTATACAGGTAAATAATACCTACATACCTGCTTCTTTATTGCCAACGTTTCGATGTGGATTGCACCACGTCGTGGTCACGACAGGACTGCCGTGTATTTAAAATATGTGTAAACAACACGGAAGTTTTAAATTAACCATCATTTCTATTTAATTATTTTTTATACATCGTACATTTGTATTTTCATGTACGTATGTTTGTTCAACAGATTACAATCATCACGTATCACGTCTAAAATCTTCTTAACGACAACAGGGAAGACATAATTCATGTTGGCTGGCAACTCAGCATAGTTAAGGGTGAGAACATTTCAAGATCTCCTCAGTTGTTCTTGGCCTAATTCCTGCAGTCATATTTATAAGAATAACAATCAATCATAATGCATACATCAGCAGTTTTGGCGCGTTCTAGCTGTTCATTCGCTTCATTATGTTCACACATATAGCATTTACTAACATTTGACGCAGGTGTGTTTTTATTCTCTCATTAAACTATTTGATATTATCATAAGACTAATAATTCTCATTTCAAAATATGTTCAATTCCTTTTTTATTTTTATAACATCTTTTATATTAAAGTGAATTGTTAGCGAATTTGTTCGAATATCTATTTGTTGTTTGTGACTTGTTTATAAAACTTTGGCTCCAAACTCAGAATTGTTATTTATAGAATTGTTTTTAGTATCCTCATCTAAATTAAATACAGTTCATTAATGTAATTCGACTGTGACAGAAATAGATTCAATACATGATATATTTAAATACGTTCATAATTTTGGTTTATTGGTCGTTTGGTGTTTTGTGGCATCTTTATTAGGGGCGTTATAATATCTATGATCAAAATAATATTTACACTTTGTTCAGATAAAATATATAAAATATGGTTTATTTCAAGGAGATCATAGGTATTAATCTTATCAATAAGCTTATTATTTGTTAAATGCTTTGGAATGTGCAGTAATTTATATAGCTGGAATAAACTGCAATAATATTTTACAAATTATTCTTGACAGATAAACATAATTATAGTATTACTTATCATAAACAAATTTTAGTTATTGCAGTATCTTCCGCAATTATTTTAGAAGGAATTATGCTCAATTTTAATATTAATTACAGACGTTTAATTGGATTCATGCAGTCTTTATATTTTATTTCTTTTATATTTATGTTAGTTAGTTTATTGTCATATTTACCGTGACAGGGGATTAATAGCAATATAAACTATTATATCTATACTACAAAACATTCTAGAATCTTATAATATTGTACACTTATTATCAATATTTAAATTACCAGTTATAAAATGCATTAACATTTTACAATTGGCTCCAAATATAACCTATCGCCAAATATTATTTACTTTTACTTTCAATTAATCACTTAAAAAAATCTATGTTAGCCACGTATCTATAAATGTTTTCCTTCTAAGACATATAATCTAAACATATATCTTCCACACATAATATACCTCGTCCGTCAGTTCACCGGGCCTGCTGCGTTTCTTTTTTGGAAAAAAATATTCGTTTTAGTAAATCATTCTCTGTTAATCAAGTGCATAAATGATTTGAAAATTTAAAGTATCAGTATTTTGTGTGCGTTTATTATGTGTGTTATATTTAAGCAATTATGTATGTATATAATATTATTATAAGTGAGTGTTTAACATGTTGTGCACAAGAGTAAATGATATTCTGAATTTTGTATTCAACAGATTTGTCAGTTATTATATAGTGGAATTCATGTTCAGTTTAAATTAAAAATCACTTCTCAAACTATATGAGTAGTAAATACGAGTATAGTAAACAAACTGTAATGTGCAATTTAAAATTAAGGGATTAGTTGAAAACTAAAACGTGTTATTGGATTTTGGAAAACTAGAGCCATTCTAAAAATAAACTACGAAGCTTTGTCGATAAGTGCTTCCTTTGTATAAATCTCATTAATATTATCTCTGCTTAGGAAGGCTTATTGACAAATAGTAAAAACAAGTCCCAGCGATATAGAGTCGTATATCCCCGCTGGACGGCAAAGCGGCAATACTAACTGGAGTAGAAGGAGAACGTCTATGGAAAATGGGTATATTGAAATTGATTAAGGTTCTATAAGAAAGTAGGGAGTTACTGATGAAGTTATATATTAAATATTTTTAATCTTTTAAAGATTTCTTGTATATTTTGTAAGGGGAATGATAATTCAGAAATCATTAACATCAAATTGTTGTCATAACAATTTGTAATATTTATTATTTTATAATATAAATGTAGTTTAAAATTGTAGTCCGTACTGTCATGTGTATTAAAGGAAAGAAAATAAAATAAGACTAAAAAAAGATAAAATGCTTTGCAAAAGCGAGCAGCGTCCACCTAAACTGGCCAGATCCACTAGATCTCACCTTTTTGTCGTCTAAAACTTCTCCAGGACGTAATTTGCTGACCTGTTGTAAAAAACATTGATAATATCTCCCAATAAATATAACAACCTGCCTATCTCTGCCGCCGAACCTGGGCCCTACCTACCTACTTGATGCTATTATTCGGTGCATGTGTAAATCAGCAAGTGCAAGAGTTATTACGTTATGTATTGCATCATTTTCTTGTTAATGTATATTATTGTTAGTGACTATCTGAGTACGTGTGTAATAAAACACGATGTACCCAAGTCAATTTGATAAAATCCCTAAAACTCAAGACCATTCTCTGTATCCGTTATTGTGTGCGAGACGTGCTTACAAGCTGTGCAATTTATCTGTGTGCGCGGACTCCACAATTGTGTGCAGTTTAGACTTTGTGCTATCGACGACAAAACGGTTTATATAAAAAAAAAAAAAGAAACTGGATAACCATATAATCCAATTTAACATATTCAGTTATACAAAGGTTTATGTGATTATCCAGAGACAATAGTATTACGAACCGCGTCGAGTGCAAACGCATTAACAATGATTTTTTTTAAAAGATACAGTTAAGACTTAATCACGGCAATATAACGGACAGCATTCACGTAATAAATTATTTTAGCGTTTTTTGCTTTTACCTTCTTCTCTTCGATCACCTCACCAGGTCTTAGTTTTCTATTCTCCTGTGGATTATGTTTTGTATTGTGTTTAATATCTACAGAAACGATCCTCAAAATCAAACTTTTATACCCTACTGTAGTGAAAAACAACTCTAGTGTTCTAGAAGCGAGGAATAAGGGTTCTAAGCTTAAACCGCTCTAAAACTATTTCCTTGACACTACTGAAGCATTCATGGCTGTAAGATAAGTGAAGCTCCATCTTTCTACAGATGGTTAATGGCATAATCTATAAGGGGGGATTCTTAAGGTTTTCTAATGTTATGGGTTCGGCTTGAGAGAGTAGGATATCTATACTACGTAGTAGGGCTAAATATATATATATTTATAACAATGAACTAACATCAAAATTTGAGAGAGTAATAAAAATATAACTTGTATTACATTTGATAATATACTTGTATTATCAGATGAATATAATAATTTTTTACGTAGATGGTTCGTGAAAAAAAGCCTATCTGATGTTAGCTCACAGAGTAATCTAATTAATAATATAATTTCTATTCTACTCTTGGACAGCACAAATAAGATTTTTTACAATATTTTTATTCATACCTTAATAGACATTGATGATTTACGAAATTGTTGAATCTCAAAATCATTTAAAAATAATATTTTCGTTTAAAACATCATCCTTTTAACAATTTTATAAAGAATATAACATACCTCGTCACTGATGATAAGAGATGGTCGTCTTCCCATTTCCTCAGGCGGAGGAATGAGAGAACCACGTCTAGCAGCAGGAGGACCAGGACCCAATGAAGGTTTCCTTGGTGCTTCTGGTTTCGGAGATTTTTCACGAATAACTTCAATCTTCGGTGCAGCCGGTTTCTCCTCTGGTGCCTTGATTTCAGGTACCTTGGGAATTGGCTGCATATACATTTTTCAATGTTAATTATACCTCATATATATTTATCATCACAGAGTCTTTCACGGGATAGACTATAATAGTATCTCTATAAATACAAAAGATCCAAATGGGTCGACGTGCAACAGCTTAGCTGACCCCATATGCGAATATAAGATAAGATCTCTATAAATATTTATAGTTATCATAATACAAAACATTTGCAAATATACCTTATCTTTTTCTGGTTTCTCCCTAGTGGTTGGTGTGGGTGATATCTTTTCATATTTTTCAAGCTCAGGCCTTTCGTAGTCTGCAATCTCAGGGAGATCTTCGGCCTTCTTTTTCACAGATGTTACTTTAGCCTTCTTGACTTCTTCCTCCACTTTTTCTTCTTTAACTGCCACTTTCTGTAATACATGCATTAATTTAATTTCTAAATAAAATAATTAACATTTATTAATACATACCCGATTCAAGTCTGAAGATCCAATAATTCAAGAGTCATAAGAATTCTAAAAAAGTAGTAGAATTTATAATCAGTAACTTACCATAAATTTTATGTTTATAAAGTACACATAAATATTATATTTAAGTTCATATATAATGACTATTAGTAAGCAAAGCAAAGCAGGAAAATGGTTAATATTATACAGCAAAAGAAAAATTATGTGCCAACAGTGCATTTTGTTAATATTTAAATATTGCATTTTCTTTTCTATACATGTATTATTGTATACATATATGTACAAATCTAACACATTCTATATACTATATTATATTTATGTATATATAAATGGAATAATTATTAAGGTATAACATACTAAATCGACGGGTAAAGTGCATAATACTAGTCTAAATCAATTTCTACAAATAGCTACATGTAGTATATTTTGTAATATTACTAAAATAAATACTTCAATATTTTAATATTGGAATTAAAATTTGTAGCCATTAATAGAAAAAATATATTTGGTGCAATAATAACTACATCAGTTCAAAATTTGGTGCTTTGCAAAATTGTAATTGGTGCTGAACATTATTATCCAAATTCTAAAAAACTATGTGCATTGTGCAAAGTTTGTGCATTATTTTTATCGGTGCCAATGCGTATACCTCTTCAGGTCTGCTGGTAAAAGCGGATTGTGGAATTTCTAGTGTGCTTGCTTTAGGCCCGTCTTTTTCTTCTGTCGTTTCAGCCTACAGGGAAACATTATTAATGGCGACCATACGCAATGATTCTTTGGTAAACGTACGTCATTTTATGTCTTATAGTTGTGTGTTATAAGAATGAAGTGTGTATATTTTGAAAAGCCAATGAAAGTGCATTTGTATTATTTATAACCTTTGTGTGATAATTGCAAAGCATTCCAAGCTAGAATGCTCTAAAAATTTTAAATTGTCGAATTCAGTGATAATATGTTTAAAAATGATTATTAAAGTTTAATCAGATGTATTACTCTGTGTACCTGAGGAGACCATGGTCTTCTTCGTGGCAAATTGTTGATTGGTTCTAACAGTGTTGGTTTATATTTATCTTCTAACTCTGGTGTTTGTTCAGCCTGATTATATAATAGATCATGTTAGTGTACTAATCAATTGAATATTGCAAATATAAAGAAGAACAATGATATAATGTGTTGTGTCTACCTGAGGTATTTCTGGAATAACTTGCCACGAAAATGGTATCTCATTTTGTGTCTCTTGTGATTTTGGTGTTGATATTGCTGGTACCTATTACAATTTTAAATTATGTGATCTTCGTTTATACACTAAAATATTACTACTAACTACTTTAAATACATAATATAAAATTAATTTCTGTTAAATACATTAAACTTATACAATTTACAGAAAAATATTTTTATACATATTGTGTATATTAAATATCTTATGTAACTCAAATGCATTTATATTACAATTAAATACACTTTCATAAAAGTCTTAGAATAAATCATAAAATAACTTCTCTCTACCTTTTTGATATTACTGCAAACTGTTTAAAAATTTACGAAGTTTTACGAAAACTTTTAATGTCACTTATGTGTATTAAATATTAATCAATTGAAACTACCTGCACAGTTTGTGTTTCTCCTTTTGTAGTTTCTGATGGTTCATCATCTTCAAATTGGAAGTCCTATTAAATATATATTTTTTATTAATAATCCTAAGTAAATTTTTTACAATACGTTTTCAATTTCAACAATGTTGAAAATATTATATTACCGACCTCCGCGTATGGTTTTTTTTTCCATGGACAGAATGGAGACTGAGCAGGTGTCAATGTTGGTCGAGGCTCCTAATAAATTAAGATATTAAATAAGAAATAGAGTTTGTACAAAATAACTAATCATTCTATGAATTTGTATAATTGAAAATGATACATTTTATATACAACAAAAGAGTATTTTACCTCCGGTTCCTTAGTTTCTTGCATTGATACATCGCTTTCATCTTCTTCCTCCTAAAATAATTTAAATGCCATACGATAATTTACCTATTTTAATTTGAGTTAAAAATTAACATATTTATTTGAATATGTTTATTTGAGTGCATGTGTCTAATATAATGTGTGCATTCGTTTAGAAATGTAACATATAGTAAAAATTGCTTATACAAATTGTATACCTCATTTGATATTCCAGGTGGCTTCGTTTCACTTGGTTTATCTTTAGGAGTTTTCTTTTTAATTTCAGTTGTTTCTTTAGTTTTAGTTTCAACAACTTCTATTATATCCTGTTTAAAATTATTGTTATGAAAATATTGTTATTAAAGAAGGTAATATACATTACGTAAAAATAATAGAAAATGTATATACCTCAGTTTTACTTAGACGACGTCTAGTCAACTCTTCTGTTTTTTCAATACTAGGTTTACGTTTTGGTTCAACATTTTGCGTAGATCCCTAATAATAATATTATAAATTATAAATAATAAATAGATATTGTGAGTCAAAATGTTCAATGTTATAAATCAGTGTGCACGTATGTATGTATGTGTGTGTGTGTGTGTGTGTGATATACCTGTGTATCTGTTTGCGTAGGTCGCCATGGATATGATTTTTCTGAAGGCTTATCGACAGATTCTTGTTTTACCTTGTCTTCTATTGTCTTTACAGTGTCATCCTATTTACAAAAATATATAGTTACATCTAAGTCAAACGTGTCACTTGGTGCTATAATCTCTAGCATAACTCAACCTTTTCTCTTCGGTGTATAAAAATATACATTAAAATTACATTAATAATTGATTATACACAATTTGTTATTTACTGAACACACAGAATCAAACAATTGCAAAATTGTTTGATAGTCATTGTAGAGTTTTATTTACAATAGAAATTAATAAACAGATTGAATTTCCTTTCAGATTCTGTTTCATACAAGTTTAGAGAGTATTTTGAATACGACTAAACTTGAGACATTGTTGATACGATAGAACAAGTACATAGATTTACATGCATTCAAGATGGATCGCGGACTTACCTTCAATTTTACTTGGTTTATTTCACTTGCTTCTGGTTCCTTTATGGTGGTCTAAAAAAAGTTATTAGGAATATGATTAAGCGTCAAAGGGGCATTGCGTGTACATGAATTTGTAATGCAATGAAACTAAAAATCTTTATTTAAGTTAATACAATTTATTTATTATGTGTATATAGTGGATTTAAAAAATACATACTAAGCCGAAAGTGCATCAAGGTATATAACCCACTGTTACTAATTATTGATTCGTTTCACAATTTTCTCGTTTTAGTTTTAACTAGCAACCCTTACGGCTTCGCACGGGTGCAATGCTGATACTAAATAGCGTCGACTGGCCGGCACATTAGAAACTTCTAAAATTAACAGTGTTTCTCTACAATATTATGCATGTATTATACATGTAAACCTTCCACTTTTATCAGTCTATCTATTAAAAAAAAAAACCTTCAAAATCCGTTGCGTAGTTTTAAAGATTTAAGCATACATAGGGATAGACAGACAGCGACTGCGACTTTGTTTTATACTATGTAATGAAGTGATAAAAGTATTTATTTTAAATAACTTTTCTTCTATTTAATGCACGCCAATTTTTATCTATCCAGTTTACGAGTACCAAATGATTTTAGCTGAAAAGAACTGACAAGAAACTCAACTAAAAACTCAATTAAATGTCTATTTAATGAGTGAACATTGGCCTCCGGAACCATACGGCTTAGTATATACTTGTAATGTAATGTTGTATAATATAATATTAAATATATGATATTTAAGTGACATTAAATTTCATTGCAGTACAATTTTATATTTGTGTCAGGGAGAATATTCTTTGAAATATCCACGTATGAGAAATTAAATAGAAATATAAACCATGTTTTTTTTTTTATATTCAAGATACTAAATAAAATATTTTTAATCTAACATTATATCTCGGTTAAAAATTTTATGGATATTTTTACATCATTCTAAAGGTCGACTAAGGATTGGGTTTCGTATGAAAGCAAATCGTACACTATTATAGGGGCTTCTAGAAAGAATTGGTGCAGAAAACAAAACGAAGGAGTGCTTTTCATTACCATGGAGTTTCACTATCAAATATTGTAAATGTAGAAAAATCGATAAAATAACAATAATTTTATGTAATTATAAATTTATTATTACAGATATAATGGAATTAATTAAATAATTAATTAAATCAATAATTTTAGATGATCTAAAATGATTTATTGAAAATGATTATTTTTTATTGTAAATAATAATGACTATGCAGGGTGAAATCGAAATCATAAGCATCCTTTTAATATTCTCCAATCATATTAAATAAATGGAAAAGTGAGTTAGTTTATTTACTACATTTTCACGTCTAAACCTCTGAATCGATTATGGTACATTTTGGTATAGAGATAGACGAGTCAGTGAATATATTTCGGTCATACAGACAAAGTAGTGGGTAAGAACTAGTAAGTTTTGTGCTAGTAAAAGTGAAAAAAATTCTTAAAGAAACATACGATGAAAAACAATAAAATATTTTATGTTTTCCGTACTAACATTATACGGCGACTCAAGCTAGTACATGAAGATGATAAACTCTTACCGTTTAGTGTATTTTAGTATATTTTACAACGTTGGGAAATTCTTAGATTGGTAGATTCCAATGTCTTTACGAAGTCTTACGACTCTGATTTTACCCCGTTCTATTATTACCGTATAATTGTTGTGGTTCAGTACAAATTCCATAAATTTTTTACTATATGCAAATTGGCTATTTTATCGATTTTTGCATTACAGATTTTTTTTATTAAATATGCTTACCTTTTGAGCAGACTTCTTAAGAGTTCCAATTTGCTGTTGTTCGGCGATTGATGAGATAGATGATTTTCTACTCTCAGCCGTCTCTTTTGTGAGCTACAAATAAAATCTTAGCGTTAAATTATTATGAAAATAGTACAGTACTGTTAATATCAGGGTTTCAGTAAATGTAGACAGGTACTCGGTTTCTTTTATACCACAAAGGTGGCAAACAAGCATACAGGCCGTTTGATGGTAAACGATCACTGTAGCCTATGGACGCCTGCAACACTAGGAGTGTCACGTGCGCGTTGCCAACTCTGATGAAACCTTAATATACCCTTTTTGAAGAACCCCATACTGTAGCCTCTAGGGAAAACTTCGACAAGCAGCTCATTTCACAACCTGAAGTTCGTGGGAGAAAATTTCTCTAGAATCGTACTATACGTGACCATTTAAGTTCAAGCATGTGAGGATGAATTCCCTGTCAAGTTTATTGTCAATAATAATAATACACATGTAGTGAAAAGATTTCTTGCTCTGTGCTTTCACCTATTGATAGTTTAAGTTTTGATTTCCCTACAGTCAGAACACTCTATCTCCTTTTTTATACTAATATGGTGGCAAACAAGCATAATAACTGATTGTAAACGGGGTTTCCGAAGCCCATAGATGCTTGTATCATCAGGAATGTCACGCGCGCGTTGCCCACTCTTAAGAAATCTTAATATGCCCTTTTTGAAGAACCCGATAGTGTAGTCCCTAGGGAACGGGATCTATTTATTTATTTTTTAATATCATTTAAAAGTAACGCCAATTACAATAATTATATCCTTTATGTTATGTGTCACAAGAATTGGATATTGTTTAACTGATTGCAAATTAAAATAAGAAATAAAATATTGTTTGTCTTCATGATTATTACCTTCACGGCTTGATTTTCTATTATCGAACTCTTTCGACTTTGGGATCGGACTTCTTCTTTGACCTGCACAAATTACAATACGCTATGAATAATGTTTTTATTTTCCAAAATTAAAAATAGCTATTTTAAATTAAAGCATTCATTGGGGTTTTCAAGATTTTGAGACACGATTCTCTAAATCCATCTCTAAAATTAATATTTGAATTTAATATCACACTCAAATCTTTATTCTAAGATGTTGTATGAACTCAGTTAATTAGATTTATGTCAAAATTGTAACAACTTAGTTTATAATGGTCCATAAAATAGTATGAATGCGAAACTAAAAAAAAACGTAAATTATATTAATTTTAGAGATAAGTTAATTTGAATACTGCTTCAGAATTAACACTACTACCATTTGCAAGGCAGTAACTTTATTACTATTGTTAATACAAACCTCACTCTGAATAGACGTCCTTCTGCTTTCAGTCTACGAAAAATATAAATACATGATTAGCACATAGTATAGACTAAGTCATCAGTACTTTAAGGAAGGTTTGAAAATGAAGAATGATTCTATACAAATGGTAAAGTGAACATAAGGAAACACTGCATCTGGTATAAAGGAATAGATAAAAATTTATCCAAAACAATAATATTTACAGCAGGATCAGAACGTCACAGGGTATATAAATATATAATTGGCTATCCATTTTGTAATATATAATATATGGACATACAAGGACTTATTTAGAATAGGATCATGCTAATTCAATCTTTCTTTTATTTCTACCTTCACTTCTAATCGTTGCTGTTGTTGAGCCATCATCGTGACCTGTTTTATTCAAATTATTTTTATTTTTCGGTCAAACCTCTATCGATATAATTAATAGGTAATTTAAAGTTAATTTTATTATAATAATTGAAGTGTTTAATTCTTCAATTATTTAAAATACAATCGATAAATAAAGTGACTAATATTTATTTTTCCATAAGTAAAATTGCAATAGTAAATAATAATTTAAATGGTGTTGTTACATTAACACATTTTGTGATATCGGATATCCGGGATTATCAGTTAATGAAACACTATTTAATTTCCAATAATGAAATAAATTATTTGAGAATGAATGTGATTTAAAAATATATTAAAATGGTTATATCAGATTTTGCCAACGATATTGTACTAGTGGATTGTTGTACACCAGGTTTTAAGTTAGGGTTGTAGGAGTACAACTGTGAAAACTACATCCAGTTTGGTGCAGTCGTTTTTACGCGATACCAGAACAGGATTACTTACAGAACAGAACATACTTATAGATATACAAAAATTCTAAAATTATTGTTTTCACTTCTATTGCTGTTCATTATCATCATCATAGGTAGAGGAGGCAGTTGTGTTTGCATGGCTGTGTTTCGGTTTGAAACATGGGATATGGCGTGAATTTACAGACTACAGAGGAATAACACCTGAGTCCTCAGGAATGGCAACGCATGGGAGGTATCATGGGTGAGACAGTATACTCTGTTATGTCCATGGTTCTGCTCATGTCTATAGGCGACGGTTACCACTTTCTATTAGGTGGGCCGTCAGCTTGTTTGCCATTCTAAGTTGTATAAAAAAAATCAATCGTTAACTATCCACTGATAGAATGAAGCTACATATACCCCCCCCCATTGAGGGGTTTGCCATTAGTTGCCATGCTTGGCAGGCGGGTTGGCACCCATAATTAAGTTTTGGCTATATATTAAGAGGGACGCTGTTGGCCATCCTTTGACGATTAAGTTCTCTTAATTATCTCTAATTAAGACTGCTTATTAAGACACCTCAATTCAATTATAGTCTAATTACAATTTTATTACATTTATAAAATTAGTATGCATACCTTTGTTTGTTCCTTTTCTTTCTTGTCTCTAGTTGTGGGTGTTGGTGAGATCTTTTCATATTTTTCAAGTACTGGCCTTTCATAATCATCGACAAAGTCAAGTTCCAGCTGTAAGCATGTAAAAATATTTATAACAGATGTAATATTTTCATACATGGTTAGTAGTAAAAGGTACGCCAAGCTGAAACTCAGTGATAATATTAATAAAACTAAACAATTTGCCCTAAATAGAAATCTGAATATATTTTTTCAACTTCTCATACTAAATAGATCACATGTCTGTAACTTGTATGTAATTACAAAATTATTTAAAGATTTCAAATTTCTCCCTTGAGAGAAGTTGTTCAATTTTATGAATACTATTACAGAGTTTGGGTTTGGCATACCATTTACGACTAACCCTGTATATGTATGCTGTTTGATGGTGTGATATTTAAAATATTTGAAATTACTGCAACATCTATTTTAAATAATAATTTATTTGATTTAACTCCATGATCAAGCATAATAACAAACATTAGCTTTTTGTAAATATAAGAAACGATTAGTACTTACCCATTTTAACATAAAACAGATATAACAAATCAAACAACATGCGACTTGCAACCCCTGAAGACAAACGCGACGATGGACAAATTTACCAACACAGGATTATAAAAACAGAGCGATCCATTTTCTGAGAAAAATATAAATATAAACATCTATTAAAGTGTAAAATTGATGTGATTAGTGCGGGACAATATTTATAATGTACATATTGTGCTGTACAAACATGTGTACAAGTGTAAAAGAATAAAGAGACAGAGAAAATAGACATCACTATAGAAGTCCAAACATTTAAAAAGGTGGTTACCCCATCAATGTTATATTTAGTTCCAGGGACAGCTTTATTGGGCTGATTTGTTGGCTTCTTAACAACAGTTTTCTTGAGTTGTGGCTTTTCAAATTTGCCACCTTGTACCATCAGAGGGGCCTAGACAAGTAATCAAAGCATTTAATGAAAATAAAGGAAGCAAATAAATTAAAATGCAGATGTCACTACTGCGTTAGTTTACTGGTGCGCTAAAAAAAGAAAAAAAGAAAAATGTGAGTTTATAATAAAAACACTATCTAATCAAAAAAGATTAGATTATGCAGATGAAATTATTAGTCCGACATATTTTTAGTTATCTCAGTAACTACATTATACTGCGATGAATAATAGGCAATCAAATTTATCGGCTTTTTTATCTTTCTACCTCATCTTCATCCCCTTTCTTGACCACTGCGGGCTTTTTGACTTTAAGTTGCGCGGCTTCTGATCCCTCCTATGAAATCAGTCAATATTAATGATTAACCAATTTCTTTAAATTAACTTTAAAACTCTTTAAGTTATTAAAAAATATATAGGTAAATAAACTGAGATAATTAAAAATAAATAAGTCAGTACCGTTGGTTTTTTCTTGGCAGGTGTCTTTTGTGTGAGGGATGCTTCTTCGGGAGCAGTAGTGCTGGTCTTAGTGCGTGGCTTAGTAAGGTTGACAGCCTCCTCAGTGTCCACATCCTAAGCCCATGGCCATACACAACATACATGATAAACATTGAAATAAAAAAAAAGAAATAAGTGCTAAGGTCACTGTGCATTCTGTGCCTTCGAGCAAAAGAAAATAAAACATTATACTAGTGCTTTTGTGAAATGCATCTAAAAATGTTTTTGTCTAAATTGTGTTGTTTGTACAATTTTGTGCAATTTTTCTTATATTTTGAATTATTTTATTTCGCGATTCAAATACCTTAACAAGAAATAGTCTTCTCAAGACTGGTGGAGTCGATAATGGTAGGGTATTATTGCCATCAAGTATCATTTCTAGCTGTGGATGATTTTGTGTAATAATTACTGCAGTTTTTGATAAATAGCATCACCTATGTTTACTTTAAAAAAAAAAACTATAAATTTTTACTTTATGTAGTATTTTAGAAAATCGTACCTTATTTTTGTCTTTTGGCGTAGGCCTTTTAAGAGTTTTTTCCTCGACAATTTCGGGCTTTTTGATATTGAGTTTTGCTTCAGCTTCACCTTCCTAAAGTTTTTATTATTATAAATTAGAAAACTGGCAAAATATGTAATTTCTAAAGCTCACAATACGTGTTTTTTTAAATACAAACCGTTGGTTTAATTTCAGCCGGTGTTTTGTGTGTAAGTGAAACATCTTCAGGTTCTTGTCCTGGTTTGACTGGAGCCTTTGGTTTAGACAGACTAACATTTTCGTCGACGTCCATGGGCTATGAAAAATGTATACCAGATGTAATCATTCAAATTGCTCTGTATGTACGTAATAGTATATGTATTAGTGAATTAATATTAATACCTCTGGTTTGTCTTTGTCTTTGATAGATCGACGTTTAGCCGTAGCTGTGGCCGAAGGTACATCTTCGTCAGGTTTACTATCATCCTAATAAAATATTATTTTTGCTTTATTATCTGTATAAAATTGTGAATACATATGTGCACGTGTTTTAAGCAAGTGAAATGTTAGCTGATGTGTCTACCTTTTTCCTTTTCTCAGTGGGTGTCGGTGTGATTTTCTCGTATTTTTCGAGAACAGGCCTCTCGTAATCATCGATAAATTCCTCGTCGACGACCTTTAACATAAAGTATATAAAGATAGAGAAAACTGTAGACTAAGGAAGTCGAATACTTTTGTGACTAGTGTTGATTACGATTTTTTTTATTATTATTATAATATACGTTTACACAGATATTACAATATATAAAGTACAGAAATTGTATTTGATAAATAAAGTATGATTAATTAATAATTTGATTAGCCGATCTTCTTGACGCCAATGCTGAAAATTTATTTTCGTAATAAAAGCGAAGCATTAATTACAGCATTTGTTAAGCAAACAGTGGAAGTAATAACTTACTGTGACCTTTTTGGAGAATTTAAAATCAATAGAGTGTTGCTGCAGCAGTGATTTTAGTGCGATAGTGTATGAAAAATGAAGCTAAAATCCGGGAGCTTGAGAATAGTATTTTAGAAAGTTGTGAAAATAAAATTTAAAATCATGTACCGTTTCACACAGTGTATTATGTATTCGTATTAGTGTAATAAATGCAAGTGTATTATTTGTACCTCTTTCTCTTTGGAAATTGGTTTCTTTTTAACCTCCGGTTCGTCTTTTTTAGTTGGTCTCGCCTTTGATTTTTCATCTGGTGTTTTTTCTTCCTCCTATTTTGCGATAACAATTGTTACAACGTTTTGTAATTTATTATAGGTATGTAATAATGAAATATATTTTTGTAATAGATACTTTATTATACTTATCGACTTTCAAATATAAAATTTTAATGAAAATTAATTTATTAAAGAATACCTTATCTTTTGCAACTGGTCGTTTTCGCAGTGTTGGTGTTTCTGGTTCAGGTTCCTTTTCTTTAGGCCTTATTTTACCTTTCATAATATCAGTATCATCCTACAGAAATAAATAAATCTTTTATATATATGAAAGTCTAATATATTTTAGAAATTTACGACATGTGTTATTTATCTTTTGTATTTTACCGAAATATTTGAACCTTGAATTATTTATAAACTTATTACCTGCGTGTCACTAGGACGCCGTTTGTCTTTCGGTGTTGGTGTAATTTTTTCATATTTTTCAAGTTCAGGACGTTCGTAATCATCAATAAATTCAGGCGCGTCCTATAATGCATTTTAAATACGTATATTTATATATTTTTACATTTACATAGTTTATATATTATTAATACGGGTATAAACGCATACCTCAACTCCGTTTTGTTTTTTCGTTCTGTCTGTAGGCGTAGGTGTTATTTTGTCGTATTTTTCGAGTTCAGGTCTTTCGTAATCATCTACGAATTCTGATTCTTCCGGCTAAATAATATTTTCAAAATGTATATAATTAAAAAATGTAAAAACGCAGTATAATAAAATACAATATATATCTATATATCAAAGAGCTATAATATTACATAAATTACCTTTTTAACCGCGTTTTTAGGTTTAGCAACCTGTGGTTGTTCCGTTACCGTCTCTTCGGTAGGTTTAGTAGGTGCCTTAGCGAGTTTTACTTTAGATATTTCATCGACTGGCTCTTCTGGTTTAGGTAATCCTTTTTTAATACTTGGTCGTTTTGGTTCACTCCTTTTCTTCAACCTATGCCATGAAATTTTATATAAAACCTACTGCAGTAATTAATATACTTAGATATGTATAAAATATATCTCTATAACTTTTTTAATTAAACTAAACTGTATATAGAAATAACTCCATTAAAATAAATTAAGAAATTCAAATATTTTATATACCTTTTCAATAGGTTTCTCTATTTTTGGTTTTTTCTCCGGAGCAGGTTCAGCAACAGATGGTTCTTCTTCGCTGTCTTGCTCACTTTTAACACTTTCCGAAACAGACGCTCGTTTTGGCTAAGTAAATCGATAAAAACATTTTTTAATCCTATTCAATACAACGTACTGATGTTTTAATTTGTAAAAGTGTAATAATGTGATGTGGTGTGGTTACCTTCTGTGTGTCCCTTGGTTTTTTATCAAGAGGCGTTGGTGTAATTCTTTCGTACTTCTCCAAAACTGGTCTCTCGTAATCGTCGACAAACTCGATTTCGTCCTAAGTTTAAAATAATTTTAGCACATCAAATTGTTAACACAACACTCACAACAAAAATATGTTATCACATTGTATCAGGTACTATAAAGACCAAGTCAGATCTACAACGCACACGTAGAACTTGACAATTTTTTTTATAATTTACAATAACAACTAAAACATTCAAAATAAAGTAATCTTGTAAATGTTCTTTAATATTACAAGATTTATGTTTTAGGAAAATTTCCAATTATCTTTGACATAAATTTATTTATACCAAAGATTTATTATAACAATATTTAAGAAATTTAGAGACTATTAAACTAAAATTTTAATATTCATTAGAAATTTCCCTAAATAAGTATTTTTCACGTATATGAGTATTTTACAAGTTAATGAAACCTATTACTACAATAAACTATGTTAAATTAATTTTCTTTTGATATTGACTGAAATAAGCCTTTTGTACATTGCTTTTTTGAAAATGAAAAAAATCTCACTTACCTCGTCTTTCTTTGATACGACCTTCTTTTTAACGACTTTCTTTTTCTCTTCTGTTTTTTCAGTCTTCTTAGCTTCTTTCTTTTCTTCAGCCGGTTGTTCTTTAGGCTTGACCGGTTTGAGTTTTGGAATGCCTTCAACTTTAGCTTCTTCTGGTTCAGTTTTCTTTTTCTCAAATTTTTCTAGAAGTGCTTTCTTTTCTTCTTCAGTTTTGGCGGTTTTCTTTTCAAGTACTTTTTTAGTTTCTTCAATTTCTTGTTCCGCCTTCTTGATTTCTTCTTTTTTAACGACCTTTTTAGCTTCTACCTTAGCTTCAGTCTTCTTTGCTTCAATTTCAATCTCATTTTTCTGTTCTTCGATCTTAACTTCTTCCTTTTTCGATATTTTTTTGGCAGCCAGTTTCTTTTCTTCCTCCTAAAATATTTCTCATCCATTTTAGTTGCAATATAATACATTAATAAATATATATTATTTGATTAAAAAACTGTTTTATAACTTACCTTTTTCTTTTCTTCAATGTGGTTTTCTTCAATAACAGATTTTTCTTCTACAATGGACATTTCTTCCTCGGATTCCTCAATAAGAGTCTTTTCTTCCTCCTCCTCTTCCTCTTTTTTCTTTTTCTGAAAATTTGTAATTTTTAATTTGTTTTTATAATGTATTTTCAAATTAACTTTACAGCTAAGTATTTGCTTAATTACTTTAACTTCGAAAATGAAATGGTCATGATCTGACCAATTCTTAAAACTTTGTGTCGATATCATTGCCTCACTTACTAACTAGTGATAGAAATCATCAATAAAACTGAATAAACCGAATGAATCGTATATGAATAAAAGTGATAGTGATAGGATTGCTCAAAGTCACGTTGAATTGTATTATGCACGCTAAAATATGGATAATTTTAAACATTTATTTATTCATAGTTTCATATTTTTCATAACAGTTATACTTATCGCATGAGCAATAGTTCATAAATGTCAATGAAGAAGTAAATAAAGCACTATTAAGCATATTTTTTTATTTATTTAAAATTCACCCATACCGTACATTTTTATATTTTATTTTTATTTTAAAAACATTATAATGAAACTGCATTTAAATAATTTGGTTATTAACTATAAATAAAGATAAAAATTTATTTTACTTTATATTATCTCTAATTATATTTATTGTTGTATTTCCAAGTACAATAAAGAATATATATATAAAATGAAAACAAAAAACGTACCTTTTCTTCCACTAATGTCAAATCGGCGCTTGATTCATCTTCACCAAATTCGTTTTTGATGACCACTCTGTAGTTAGCAACGTATTTGGCTGATACTTTTCTGATGATAATACGAGCATTGGTGCCATCAAATGACGTATTCACCTCAGATGAATCGCGTATGACAGTCGAGTTTTTATACCAAGTGCATCTACACGACTGGTCCGATGTTTTGAGAACTGCAACGAATTCTGCTTCTTCGTTTTCTTTCTTTGCCTATAAGAAATAATAAATAGTATTTAAATACAAATATTAACTTTTTCAGGGAAATTATATTGCACATGCCGGTATGGTGGAATGTAGAATAATGGTCTTCTAAAAATATTTTTATATAATGTATTACTGTACGCCAATGTACAATAAATGATTTGAATTTGAATTATCTAAACCAATCTATCCGAATCTTAATCTTCGCAGACATTGTAAACATTTGAATTTATAGATAAAAATAGAAGTCTTGATTTTTTAATTTTCAGTCTATTTGTCAAAATATTTAAAACACGATATCAACCTATATTATATATCAAACGTTGCTAGTTTATAGATTTTTTTTTCAAATTATGGTACTTTATATTATAATATTCTAAAATCTTAAAAAAAAATATTGCTAATTGGTATTTATAACAAAATCATTATACTTACTAGACTTCTGAAATGCTTTATAATCTGGGGTTTATCGCCTTTTTCTTCTGGTATGTCTGTAATTTCAACTTGTTGAGACGTAGCCTCACCCTTTTCGTTCTTGGCGACGAGTTTATATGAGCCTTTGTCATGTTGGGAAACATTTGAAATCTCTAATTTTACGGTAAATTCACCCTGAAATTTAATAAATAAAGTATCTAATTTAATAATCACATTATTACATAGTTTCAGAGCAGTAACAATAAAAATAAAGAAAAAAGGTAATTATGAACATAATAAATGGTGAAGGATATATGTGTTACCTATATTATTATTGTTATCAATTTATGTTATGTTATGCATTAAATAATTTTTAAACTAAAGTAATGAAATTGATCTGATAAAATCATTTGGCTGTATATCTATTAAAATATTGTTTATATAATTTAGTTTCAGTACAAAAACAAGAAGAATTGTTACATGTATTTAAGTTAGCACTTTACATTTTTGTTTGGTTCCCTAAGTATTATAAAAAATACGTTATCATTTAGGACTAGATAAATGAACGTTAAAACAATTAAGAATTTATAAAGAAATCATACCTCTCTCAGAGGCTCGATGAGAACAGTATGCCTAGAGTCCTCCTTGACAGCGGATGCTTCTTTGAACCATGTGCACGATGGTGCAAATTTACTTAATACTTTACATTCAACAATAACAGTCTTCTTTTTAACTATCTTAATGATCTTTGGCTTTTCTTTGATAACTGGAATGACTGTAATCAAACGTAATATTAATATTATATTTTAAATAATAACAAAAAAAAAATCAAGGAAAATAAATAAATAAAATTTAAATGTCTTACTTTCAATATTGAGCGTAAGATTTGCGTTAAGTTCACCAAGTTCATTTTTAATATTGCATTTATACAATCCGGAGTCTTCGATACCGGGATCGATGAGTTCTAGTACGATTGTGTAAATATCTTCCTTAATCTCGACCCTGGTTTTGATTTTTGACGAGTCCCTGATTTCTTTGCCTTCGTGGTACCACACGATCGTCGGTTTCGGACTAGCTTTAACTTTACATCCCATTATTACTAATTTACCATTATCTTTGGACTGAATTGTAGGCTTTTCAACAAATGTCGGTCCTTCTCCTTCTGGTTCGGGTTCAGCCTCAATATTAAGATTCAAATTAGCATTACTTTCACCATATTCATTCTTGACATGACAGCGGTAAGAGCCACCATCCGCTGCTGTCGGGTTTGACAAAAGTAGTACCAATTCGTAAATATCTTCTCCCATTTCATTTGATTTGATTTCAATTTTACTGCTAGCCTTGATGATCGTTGTGCCTCTGTACCACGTAACTTCAGCCGCCGGCTTGGCTTTGCAGACACACCGCATCGTAATGAGTGTGCCATCTTCATTGGGAATGATTCGGGGTTTCTCCACGAATGATGGTGCGAAACCGTTCTCGTCATCCCCACCTAGAGGAAATAGATTTTGTAACAAAAATAAAACAAACACTATCTACAATAAAAAGCTTCATGCAGCTCGAAAGCTCAAAGCTTTACATGCTTGTGCTACTGTATGCGTACCTATACATATTTTATAAAATAAAATCCATGTTTACCTTGGAAATTGAGAGCAATATTTGCATTGCTCTCGCCAAACAAGTTGAAGGCGTTACATCTATAATTTCCACCATCTTCTCTGGTGGGACTTAAAATTTCTAAAGTCAAATTAAAACTATCTTTCCCCATAGCTTTCCTAGACATCTTCATTTTAGCTCCATCTTTAATTTCTTTATCACCATGGAACCATGTGATATCTGGTAAGGGGTACGCTTCTAATACGCATTCCATAATTAAAATATCCCCTTCCTGTCTAATAGTAGGTTTCTTAGGAAACCTTGGTGCTTTACCGTCGGGGATTCTGTTTAAAAAATAAAACTTAAATAATAATCCTACTTTTTAGTTATACTACTAAATAAATAAGATATCGGTTGTCTTACTTTGGTTTATCTCCGCCTTCGAAGTTTAGGTTTATTTTTGCTACGCCTTCACCATGTTTGTTTTTTGCCAAAGCCCTATATTCTCCTCTATCAGAATTCTCAACGCCTAAGATTTCGAGTCGCGCCATGTGATATAATGTTTGGTCCTCTTCTAACGTTATTTTATATCGACTACTTTCTTTTATCATCTTTTTACCATGGTACCTGCATTGTTGGTTATAGATATTTGAGTATATAGACAGTTTAATCCTAAACGATATGAATTAATTTTATTGTTCTTACCATGTAATGGTTGGTTTCGGTTTGCCAACACATCGACATTCGAATGTAATTTTAGTACCATCTTCCGACTGCCTGATTACTGGTCTCTCCGTAAATGTCGGTTTGATAAAGTCTTCAGGCACGGGCGCTTCGTCGCCTATGTTAAATTATTTTATATTATCGCCAATTATACTTGTGTCATTAAATATAAATTTTGCAGCTGTTTTTTATTCATAGAACCTCAAAATTTAAGATGTTTTCTTTTTAATGGTGTGTGATTATTTATTATTCTCAAATAAAAATTTTAAAGTAGAGTTAATCGAGAAATGTATAAGAAAATAGATAGATAACCTAATAATAATAAGTACATATAAATATATTATATAAATATTAAATTTTGATTATACGTGTAGTTTCCTCTACGCCCATTCAAACAAACAGTACGCATTACAGTTGCCTTTGTTAACAATTGTGTTATGTGCACTGGCTGAAGCATATAATTTGCAAAAAGTAATCTAACTACAAAAAAAAACCTGAACAAGTAAATATTAATGAAAGCGTCATTGCAAAAGAAATTACATGGATGATAGAGAATTATAAAAAAGGATCGTGCATGTGGATAATGTTTAATGTGATGCATTTTATTAAATTTTAAATTGCGACTGTTAAGTGTTATTTGTATATACCTAATATTAGAGCCTATCAACGATAACTATACTTCATTAGAAATTAAGAAAACATCTTAAATTAAAATAGGACACAAGAAACGCTGTCGCAACATTTACGCAAATCTTAAGTGTATTATGTAGTAGAGTATTTGATAATTTGAAAAAATTAGTTGATGATTATAACAAAACAAGCTTTGCTGCAAAATCTACGTATAAAATGAAGGATAAATTACACTTATAATAGATAATGGATTAGATTCACACAAAATAGCTTTACCAATGTTAACAAAAATTTAAAGCGTACTCATTTAAAACGTAACTAAAATACATTATGTACTATAATGAGCTATGTATTAACTAGTTGAAATATATCTTGAAAATATATCAAATGATGATTTCAAGGGGAATAAATAAAAATGATTCTGTTTCATTTAAAAATACTTTTCAAAGAAAAATGAAGATGATTATATTAAAATGGAGGAACACAAATAAATTATACATACTGTCGAAGTTTAAGCTGATTGTGGCGTTACTTTCGCCGAGTTCGTTCTTGGCTGTAACTCGATATTTTCCAGCATCCTCCACGGTAACATTGTTGATCTCCAATGAGGCATAGTATGATTTTCCGTCTTTATTCACTGTTAACTGTATCAAATTAAAAAAAAATAATTAATAACGTTTGAAGGTATTTAGTGACACTTTATACAAATTTAAAAAAGTCGACAAACCAAGAAAGTAAACTAAACAGTCAATTATTTATTTTGACTTTGATAATGTGTACAAAAGGCAAAACCAGGAAGGTATGAAATTTTCAAGAATAATTTGATAAAGATTTATTTATCATTATTCAGATGTGAATATAATAAAGAATTGTACTGTAATAATGTAAAATATATTCATTCTTTTAATATGCCCAATAACTTTAAAAATAATTACTATTTTATTTATTCTTACATTATGATCATTTTATGAAAATTGGAAAGATCTATTATTTAGTTGATTATTTGAGTGCATTAGAACATACTGGTAAATATTTTTCAAAAATTCTAAATTTTACTAAATGATTCCTTGGTGTTCTATCATCACCAGTAAAAATCTCAGTAATTCAATAATTGTTTAATAATTAAGTAGGGCATTTAATATTATAAAAATTCAGACAACGAAGATATTTGAAAAGTAATAATATTACTTCTTATGACACTGTGTTAGGTTGACTGGAATAAATCTCTTTTAGAGATAAGTTCATCTTTGCTTACATTGTTTCTAATTGTTATTATCATGTATGTTTTAGTGCAACAAAGAATATTAATAAATACTCAATTGGTTCTTTCATTCCTTAAATATTATAATTATCAAATATAAAAATTATTTATAAATACAAAAAAAAAAAAACAAATCTATTGTGTTCATAGATTGTAGTCGAAATTAATAAGTACATTCAGTACAAAAGGTCATCGTGCGAGAATGTAGACACCTGGTCGTTCTCTTCGCCAACTAGATCGGGGTCAAGGTCATTTCTAAATACTTTTAAAACTGGAGCATCTAGAATAGTGTGTATTATTTTAGCATTCACACCTTCGCCATTCGAATCTAATTGTGTACTGTTTCCTATGTCATTTTCTATGTCAAATGTGTTATTATTTTCTATTAATATCAGTTTACGTATTTGTTTTAAAACATTTGGCATCTCATTTTTGGCATCTCAATACTGTTACTTTTTCTTTGCTTGTTTGTTAATGTATCTAGTTTAATTGCTGCTTCTATAACTTTAATTCTCTTTTTCACATCTTTTGTGTGTATTTTACGGAACTTTTCATATATGTTTTTTGATCGATAAATTAAATGATTAACACTAACTACCACATAGTCATTAATTGTTTTGAGTCGAGCAATCAAGCATTGAAAGGAAACTTTACCTTAATTGTATCAAACGACAGTGTTGATTTCAGTATTGTCAATGTTTGCTAGTTTATTTAGATTAAAATTTTTACTGAATTAGTAGAATCTCCTCCTAACCAGTTTTCTAAAGTTTTTTATACACTTTTATTTCTATTAACTATACAATATGCAATATCCTATGTTGTAATATACTCAAACTGTTCGCTGCTACAAAATATCGAATGGCGTATATTTTGTCAACCCTTTTATTGTGCATTTCAAATGAAAAAGATTGAATAACAGGTGATACTTACTAATGCTATGTTAATGTGAAAGTGAGTCTGTTTATTTGTTACCTGTTGGAACCTTAACGGCTTAATCGATCACTATGAAATTTGGTATACAGTTTGGTATGGTACTGTAAGTTGAAAAGGGATATGTACTACTTTTATTCTAACCAATGATATCCTAGTGAATGAAGTCGCGGGTAAAAAGTAGTGATAAAATAAATTATATAATTTTTAAATGATTATATCCATAAATTGGATTCTATAATGTAATCCTTTACAAAGACTTATTTTTAAAAAATTGTATTTATTTTATATTAGAATATACCTTATGCCTGGGACCGGGTTTCACTTCCACAGTGTTGTGGAACCAGGAGACGCTAGGGACCGGTTCAGCCTCGATGCGGCACTCGAATATAAGCCGCTTGCCATCGTCTTCCTGCCTGATGGCCGGCTTGCGCGCGAATGTAGGCGCTTTACCGTCCACTTGTCTGTACACAATATGGATAATTTTTAAAAACTTATACTAATATTATAAAGAGGAAAGTTCTACTTGTATACTTGTGACGAATAAACTCAAAAACTTTTGATTCGATTTTAAAAATTCTTTCAACTATAGTAAACTTTTTAATTACTAAAAAAGGTGTCTCATATACATTCGCCACAGGATTTTATAATCTTACTGTGATTGTCGCTTCCGACAATTGTTTCTTCATCGCATCTCGCAAGACTAGACGCATAACGCCTTATGCCCCCTGATGAAGACTTCCGGATGAAGTTGCAACAATTGTCGGAAACGACAAACACAGTAAGTTTATAAAATTCTCATTGAATATTGTTAAAAAATTAACGAAAGATTTAAAAATACCGCTAAAGAAGGTGCTAACATTTCAATTAGAAAATTTAAAATGTAAATAGAAGTTTTTTCTTCGACTTAATTAATAATATGTATAGTTTATTACTGTTAAATATTGAAGATTAAAATAGTTGAAGATATTTTGCTACACATTAAATTAGAGAATAAAATAAAGGAATTAATGTAATAAAACAACACTCACTTCTGTTTTTCTTCGTCAGCGGCTGAAAAAGGAAAAGAGAAAAGATTATTAGCAAAAATTTATTTAAACACTACCCCCTTATTCAAAAAGCCTATTAGAAACCTATTTTAGATATCGAACTGCTTTGTCTCTTTCTTTTTGCTAAATTCTCAGTTTGAATGTAAGTAACAAAACAGGTTTGTAGAAGGTTTTAGATTTTATGAATCTGGGGTTATATAACTAAAAATATAGACAAAGTAAAACTTATCAAATTTTAGCGAGTTTTAATAATATTATTATTTGTCCTCTATTCAATAATTCACTGCCTACTTATTTCTCGGTTTGCCCAATGGCTGACTAGTAGAGAACACCGTCCGGTATTAAGTTCCTCAATGTACATAGAATTTCACTGTGCATTAAAGTTTAAATAAATAAAAATAAATAAATTTGTAAGGCTTGTCAGTAAGTATGTATGTATCACTCCTAGATATATTTACTCTAATAGAACACTAGTATAAAGAATCGCTTGTATCCAGTGGTACAAATGCAAAAATAGTTTCAACAAGCTATTTTAGATTCAACGATCTAGAACATAATCTTAACAAATTTTGTGTGTTTACAATTTGAATAACATCGACCAGACGTAAACACTGAGAATCGGTGATAACTTCAGAAATAAATATATATTAGTAGCGTGAAATAAACTGACCTTCTTTGATTATTTTTCTTCTACTTGGCAATAATAATAATCCATCTGTTATTTGTTTAAGTCTTTATTTTTTTACATAGCGCCATCTAGTGCCAATACAAACTAAGCTTGTTTGATTTGGCACATATTTACATAGGTATTAGATAACTGATAACAAATCATTAATTGTATATTTTTTTACCTAAATATTGCCGCGTGGTCCCTGCATAGAATGGCCAACAAAATATGGTAAAATGAATCCTTTCATACAGGACAGGCTGAACTTAGTATGGGAATCAATATTAAACTTTATGCTTATATATAATTAGATAATAAATACATTTTTGCATTTTACATTTAAGACAGTTATAAATATTGTGGACAAGGGTGGGATTATCTCTGAATGAGATCTTTTCATCGCCGTATGGTCCCGCCATAGAATAGGCTACTCTTTTCTTTCCCATGAATGTTGTAAGAGGTGACTAAGAGAACTTAATGGTCGAGGGACGGGCAACAACGTCCTTCTTAAAATACCACTAAAGCTTAATTGCGGTTGTCAACACGTCGGCCAAGCGTGACAACTATTTGTAAAACCCCCCAACAGGGGTAGATGTATCAAATAAAGAATTTTTAATAAATTATGGTTATAAGGTAATACATAAACATAAAAAAAATTACAACTAAATTGAGCACCTACTTTTTTTAACTTGGTTGAAATCCTCTTACAAAACTATTTGAACTATTAGTGTTTTGATTCTTTGATTCAAATTTGGAATTTAGTAAAAAAAATGATAGCTGAAATAGGTTTACGAGATTTTTTTTTATAAATAAAAGAGCACATATGTGTATAGTAAATCTTTTTTTACATTTGTAATATTAGTAACAAATTAATTAAAACAGTAATAAATCACTTAAATTTAATTAAATTTATTTCGCAAATGTAAATATATATTAGTAACATACATAATTACAGAGATAACGGCTCTGCTGCATTTAAATTTTTAAACAATTGTAATGTAGGCATTGCTACGAGGCTACGTCGTAGCTGCGTAGCAGAACCACGGATTGAAAACCACTTAATCGTCTAATAAAAACAGAAGAATTTACTATGGAAAATTTTGCTATATTTCAATACTTAACATTTTTATAAGTCACTAGCTATGTATATACCATGACTTTGGCGACTTGGAACTCATTTTAACAACGAGGGATAAATTTACATAAACTTGATATTCATATGATTTTAGTTAGGTAATAATAACTAATTGAATTTAAATTAAATATGATATAGTCCTAAATTAACGCATAGGATACTTTATAAGAAACACGAGTATTAAGCCACAGGATATAAGTAATTATAACTATAAAATTAAATTAAACTGAAACTTGAAATTGCCGAGTGGTCCCGGCATAGAATAGGCCACCCCTTCCTTCCACGTGGGTGTCGTAATAATCGACTAAGGAAACTTAATGATCGAGTTACGAGCAATAGCATTCCTCTTAAAACGTCAACAAAAGCTTAACTGCGGTTGCCAACCCGCCTGCCAAGAGTGGCAACTACTGACAAAACCCCTCTTACGGGAGAACCCTACGTTTAGTAGTGGACAGTTAACAGCTAACATGAATGAATATAAATTACATAATATTTTATATATAACCCTGACATAGTAAAATTAATCAATATATTACAGAGACCTAGACCAGTCTAACAATGTGTAACATACATAATAAGTGAGAAACTGAAAAATATATTTTGTCACTATGTTTACAACGTGGCGATTTCGTCAGACAATTGTCATCAGGTAATATTTAGCGAAGCACTTTGCATCTATACTGCCAACACGAATACGCGCGTGTCTCTCGAGTTTTGGCTCTCAATTGAACGCGTGGGTTACTCTAGCACTACATTTTTTGTATTTATTCTTGTCTATGACTAATACTGTTATTTGTAAAGGTATTTTTATTGGCACTGTATTGGATTACTGGTGTGACAAACTTTTAGTATCGTTTACCAATGTTTCAGATAGTTTATTGATCTACATGAAAATTATTTGGACGATGGCCATGAAAATATTATTCTTTCATATGGCTATTAACTATTCCACAATTTTTATGATACACAGATTTACAAACAAGCCACCTATCTAATGGAAAGTGGTAACTAATGCCTATTAGAGGTGGGTATTATTGACAATGTCTATACTGATCCAATAACGAATATGTTAAAAGTTTGTTATCCAAAAAATAATATTGGATAACAGAATTTTAACATATTCGTAAATAGATATCCGATCGATGTGGGCGATATCAAAATGGAGGATGACCTTTTTTCCACTATTAATGCTCAGAGGAACCCAATATATATGTCGGATCGATATCCATATTACCCATGCCTATTGCCTATAGACAGCTCTATAAATATCACAGAAAACACTGGCTTATGATACACTTATTTATTTCTAAATAACTCACTACACTTATTACACTATCCCAAAATATGTAGTGAGCCATAGGTTTATTTTACAAATTTAAAAATTTTAAACAACATTTAAAAATATTTCTATTTTGTCATTAAATATATCAATATCTGGCTGCTGAGCAATCAGAGAATTGAGCAGAGAAATAGCCTGATAAGTGGGAGAAAACTGAGCAGTACAGGTGCGAACCGGAGGTGCCGATAGTAATCGACAAACACGCAATCCCGTGCAGCGTTGGGGTGCGTACAAAGCATGCGTACATTGCTATACTTGATAACTATAGTATTACGTATCTGTATCCTGTAATTTCACTACTATATTTCTTCCCTTCTGACATAAGTGATATCACAACAATAATCCTTGTACTGTACCAATATTATTATGGTAATAAATATTTTTCATTTTCATTTTTTATCTTCTACCTTTCAAATCCAAACACAAATATGTGAACATAGCTGTTTCACAACATAAATACGAATAGGACAGAAGTATAAAAGACTTTCTTATAAAGTCGACTTCTAGTTATGCACAATTGAATGCGTACTAAATTAAATGGGTTAAAAACTAAGATCTAAAAGATCTAAAAGGTAGCAAGGTAAAAATTATTTTCATTACAAATTACTACTAAATAGATATATAATTAAAGTTGACTTTTCTATAATATTTTGACTTTAATATTGTGGGCAGTTACTTCGCCTTGCACATGCCAATTATTTGCTAAAAGACAAATAGATAAAAATTAATTCTCATTCGGAGATAATCCCACTCTTGCTCATAATATTTATAACTGTCTTAAATGTAAAATGTATTTAATATCAAAGTATGTCTGTCCTGTAGGAAACAGGATTAGTTTTACAATATACATTCTAGTAGTACAGATAACTGTTTATACATGTTTTATAGTTTATATAAAGTAGTTATTTTTACAATAAAATTGCATGACTAATAAATTAATTAGGATTTATGCAAGCTGTAGGACGTGGTGAGTATTATATAGTGCGTATGTGTGTGTGTGTGTGTGTGCGCACGTACGAGCGTGCGTGCGTGCGTGCGTGGTGCGTGTGAGCGCGCGCGTGCGCGTTTGTGTGTGTATGTTTGTACAGGATTTTTATTTATGTAATATCTTACCTATGTAATTTACAAATGCAATAAAGAGTATATATAAAACTCGATACTCCATATTGGTGATACGATCTAGGGTTTAGCGAAGACTGATCGATTGATACTCACGGCTAAAGTTAAGGTTAATGGAGGCGGCCACCTCGCCCATCTTGTTTTTAGCCTTGACTTTGTAGAGCCCCGCATCCGTCTCGATCACGTCATCCAGCTCGAGCACCACCAGAAATTTGTTATTGGCGATGCTCTGGATCCTGGGGAAGCAGGGTTTTAGTGTCATTACGTTGTTAGCCATACAATAAAGGGTAAAAAGTATTCCACGTTTAATAAAATTATTTAATAAGGAAATCCAGAACACAAACGTATCGCAAAAAAAAAAAAAAAATTAAAAACCAATACGCCGTTTAGAAGAAGTGGTCACCTGAGCGTATATAACAATATTATAAATCAGTTAACAATTGACGGAATTATGAAGTAACAAACATAAAAACAAATACAACTGAGAACCTCTTTCTTTATGAAATCGGTTGAAAAACATCCCAACGTTGTTAAAAAAAATATTTATATTTTATTTATGTTTGTTCAAATGAATTAGTAGAAATAGAGGAATTGGAAGTAATAGCAAATCCACATAATAATTACAATAATGCTATGGTACTAGTACTTATATTACAATAAATAAGAAAGTTTGTAAAATTATTTGGAAATTTACTACGTAGTCTTGAGATATCATGAGAGCTAAACAGGTTGGAAGGAGTGAAAAGGGATTGTTAATAATGGAAATGAGCAATCCTGTTACTAGCAATGTAACCTACCAGGTCGACCTCCTCGTGGTTTCCCCTAAAAACCGTCATAATTGATTCATTGTTAAATGTTAGGCTTACTGGGCTACTTTATCTTCACTTATCATCCCTTACTAGTTCCGCCAGTGTTACTAATAGCACAGGTTACCATTCCATCAATAAAATAAAAAAGAAAGAATATCAAAGAAACTTTCAAAAAAAATTTTACATGTACATTTATAGATATAATTTGTAAATATCAAACTCAAATATTTCAGATTGATATTACTTACAGAGAAATACTACTTAAAATAATTCTACAAAATAACAATAAAGTAACAATAGTCGCTGCTACAAAAGTTAAATGCAGCTCTTGGTACATATAAAGTTACTCGTGCCCCATTACTTATTATTTGATTATGTTTCTTTTGTTTAATTTCGCTACTATTAGCACGAATGCTACTGTCAACACTCAAAAACTGCCTACCAATGTTATTACCAGAAGTCCTACAAACTTAAACAAATTCTACAGCCTTCCATATTAGCCATCAATTCCAACTGCCATTTCGTCCATCGTGTTAACACTCCGAGCAGTAATCTAATAATTTGTCTGAATATGCATTGTTTATAGTTGAAACACGTGTCGTAAAACATGCGTGGATGAAACGAAAGTCAGATATTGATGGCTAATATGGAAGGTTGGTAGGGAAGGGATTGTTAGTAATACGGAATACCAGTCCTAATATATCCTGTCAGATCAACCTCTACGTGGTCCTCCTTGAAAACCATCGTGCTGAATTGTAATCCAGGTTTATTCACCAGGATGGGCTAACTTACCTGCCTTTTCATTCTCACCTATCATCTCTCACTGGTGCCTCGCCAGCGTATACCATTAGCGCCGGAGGGGTTACCATTCCATATTATCCATTAAAAAAAATGTGGAAGGTTGTAGAGCTTTTGATAATAATAATAATTAATCTTCTAGTATTAGCAGTCGCATATATAATAATGGTAGCGGAATTAAACAAAATAATTCTAATCAAATAGCCAGCGATATGTAATTCTGCAAAATAACATCTATTTCAGTAAATTATTTACTATATATGTATACCCCATTCACACATCCCAAACTGATTCTTATACTCCGGCACTAAAACTTAAGAAAATTAACAATAAATTTGAATTCAGACTGTTACATCATGAATAACGTCACGAAGAGGTACATCAAATAAATATTTTCCAACTGAATGGTCAACAATACGCAACTAAACCAGAAAATTATATCCGCACTTCATCAAATTGTTTACGACTAGCGTTAAGTATTAAGGGATTAAATGCAGGCTTAACGCCCGCTTGTGACATTTTTATAGTTGGATCAGTTTCAAATCTATTATTAGGTACATTCAAGAAATTGTTTATCAGCTTCCCTTAAAACTGTAATTCTGATTTGTTATATTTATAATTATACTTATTGCTAAATTTGCCTAATGGTTGACTGGAAGAGAACACCGTCCAGTGTTAAGTTCGCCAAATGTACATAGAGAATTCCACTGCGCATTCAAGTTTGAATAAATAATCACATTGAATTTGTTTTAATTAATGAAATAAACATTATTAATCTTACTACTTGTGAGTTTGTTTATTTATTATCTCATAGAGCGTTAACGGATTAACCGATCACTATAAAATTTGGTAAATATGTACTACATGGGATTTAAAATACTTTTTATCCGGGTTAAAGAATATATTCCGGTCTCGCGCACAAATGTCACAGCTAAAAGCTAGTGTTTTTGTCAATGCGAAAAATGTGGACAAAAATGCGTTAAGGTGCATAATAACATTTTCCGATCAGTTTGTTATAATATAATATGAATCGATTTAAAGTTTTTGAACCAGTAACCGCCGCCTGTGCCAAATGTGCCGACTTCCAATGTTTGTCTCCAATAACTATACATCAAAGGAACAATATCGGAGCAAACAAATCGTAAAGTGAACCTCAAGGCAACGAGGACGTTCACCTTATGGTACGCACAGATGGGGGACAGTTGGACCACAAAAAAATCCATTCATGTTATGTATATTTACCTTATCTTTCCACGATTTTAAATTCGATGAGAGAACACTTTCAACGTAATGGATTGAATATATGGAAACGATCTATAAAATCCAGCAAAAATTGGAATTGCATGTATATTTTAGGTTTATAGGTATATATTTTATTTTATACCACAAAGGTAACACACAAGCATACAACCCGTCTGATGGTAAACGGCCACTGTAGCCTATGGACAGTCGTTGATACTGCTACCACCACCTATCGGGTATTTTTTTTCTTGTTGACGAATTATGTCTCAAGTTGTAGCAAACAGTACACTTGCACAGAATTTCATTAAACGTTCGTAATATCTAAAAATACTTTTTCATAAAAGGTAAAATTTTTTGAAGTTATGAATTTCATAATTATGCAGCTACAGGTATGCGTGACCAGTCAGTCTTCATAAACTGGATTGCTAAGTTTTTGTTTTTTTAATTGCTAACTTTTACTAAGTAATTTGACATTGTGAACAGCTGTCAATTTTGGAAGACCAAAAAATTGATAAGATCAATCGAGACAACAATGTATTATATTCGAGAAATGATGAAATTAACAAGATGTTGTTTAAATGTACAGTTTTCAGGTGGATGTATTTACGTTTTAAGTATTTGGGTCAGGAATGTGTCGGATCATGAGGCCAATATCACACGTCTGTTCGAATTTTATTAATAACTAACGATCCGGCCCGGTTTCGCACGGGTCGACAGAATTTTCGAAAATAATATATAGCTTATGTTACTCATTGATTATGAAAGAATTTTTCAAATCGATTGTGTAGTTTTTTGAGTTTATCCAATACAAACAAATATGCAAAAATCAAATATTTCCACTATAACTAATGTTATAAAGTGGGAAGATTTGATTATGAAAACGAAAAAGGAATTAAATAAGTAAATCAAAGTAAACGCAACCGACATCCAAAACAGATATAAAATGTATTACTATTTGTTTTTGATAAACCCTTTTATAAGATTTTCTCATATGCATAATTGGAAATTGACTTTTCGAAATTAGAGATTAAATGTTTTTCTTTGCACTCCACCATTATTGTCTTTACACCAAGTCTTTTGCGAAGTAGGCAGAGAGAACTGAGAGCTAAAGATTTCTATATTTGTATACATTTCTAACCTCGCGTGCAAAGGGGGAAAGGGATTGTTAGCAATGGAGTTTGAGAGCCCCATTGCTAGCAATATGCCCTATCAGATCGACCTCCACGTGGTTCCCTCTAGAAACCATCGTGAACAATTCTTGTTGAATTCGTCACGATGGGCTAACTGACCTGCTTCATCCTCACCTATCATCCTTCACTGTGATAGCGCGGGTGGGGTTACCATTCCATTATTACCCATAAAAAAAACCTCGCGTGCATTAATAATAAACGCGGGGCATCTGTGACTAATTTTAGAGATATTAAATACTTACTTGAACTTAGTCCTATTGTCTTCCTTGAGCAGTTCATCGCTGCGATACCAGCAGATCTCTGGCTTCGGAGCGGCCAGCAGCTGGCACTCGAAGACGAGCTTGTTGCCATCGTCCTCCTGGCGCAGCTGCGGCTTCTGTGTGAAGCTAGGGGCTAAGTCGTCGGTCACCCCCATAATGCTAGCTGTGGGTCATCACCGCGGCTGGAGTTATGCTGCGTTGGGGGGTGATACCTTCTACCTGGTAAAAGAAAAAACAAAACTATTATGGTAATATACTCTTTATAAAAAATGGACAATAGTTAGTCACGGCTAACCTATTGAACCCTCGAAATATGACCTCTACAGAAATGTTTGCTGATTTTCAATAAATGCAATTTCTGTCTAGTTTTGGTGAACATTTTATATTTCAAGTCTTCAGAAAAATTTAAATCCTCAAAATATAAATGAAAGCAATATATAAAATAATTTATATTTTGGGAACATCGTCTTTTCTGGGGACTCGAAGTTGAAAGAGTTCGCGTAATTTGAAAAATATTTAATTTTTTTAATTCGCATCTATGCAAAAATCACCCTTAAGAACTATGAAATTTAACCTCATCTCTATTAAGAATAGTAGCTAATTGTTAAATATTTTTCTTAAAAATCTAACGATTAGCAAGATTAGAGGATCCAATGGTTTCGAAACGAAGTTCTTTATTTGCATGCTGTGAATTCTAGTTTGACTTGATAACAAATAAAAAATCATAACAGTTTGAACATATGTCTCACATTTATAAAAACTTTTATTATTCTGTTATAGCAATAATATAGCGCGTAGAAGTGACCAATGATAATAGTTAGTTATTTAGTAGAATGAAGCAAATTAGACATTTATTTTAATTACAAACTTTCAAACAAGCAAACAGCCTATCTGATGGTAAACCGTCACTGTAGCCTATAGACGTCTGCAACACTAGGTGTGTCACATGCGCGTTTCCAGTCCTGAAGAAAACCTTAATATACCCTTTTTGAAGAACCTCATACCGTAGCCTCTAGGGAAAACCTCAGCAGGGATTTCATTCCACAGTCTGAGCGTTCGCGGGAGAACATTCCTTTGAAACCGCACTGTACGTGACCATTTAGGTTCAAACGTGTGAGGACGAATTCCCTGTCGATGGCGATAGACTAGCACGGGATCGTTTAATTGCAGCGAAAGCTAAGATGTTTTTCATCTTTACGTTTTTTGCCCTCGAAATCCAAGTTTTCACTATTAGCTTAATAAGAATTTTATTGCATGTATGCAGTGCAGAAATACTGAAAAATGTTTAATTACTTTTAAAATTTGGTATATTTTCGTCGTTAGCTAATATTCCGAATACGAAAAGAATTTTAGTGAGACCATGGTGATTATTGTTGGATTAAAAAAACACATGGACAGATAGATACATAGAAAAAAGTAAGAGCAATGTAATTTATATTACAATTATCACTTTAACAATGTACTATCATAATCATCATATCAGCCGTTAACTGACCACTGTTGGACATAGGCTTCTCCCTATCGGGAGGTTTTACCCTTTCCTCGATCATTAAGTTCCTTTAGTCGCCTCTTGCTTGAATAACCCTCTCAATCTTTATTAATACTATACCTTAAATGCTTAATCAATTGTTATGAAATTTGGTACACATGTACTATATTGGATAAAGAATAATAGGCCACTCTTTATCCCTACTAGGCGAACGAAGTCACTAAAAAAGCTAGCTAAAAAGTAAATATTAAAATTAGTTCCAAGATATTCTGTTACATATGTATGTACATTCATATATATGGCCGTTTAATCCCGGCAAAGAAAAGGCCACCTCTTCCTTTCCCGTGAGTGTCGTAAGAGGCGACTAAAGGAACTCAATTCTAGACAGATGGGCAGCAGTGTCCCTTTTAAAACATCTCTAAAAGGCTAACTGCGGTTGCCAACTCGCTTACCAAGTGTGGCAACTACTGAAAAAGCTCTCCTTATAGGGAAAACTTATGTTCAACAGTAAAAAGTTAAGGGCTGAAACGATGAATGTATTAATGATATATATAAATATATAAATAAAAATATTATTTAATATAATCTTTGTTTACAATAAAATATAGAAAAATAAATAAATTTAAAATACGACTCTGTTTATGGTATTTGTTGCCAATTGTAATAAAAAACCGGTTGTAATAAACTAATTACATATAAATAATAAAGTTTTTGATTTTTTTAATCCATAATGGCATTATAAATGTGAAAGTAAGTTTGTTTGTTACCTTTTAGCGCCTTAACGCGCTCAACCAATCATAATGAAATTTAATACACACGAAGAACATACCAGAGTCCTATTTATTTCGGTCACTGAGCATATCTGGCATGAGGACGAAGATTAGAAGAATGTATATGGGTTTAGCGACTAGCTCAAAGTCGAATTAATTTAGTTAGCGATAAGGCTGCCTATTGTACTTTATTATATATATATATATATATATATATATATATATATATATATATATATATATATATATATATATATATATATATATATATATATATATTCATTTATCAAATTCACTCAACTCAGAATAGTCTGAAACTAGTAACAAAACTATCTCTGATTTACTGTGATGATGAAGCGTAAAATGATTGGGAAGCAATGAATGATTAGAATATATAAGAATATTTTTTTACACATATACATACGAATCTGTCATATCTGTCTCCCATTAAGGTAGGCAGAAACAAAAGAACGCCAAATACTTCGATTTAAAGTCTAATATATATATTTTTTATTTTAATTGTTATTTTCTTTGATATGATACACTATTTTTATATAAATAAATTATTTCACTTATATAAATCCTTAATTAATATTATATTTATTTTTAGGTAACATTCTTACTAATATTATAAATGTAAAAGTATGTTTGTTTGTCTCTTAACGCTTCAACGGTTTAACTAATCACTGTGAATTTCGTATAGATGTACTATTTTTTTTTATGTAACTTAGAATGGCAAATAAGCTGACGGCCCACTTGATGGAAAGTGGTAACCGTCGCCTATAGACAGGAGCAGTAGTACCATGGACAACAGAGTATACTGTTTCGCCCATGATACCCCCCATGCGTTGCCATTCCTGAGGACTCAGATGTTATTCCTCTGTACCCTGCAAATTCACGCCATATCCAATCCTATATGAGATGGAGAAGAATGTAGGCTACTATTTATGTTTATTCCGACCAATCATCATATTCCGATCACACGAGCGAAGACGCAGGTAAAAAATAGTAATTATATATAATGTATGCAGTTAATTCTGGTCTTTGTATACAAAGTTTATATATCTAAATTTCCGTGAAAAAGGTAGGTTCGTTCGTTCGTAATATTCATCGCAATGCTAAGTGTCGATAGACGAGCGAGGTAGATTATTGGGCAAATCGGTCGTTTAACGGTCGAATCAACCAACAAACCAAAACATAAACCAAATACCCGATTTGATTGATTTATGATTTGTTTATGTTTGCTTTACTCCACCAATTAAAATAAATAAATAAATGTACTCACGACTATAATTCTAAACAGATCCTTTTTGACTATTGGCAAGTGAATGTATTGGTAGACGATACATTTTACATACCAGATGGAGACTTAGTTCAAGTCGTTTGCTTGGACACCTCTATCCCATTCGTATTTTTGCCGTAAAGCAATTGTGTCTGCATGGCTGTGTTTCGGTTTGAAGGGTGGATATAGCAGTGAATTTACAGGGTGCAGTGGAATAACACTTTAGTCCTCAGGAATGGCAACGCATGGATGTTATCATGGACGAAACAGTATACTCTGTTATGTCCATAGTACTGTTCATGTCTATAGGCGATGGTCACCACTTTCCATCAGGTGGGTCGTAAGCTTGTTTACCATTCTAAGTTGCATAAAAAAATTTCATTAATTTACACTGTTGAGACTTCTTAACGATATGTAAATTTAAGTCTACTTGTGTGATAATATTGTTATTTTTCAGTTTATTTATTTAACTCTTTATTGCACCAGAAACATATAAATATACAATGGCAATTGAAAAATTTAAGTGAAATACTGTAACAAAGGTACAAAAAGCAATAAGTATGTAAGGAAATATGAAAAGTTTTCAGGTGTATGTATGATTAATACACCAATTTTCCGAACCGAAAAATTATATATATATATATATAATTTTTACTAAAGTGTACAAATATAAAGTATTAGTAGTAAAAAAGTTATAATTTGTACACTAAAAATTGTACATCTATTATTAATTGTTGACAATTTTGTAATTTGATTATTTGGTTTCATTTGTTATATGTATAGATATAATCGAATAAATTAGTATATGACTAACAGCATTATATGTAGGAGATATCATAATAGACATAGCCAAGAAATAATCTCTGTCTACCGTTTCAATAATATCAATAGTTAGAAAAAACATTGATTAATGACAGCTTAAGATTGAACTGTGATTGATTGAAAAATATGAACTGTTTGCTATACACATACTTATGTACCATAAACAGACTCCTTCTGAACATAAATCAACCGTCGCTGAAATACATCATAACGTATCATCTGAAACCTCGGACGAAAGCTCTCAGCGAAATGAGTCACGTTCGCGCCGCGGTCAGCGCCATCTATTCCACAAGGTGAAGTGTAACCGAGTGGGTGTTCGCTGTTAGAATTTTCTAAAGTGTGAACCGAACGTCTCGATCTATTTCTGTAACGAGTGAAGGCTAAAAAGTGGACGTTTCGACGCAGAATTTTTATAACTCGAAACGTTTCACTTCCTATGGTTACCTAATATTTTATTGCATTTTAATATCTTTCTTTTACCGTGTTCGTCTTATCGGAGACGACTAAAATAAATCTTGGTAAATCCATCACGAGTTTCTATTTATGAGATGCAGTTCCTATGAGAAATATGGGTCAATTTTTTATGATGATCATAAATTTGAATAAGAATGTAGCATTGGTTAATTAAGTAAAGACAGTAATATAATAACAGCAGTGAATTTGAATTACGATGACATAGATGTAAAAGTCAATATGAGAAGAAATGAAAATAATGTCATACCGAAAGTAACAGGTAAGTGTAATCCAAATAAAGCACGTAACACAAATGTCGATGCACAAACACTTGAAGTTTCTCAAATTAATACAACAGATCGAGAATTCGACGAAGGTTGTGAGAAAGTGGATTCGTTAGAGGGATCGGTGTATCGCCGGCGGCGGGACGCGTCGGTTCGTTTTCGAAATCGTAACTAAACTATGAAACTTTTGGCGACTCGCCGAGGCGGACGGTACGGAATTTGTGTGGGTGTATTGCAACCGCCATTCGGTTGGATAACGTAGACTCGTCATACGTGACGTGAAAGATGCAGAGGTGTTTTCCGTCGAAGATAGAAGATGATCTAATAGACGTTGGTTGTACGGTTCTTGCAATTGATACAGGTAGTAGAGTTTCTCATGAACTGTAGGAACATATATATATATATATATATATACATTGATTTAACTTGTCACGTCGTACGTCGACGTAAAATAGCGATTGTTATTTTGCATGTATTTATTTATTATATTTATTTAAATATTAATGCACAGTGAAACTATGTACATAACATATGTCGGACTTAAAACCGAATGGTGTTCTCCATCAATCCACCATTGGGCAAACTGAGAAATAAGTATACGATACATTATCGAATTGAAGAAATATAAAAAGTAATACTTAATATATTATGAACATATAATTAGACTAATATGTACAAACATACATATAATATATTAAATAAATAAATATTACTTTAACAAACAATTAATTTTATTGTAGAAGAGCAAATGAAACAATCTATGATTGTTTGAAAGTGATAAAAAAAAAATAAAAAAGAATGAACTTTATAACTCGCCTTTTTTAACACATAGGATAGATAATTTCAATTTATGTATAATTTATATGCATTCAGTTATCATAAAATCTAGTTATTAGATAATACTTAACATGTGATAGACACCACAAGCAACGAAATGTAGTACTTTCACGATATTATTAATATTTCTAGGAAACGGTTCCATGAAAATTTTGCCATAGAAAAGAAAATAGTACCCCATCAGGAAGTTTCAATAAAAAAAAAATAATGATTTGCTTACTTCAAGATTAAAGTGATATTGGTCAAAGAAGAGACTAAGTTAATTAGTGAAAAAAGACTTATTCAGTTTAATTAACAACACATTGATAAATGCTTGTTAAGCTTAATTAGATTTTAACTTAATGATACATATATTTAAATTGTCAAAGATAATATAATATACATTTTAATACTTCTTCGAAAACTTGAAAGTACGATAATGCTCGTAATAATATAACAACTACAAAAAAAAAAATAGGATTTTTACTAAGTGTCCAACGTCTAGCTTACTAATCAGATTAGATCACATTATTAGACTAAAAGTATTTCTCTTTCTTATGCAAGTAAATTTAATGATAGGCATTTTTGAATAGTTATTTTTTTTATTCTACCACCCTGCATTTGGAATGCAATTTTAGCTGAGAAGAATGGGCCAGAAACTGAGGTGATGATATTTTTTTAAATTTTTAATGATATAATACTAATTATAATAGGATTAATATACCAATATTATTATTATCTCAAATATACACACTCATATTTACCTTTATTTGAAATTTAAAAGCGACCGAAAAACAAGTACAATTAGATACAAATCTAAAACCGGAAGAATAACATGTAATAAACATCTAAATTGAAATAAAAGCTTGTTAAAAATAAACTTGACATAGTAAATAGGAGTGTTAATCAAAAGAAATGTTGAAAATAATATACATACAATATTAAATGTATCGCTGACAAATGGATGGACAGGTGGACGAAAGAAGCAAGAAGGTCAGGTATGATTGATGTAATGGTTGAAGACAAGGCTGCTGTAGTTAATATATTATTATATAGATAATATAAGTATAATAGAATATCCATGCCAGTTTAATATAACTAGTCATGTGCCAATCATAATAATTTATATTTTGTCCAGAGCCAAATTTATTCTATGTGATGATGGAATAAGAATACAATCCCCAAAATTTGCAGAGCTAGAATAGAAACAAAATATAATGCACCAATATAAAAGAAATTAACAACGATTAATAGTCAACAATGGAATCGAAATAATTGGCATCCTTTTAATGGAATGTTTTATCATTGAATCTGAAAATCATCTAGAAAGAAGTGTTAACCAAAAATAATAATGCAGAGCATGATATATAATATTTATGATGGTATCGTTTCTTTTAGGAAATTAATTCAAAAACTGAATTGAAAATAAATTAATAACAAATCGAAACGCACCATTAATAAATTGATTTTCAACTTTACTATTGAACACCAGCAGACTATCAATTATTTATTTGTTTACATTTTCATTAAATTCTATAGAAACAATTCATAACTTGGGCTTGTTCATACCAACATCTCCTAGCTAGCCTGTTAATAATAAGTTATTATTATTAGCAGGCTGACTAAGAGGAAATGCATTGCGATGGCATGCTATAACATTTATCACATATATTATAGTATTATTCCAAAATATTATAATTAGTGAAAAGTAGTTATTTTTAACTGTATTGTTGAAATATATGTTCATGTGACGGACTCAGCGACAGCATAAGTTACCTATCGTAAGAAAGTGAAAAATTTCGTATATCGCAGATATCAAATTCTATACGTGATTACGATTAGCAAAATTACTAGCAAGAGAAGAGTCGGTCATAGAAAAAAGGTTTGGCTCTGCAACATTTAGGACTGGATAGGTATTACGAATGCAGCCGAAGAGGCAAGGACAAATGCCAAGATTTGATAGCCAACTTTTACTAGTTTGGAGAGCCATTATAAGAAGAAGGTAGTTGAAAATTATATATTTTGAGTTTAAATATTGCGCTACTCGAAAGAAAGGGATATATAATATTTTTCTATACTGGATAATTCCAATGTTTTCTACTACGTTGTTTGTTTTTTTTCCATAGATAATTTAATAAAAAATTCTAGATCGCAAAAACACACTGGCAATTTGGAATAAACAAGTTGATCTAGTTTTTATTTGTCATAAATTATAACGAATCCATAAATTGTATATCTGTCTGTTTGCAACGAGCGTTGGCAACTGGAAAATAGAGTCAGGTGAACAAGTAAATCATTAGATGACTTTTACGATTGAATACAATTGTAAAAAATCAAATAGAATGATTGTGTTTATGATTACTAAGATGCTTTTGGTAGATTGATATGGAGTTACAGAATATCACAACAATAAAAAAAGAAAAAAAAAGGGAAGAGAAGAACATTAAATAAAACAATAGAGAAGAGAAAAGGCAACTAAGTAGGTTACCTTATAGGACTCGACGACTTTATAAAGAACATCTTAGAAGAAAAGATAGAACGCAAAAGAAAAAAGGGGATTCAGATAAATAATTACATGGGGCAAATAAAGGAAAAGCTAGTTGTTATGTCGTACAGGCAGGTAAAGGATATGATTTGGAAAAGCCGGATTGAGACGAGTGTGCAAATTTTGAAAAAATCTGCATTGCTATAGCATAATTTTTCATAAACTTACATATAACTGTACATGTTACTGTAAAAACTCGTGCATTGGTAAATCATAAAAAAATGTATCCTCTTTATGTTTTTTTTTTTTTGTATATGTATTTCTTATATCTCGCTTTTTGTGTATAAATAGATATATACTCTTTATTATTTCCTCCAAAAGATTACAATAGTAAACTTATGTATATGTGTATTTCTATGTCTATAGTGATCGTTACCATTAAATGGGTTATGATTTACATTCTCATAAATTCTTTTGTTTTTTATTAAAATTCTCGTAGACAGCGTGACTTTCTATTGCGAAGTTTATTCAAAGTTATTTTAACTATTCGCTTACAACATTTCAGTCTGCCCCCGGCAGCTGTCACTCATCGCATGCCGGAGGTATATATGAATTATGTCATACTGTTCAGATATCAAGTTTTAAGCATCATAAATTTCACATACGTATAAAAAAATCCTGTGATGAGTGGTGATGAAGCAATAATACGTGTCATAACTTCACCTCATCCCAGGATCTCAGTTAAGGTAAGGTTACTAGAAAAAAAATTAAACAAAATGTCATTAGATGGCTATAGTAGTAGAATGGCGGAGTTCGATTAAAATGACAATAGGATCAGAACAATAACTAGCATATGTTTAGACTAAAGATGGAAATTCAATTCAATTTATTCACAAACAATATTACATCGTGTTGAACAGTTTTTATGTTATAAATTATAAAAAGACGTCACAAAATAATTTTACAGTACACAGAAAAAGTATAAATGAATTAAATAATAAATAATAATTGTCCAAAAATGTCAAAGTTGCATTAAAAGAAGTAAGTTTAGACTAAAGAAACTTCAGTATCCAAAAAAAGAAAACAAGAATAAGAACGCAAACGGTTTTTGTATTTTTTGCACGAAAAATTATTAATTCACTCTTGCGCCACCTACCCACTTCTATCTGTTCTCCTTTAACCAAAGATTGTCTGTAAGAGATTGTCCTAGCGATAAGACCGTCTTTCGTACCTTTATGTGTATATTTCAATCTGTATTTATGTTATTGTATTCCATTTGAATTATTCACTTGTCATTGTATATTTTTATTTATGGTGCAATAAAAAGTTTAATAAATAAATAAATAAAATCAGATAGGTTTAACTAAAGGAGAAGTCAAATTTAAACGCAGTGTAGGACTACCCCTACTAGATGAAGTGACGACCTGAAATGCATTGCAGGGAGTCAGTGGATGCAGGTAGCTCAGGACCGTTCTTTATGACAGTCTATGGAGGAGGCTTATGGCCAGCAGTGGACGGATAATGGCTGGAATGATAATGATGATCAATGATGAAGTCAAATTAAAAGAAACAAGAGCTTAAAACATAGAAACTAAATAGAACTATACCAAAAGATCAACGTTATAAAATGTTTACGAATAGAGTCGAGCATAAAAATATTGTTCTTAGAACTCTCTTAATATATTTACACTAAACAAAAAATGGAGCATTGGAAATAGAAGCAGGAATATGTAGAATAAATTTTGTTTAAAGCATTGATCACATTTCCTGTAATAAATTGATTGATTGAAATCTGACAAATTACACGGACGTTGCGAGATATTTAATAGCTAAAGTTGTTTTTTTAAATCTAACATATATTTGTAATACCTATTCAAATGCCA